TTTAGAAATGGAATTCCTGGTGCAAACACGTGGGAAGTTTTTAGGCATTTTGCCTACTGAGCAGTTGTACCAGTTTACAGCCCAGCAGCAGCACATGGGGGCCTGTTTGTTCAAACTGATGCCTGTCCGCTCTCATTTTTAAAATATCCTCTGGTCCTGGTCGGGGGGGCTCAGTTGGTTGGAGCATCATCTCGGTTTTTCAGAAGGTTGCGGTTCCATCCCTGGTCAGGGGCGTGCGGTGGGGGGGGCAACAGATCAATGTTTCTGTCTCCCTCTCAAATCAGTAAAAATATCCTTGGACAAGGGTTAAAAAAAATAATAAAAATATCCTTCTGTGCTGGTTCGGCAAAAACAGGAGTTTTGGTTTCATTTCTTTTATTACTATTATCGTTACAAGTGGTTTCAAGTTTTTCCTGCTTGTTTGTCACACGTCTGTGTGCCCTGTGCCCACTGCCGCTGTGCTGATGTCCTTTTCCCCTTCGTCACGTACGCCGTGAATTCTCCTAACGTACCATCTGCTCATTAGTTGTGTTTGTAATTTCTTCAGGCACAAACCTCTGCGCCGCCACATTTTCACGCTTTCCTTGATGGTGTCTGCTGTGGAGTCAAACTCAGAGAGGCCTGCCCCTCATCAACAGTGTATCAATGTTTCCCTCTAGATGATCCTCTTTTTGTATCATTTATTACTTTTTAACTCTTACCTCTTTTGGAATTGATGTTAGTAGGTGGTTTGGGAAAGATGAAATCCTTACTTTTCTCAGCCCCATTTATTCATTTCCTGCCTGTTTTGAAATACCATGGTTTTCCAATTCTAAACATTCAAGCACACTGGGGATTTCTGGGCTTTCCGTTATATTCCCTGCTGCATCTTTTAGAAGGACCAGCCCCCTCCTTCTTTTTCTTCCGGTGTTTGACTCTTCTCTGCCGTTTGCTGATGACGCTTAACGATGAATTTATCCAGGTCGCTGTCACCTCCCTTCCCCAAAACAATTCCTTTGGGATCTTGATTGGAACTTATGAATTCACTCGGAGACATTATAAATTCATCCCTTATTAAGGGATGCTGTTCTCTCTGAATTTGATACTCACATCAGAGCATATTTACGATACCCAGGGTGAAAGGCCACGAGCCCGGAGGTTTCTGGCCTTGCTGGTAAGCCCAGCCCCTCCCTCCCCTGCCCACAGGCCTTGAAAGCCCATTAGCAGGAGGCCATCCCTCTGACTTGATCCCCCCTGTGCGCGGTGGCCAGGCCGGAACTTCTAGGAGGTAGAAAGGGCCACTCCTCAGCCATCCCCACAGGCCACCTGCTCCCTTGTCCCAGCGATGGGCCTGTTGGGGACCAGCTTGCAGACCTCCAGGCCCTGCAAGCTGGTCCCCAACAGACACTAGCATGGCTGCTGGGGCGGGAGGGAGGCTGCCTGCCTGCACCAGGGGTCCTGATCGTCAGGTGGACTCCCCGGGGCAGGATAAGAGCGCAGACGTCCTGAGGCTCAGCTAAGTCTCCTTATACGATTGATGGGAGAGGTTCCGAGAGGTTTCTAATGACAGTTCCCGAAAGTGGCAGAGAAAGACAAGGACAAGCTGCAGCGAGTTGGGGGGTGGGCTGCCTTCTGCCCAAAGAAGCTACACGCCCCACAGCCACCCAGGCCCCAGGCCCCTCTTTCTCTCCCCTCTGCCCTCCCCACCCCCTCCCACCTCCACGCCGCTGCACAGTATGGCAGGATGCACATCAGAAATTGGGAACTGGGACCCCCGGAGCCCTCATGTCACGACCTGCGTTTCCACACAATCCCCAGGGATTTGCAACCGCGTCGTCGACTCGCTGACAAGGAGCCAGGGTGGGGGTGCTCGGATCCTGGGACTCGCCTGAGCAGGATGAACCTCTCGGCGACAGAGCAGGGATGCGCCCGGCCTCAGGATCAGCCCGGGTCACGGCTGAAAAACAAAAGTTGCAGAGGGTACTTAGGAACTCTGAGTTGGTCATAAAGGGCTCAGCAAGATAAATAAGGCAGAGACGAGTTCTGTGTGAGATCACTGATGTGCGGCCGAACCTGCAAACGGAGAGGGTGCATGGCGGTTCCGGTGGGTGGGGGGGGCGCGGCGGGGGAGCCGGCCTGACGGTGGAAGGTAAGCCCAGCGGGAGCAGGACTGGGCAGAGGACACCCAGCAGTGGCCTGCCCTGCAGTCCCAGCCACAGCACCGCTGGAGAAACAGGGACCAGAGGCAAGTTCGGCTTTTGCGCCAGAACCACAGCCTTTGCCTGGAGGCCACAGGTCACCCGAGGGGTCAGGCAGAACCAGATACAAAAAGTCACATGACTCAGGAAGTCCTCCAAGAGCTAAGACCAAAAAGACGGGAGAAGTCACGGTGGACTTCCTGGAGGGGGCGCTAGAGCTGAGCCCTGAACATCCATCCAGGCAGCTCTGACCAGTGGGAAGGCTTGGGGAGCGGGGGCACTGCTCAGGACAGGATAGGGCAGGCAGGCTGGACTTAAAGCAGGGGGTAGAAAAGCTTCATTTGCTGCCTCCCTCAGAACCTAAGACACACGCCTGTATCCTTAGTCATGGCTCTGATGACTGAGGAAGCAAAAGCTGGTAGAAGGATCTTTCAAATATTAAGCCTATGCCTACCTGCTGCAAAGGAAACAGGAGAGAAAGGAGGGGAGGGCAATGGCCTATCTACTGTCTTTTTATGCGTGAAAAAACCGAAGCTCAGAAAGGCGGGTAACTTACTCACCACAGACACTAAATGACCACAGTGGGGTTTGAACCCAAGTCGATATGACCAGCTCCCCCCACCCACTCCCTGTGCCACAGTCGCTCCTGAGCACCTACCCACGTTTGCCCACGTGACCTTGTTCACGGTCTGGGCAGCCCCGCAATGAGGAAAAGGAGAAAGGAACATGCCCAACGTCACTTTGTCACTTTGTCCAAGTGTCAGGCATGGGAACCTGTGTCAGCTTCACAGCCTTAACTGCCACCTGCACTTTCAACGCCATGGCGTCCAAGGATGGAGAGACCACAGAGAAAACTCCATCCAACCTGCTGTGTAACAGAAGACGACTTTTTAAGACAGAGCAAAGTGACCTGTTGGCAGCAGGCACGGAGACAGCATCAACCTAGGCAGACCGAGGCCGGAGCTGTGTGGGAGGGGCCGCCAGGGTGGAGCAGACCCACCGTTCTTTGTCTCAAACCCCTCAGGTCTGCACTCACGTCTCTGGTCGGAGTCCGCCCTGACCCATGCCCCTGAGCCCCAGCTGCAGTGCACGCAGGCACCCGTGAGCGCTCCGTGCACGAGCTGAGCCTGCAGCAGAGGGAGCAGGGCAGGTGCAGGGGGAGGAGCAGAGAGCGGCGGGGTCAGGGGGCAAGGGCCACGGGGGCCCAACAGAGGCCAGACAGGGATGGAAATAGCAGCTCCATCTCCTGCCCAGCTATGGGCTCTGCTGCCTGGGTTCAAACCAGCGCCACTGACCTCCCTCCCGTTCAGTTTTGCCCACTACAAGGGAGGGGCCATAAAGTCCTGTGAGGACAAAATGCGAATTAATTGTGAAGTTTGCACTGTAGCATTGAGTGGGCGCCTGGCACACTGTGGCTTCCTCCCCACCTGCCTGGGAAACGAGGATCAAGAGGCCGCCCTGTCCTGGAGCCCTTTCAGGCTCCTATGGGACAGTGCCGGCTCTTTAAACATTCTGCTAAGAGGTTGCTGCGGGAGAACAGGGAAGGCTTCCTGGAGCAGGAGGGAGCCTCCTGGCAGGAGCTCAGGGAGGCACCGAGCAAAGGGGGCTCCTCCCATCCTCAGCCTTCTCTTGCCCCCTCCTTTGCTGCCACAGCCCCCACCCCAGCCAGGCCTGGCCACTCCACCTCCAAGCCTGCAGCCTCCAGGGTGGTGTTTCAAAAGTGCAAAGTGCAAGTATGAGCTCCATGAATCCATCACCCCCAGACCTCCTGCGGCTGCCCCTGGCGTTAGGGCTGAGCACCCTGTCCCAGCCCACTGCGCCTCCAGGTCAAACCACAGCTAACTCCTTGGGGGTCCTTCACTGTGTCATTTTCTCCAGGTCGTGCGCCCACCCCTGCCAACCTTGCTTTTCCGGTCTGGAGCCCCCTTCCTGCCCTACCCCCCACTAAGCTTAACAATTGCAGCCTTTTTCTCAAGAGTCAGCTGAGGATGACCATCTCTCTCTTCTGCGCTTTCATGGCAGGCAACCTCACCTCAGGACAAGAGCTCAGCCCCACAGAGGGTCTCAGAGCCAGGAACCTCGTGTTTAAAACAATAGGAACAGCTGTGTGTTGATATTGAGGTGAAATTCACACCACATAACGTTACATTGAGAAGTGTAGCAGCCGTTTCCTACACTCCCAATGCTGTGCAACCACCGCGGCTGTCTAGTCGCAAACCATTTCCTCGCTCCTCGGAACCACATGCCCATTAAGCAGCAACTCCGCACTAATAAAACATTTTAAAGTGGAGATAAAATACGGGTGGCATTAAATGTGTTTAGGATATTTCTGTTTTGCAAAAAGGTGCTATTACCTCTGAATCTCTCCTCTACTGTATTTCCAAGGAGCTCCAGAATGGCATTCTTAAAGGGCTTGATTTGCATTTGCAGCCCCGAGTCTCTCCCCCTTGAACTGGGCCCTCCCAGAGGCCACCCTTTCCGAAGCGCCCCAGCACAGCCTGCGCGGACAGGGGCGCCCGGGCCAGCGGCGTTGCTGCGCCTCCCTGCCGCAAACCAGGGACTCAGATCGTTTTCTCCCCAGTCCTGAGCGAACAGCCACTTCCCTCGCGGTACAGGGGTTCTGCGCGGACACTGGCCTCGGCCTCCCCAACTGCACAGAACACACCGGCGCTGTCCTGCGGCCTCGGGGGCAGGTTAGGAGGTACCGTGGCCACCAGTGGATGCCCACCCTCCACGCAGGTCGAGAAGCGCAGGCCCCGCCCCTGGCCCAGACTGGGCGGAGTCACAGCGGAGCTTGTGCCTCTGGGCGGACCCGAAGGGGTCCTAGTGCCCGCAGCGCGCTCACCCTCCCAGGCCACACCTGCGTTCTCACCGGCTGGCAGCCACCTGCGCCCAGCGGTCAGCCACCAGCCCGTGTGCCGCCTCCCGGCCCGCTCGCCATGAGCGGCGTGCACCCCCTGGTCCTTTTCTCCCTGGCTGCCCTTTGCGGGCTCGGTGAGTTCTCTGGGGAAGGAGGGAGGGCGCTGGGTCCAGAGCCCGCTGACCAGCCACAGGTGGGCGGGGTGTGGCCAAGGGTGGCCTCGGGCGACAGGTCGAGGCTCGGGCTCCCGTCCACCCGCTCAAAGCGGGGATGCGGACACCGGCTCCGGGTCGCCCAGGCTCGTCCCTGCGAGTGTAGGTGCAGGCAGGGTGGCAAGTGTGGACTCCAGGAGCAAGCCCACTGCCGGGGCCTGGTGGGAGGGGGCCGGACCAGCCCACCAGCCCTGGAATGTGCGCGGTTTGAGGGGATCTCTTAGCAAACACCACCGCCTCTGGTCACCCACGGGGGTGGGGGGCCTGGACAGGCAGCTTGGCCGAGGATCACGCAGGAACCTGTGCGTCCTGACGCCCAGGAGGGACACCCACTCAGCCCTTGCAGGCAGAGTCCAGAGTCTCCCGGCCTCAGCTCTCACGCTTGAGCACCAAGGACGCTTTCCCACGTTGTCCCCTGAGCCCTGCCTGGTCAGCCTGGAGCACCAGGCTCCTGTCTTCCCCGGACAGGGGCACAGCACAGGGGCGTTGGAGGCAGGACAGAGAGGCGGAGCTCCCACCAAAGGCAGTGACCGTCCTTGGCATGGGTCCTGGCTCCGGCACCACTTGCTGGCAACCCTCTCATTGCTCTCCTATGGGCCTCAGTTTCCCCATCTGTTCTGTGAGGTGGTAATCCTCACCTACAGACGTGGGGGTTCGGGAATGAGAGTCAGTTGCAGGGTTTGTGAGGCACCGCTGTAGGGGGCAGCAGCATCCCCCGCGCGGACTCTGTGGACACGCAGCCTGGGATCTGCCTGTACCTGGCACCCAGGTGATTGTCACACGTGATGAAAGAGGCTGCTGATCACAAAGGTGAGCTTTCTGTAACAGGTAAAACCCTCCCACATTTTTTTTAAAAATCCATAGCTACCTTTTAATAGATATAGGTCTCCTGTTATTGACCTCAGTTAAAGACGCGCCCCCCCCCCACCCAGTGTCACTGGCATTGACATTGAAAGGCAATGACGATCACTGCCTTTCGAGTGCTCAACTTGCCAAGGAGAGTCTGTAAACTTTCCGTTCTGAAGCTTGATTTCCAATTCGGGATTGTTTTCCCATGCCCCCAGCACGGATTTTCAGACCACCTATGCTTTGTGGAACTGCACGCACGCTCCCGCGGCGGTCGTCTGGGATTGTTAGCCCAGGTCTGGGGTCTGCTGCGGAGCCTCCTCCCCATCAGACATCGGGTCGTGACTGACCCCTGGTGGCGGGCGCTCGGTTTGGCGGAGTCAGCCCCAGGCTGAGAGGTGCGCCTGCACCCCAGAAGCGTCTGCCTGCTTTCACCAGTTCTGGGCCACCTTGACACCTTGGCTTGAGGGGCCTGTCCTCTGTCTTTTGGAACCGACAGGCCTCATGGCACACAAAGCAGCAGATTGGAAAGCCTAAACATGTGTTGTTCTGAGCTCTTCTTTGGGGTGGGCCTGCAGTTCAGCCCACGGCAGCCTTGCTGGGTCATCTCCACCCCAGCCCCCACACTCACATGCAAGTGCAAACACAGGCGCATGAGCACACACTGGCTCCGGACACCACAGGCCTCTGCAGGGGCGGCCGTGTGACAGGAACTCAGCAGGGCAGGAAAGAGAGCCCAGGGGCTGGGGAGGGCCTGGGTCTGAAAGCGGCTCCTGGACCTGGCTCTGCCTCTGACTTGCTGGGGATCCCGGAGGGAATGCCTCCCCTCTTTGGTCTCAGTTGCCCCAGGTGAGAAACAGGGAGTTGGGCTAAATGACCTAAGGCTTTGGGAGGCTCTGACGTAGGAGCCCATAACTGCTCCTCAGGATGGGGGAGGCTCCCTCGGGGCCAGCTGAATGCCTGAGAAGCAGGACCGGCCCAACGGTGGACAACCTGCGCATCCCAGGTGGACTCAGAGCAGGCAGCCTGCAGAGCAGCCCTGGCCTCTCAGCCTCGGCTGGACAAGCCGCCTGGGGCTGCAGAGATGTGGGACCCGGCCTCCCCCGGGACTGCGAGACTCTGGGCCAGGAGCTGACGGGTCGGACCCCAGAGCTATCCCAGACGTGCCAGATGGCGTGGGCAAGTCACATCCCTCTTTATAAAATGACTGATGAGCCCAAATGTATATACTGAAGAGGGGCAGTGGGAGGGACCCGGCTGTAGCCTGGGGCTGCAGACTGGCATCCCGGGCAATCAAGCCGCTGGCCCCTGAGAGGAGGGGCTCGGGTGTGCCTCAGAATCCAGGCCAAGCAGCAGCGGCTGTCCGCAGTCTGCGGGAGGGGCGGAAGTACAGGTGCCCTGGGAGCATCTTTTGCAGGGCGCTGAATGTGGTGTCTGCTCCAGATAGGCAGCGATTTGGAAAGTGCACAGAGCAGGCAGGGTGGCGTGACTCCCGCCCAGCACCCACCCAGAACCTGCCTCACTCTTGCTCATGCTCTGAGCCCCCTGGTCCCACCCAGATGAGGAGTCTGGTAAGACCAGGGAGCGGGCCGCCCCTCCTGGCAGCGCCACCTCGGCAGCCTCCCTTACTCCTTACCCTCTCCCACCTGCTCTCCAGCCCCCACGTTGCTTTCTCTGCACATTCTCATCTCTTTCCCGCTCCTGGGCTGTCCTGTCAGGTGCCCTTGACCTTCCTCTGAGTGTCCTTTTTTCCCAGGTGCCCCCCCCAACCCAGAACACTTTCTCTCCCTGAAGAGCCCAGATGGGGTGGTGGGGGAGGACCAGGGCTGGAGGACAGACGGAGAGACTTGGAAGGCGGTACAGACGGAACTAGGCGGCCACTTGAAGACACACGGGTTTCGGACTAGAAGCCTAGAGTGTGGGGTCCACTCAGTGCTACAGGAGCAGGAGGAGGAAGAGTTGGGACGTGGGAGGACAGCCGCGCTCTGTCCTGCATGTTGAACTGAAGTCCCCAAGGACCCCGTGCTCCTGGCCCTTGAAGCCCTCGCCCTCGCGCAGTGGCCACCCCTGGAGGGGGCGAGCAGGTCTCACTGTGTTTTCCCAGGGCACTGCCGCGTGGCCAACGCGGAGGAGAAGCTCATGGACGACCTCCTGAACAAAACCCGCTACAGCAACCTGATCCGGCCGGCCAGCAGCTCCGCCCAGCTCATCTCCATCCAGCTGCAGCTCTCCCTGGCGCAGCTCATTAGCGTGGTGGGTGCAAAGAGGGCGGCCGTGGGCCGCCACGCCCTGGCCACCTCCTGGGGAAAGGGGTGGCCGTTCAGCGTGCAGTTCAGTGTGCAGGGCGGGGAGCTGGGAGACTTGGCTTTTCCTGTGGCATTGCTTGGACTGTGGACAGGGTCCCTGACTCTCCATCGGATCTTCTCCGCATGCATGAATTAATGGTGAAGGGGAGTGAGGGACAGGACTGAGGTGCAAGAGAACTTTCTGGGTGACAGAAATGTTCTGCATCATGAAAGGAGCCTTGTTACGTAGGTAATGCATTCGTTAAAACTGATAAAACCACACAGAGGATCTGTGCATTTCACTGTAGGGAAATTATACCTCAAATTTAAAATGCTTTTTAAAAGATGAAGGTTTTCCACTTTCAGTGGTTGGCACAGCAGCTTGTTGCAGACTCACCATAAGAACAATTAGGAAAGCTGCCCCCTCCTCTGAAGAAAACTTGTTTGAAGGTCTTGGAGAGCTGCACCGGGGACGGGGCCTTGAACGGACCACCCCTCAGAGTGAATCAAAAATAGACCAGCCCTCACAAACACTAACCCTGCCTCCAGCCGACTCAGTCACTAGACTACTGGGACGGCCCCTCCTCCAACCGCCTGCCATAAAGCGGAAGTCAGCACTCCATGGGGACCCACGCAGCCATACCCTGAATGAGAATGGTTCAGTCCCTCACAGGCCACATACACAAAAGTGACCCCATAAGATCATAAGGGAGCTGAAAAATTCCAACCGCCTAGTACATCATAGCTGTCAAAACGCCATATCACAACACATTACAGTTGCCTACAGTATCCAGTACAGTAACACGCTCAGCCGGCTGGCAGCCCAATAACAATAGGCTACACCATACAGCCCAGGTGTACCATCCAGGTGTGTGTAAGTGGCTCTGTGATATTCACACAGCGATGAAGTCGCCTAACAACACATTTCTGGGAGCACATCCTTGTTGGTAAACGATGCCTGACTACAAAGCCAGATAAAAATTTGCTAGGCGCCCAGTGAGAGGACACAAAATAAGAAAAGATCAAGAGGAAGAAAAAAAAAAAGCGTTAAGACGTACAGATGATTTAGACAAACTTTTAAAAACTACCATTAAGGTGGTAAATTTTATGTTATGTAAAATTTACCACTATTAAAAATAATAAGTACATAAGTTTTCTAAAAAGAGAATAGCCACTAATAGTTCACAAAAATGATAGTGACAGAAAATTTAAAGCCCGTCATGGGATGGATTTCGTAACACATTGGTCATTGCAGAAAAAGAGGTGTAGGAGCTGGAAGAGAAACCAATAGAAAATATCTAGACCAATGACAGGAAAATGATGGAATGTAGAGAAACTAATGCGGTACACATCTGGGGCGCGATTCACTGAGAAGGACTAGGTTTGGGTGAGAAGCAGGAGCTTTGCCTCAGGCTCGCTGGGAGTGAGGTGGCCTTGAGCTGTCCAAGTCCAGGAGAGGCGGGGTGGGTGCTTGGCCACTGGGCCCTGGAGCTCAGAGCCTTCTACGTGATGGCATGATAACATGGCTCTACCTGTGACGGTCCCTCCACCTGGGGATCTGATAGCCCCTCTCCCTCCCCAGAATGAGAGAGAGCAGATCATGACCACCAACATCTGGCTGAAACAGGTAAGCGTCCTGAGAGTCCCCAGCCCAGGAGGCCTTTCCTGTAGGGCTGTCTGTTGGTGGCCAAATGCCTGCAAGTGACAGGGCCTTGCCTGTGTGGTCAGGAATGGACCGACAACCGCCTGGCCTGGAACAGCTCCCGCTATGAGGGCGTGAACATCCTGCGGATCCCTGCGAAGCGCATCTGGCTGCCGGATATCGTGCTCTACAACAAGTGAGTGGCGGCCGGGCTGGGGCAGGTCCCGCCCTGGGCCCCCTCTGGGCTTTCCCCTGGCTTTCTGGCCGTGGTGCTGGAAGGGGAATTAGAGATGAGCAGAGCCTGTGGCCTCAGGCACAGCTGGGGACAGGGCTAGCACCCTGACCCCAAGACCAGCGCTCTTTCCGTGCTCTGCCATGTGTAAATATCTCAGGTAGTGGAGGGAGCTAAAGGGACTCTCCTGGGGTGTAGTCGCACCAGTGGAAGCATGAAACGAGTACGAGCATGTGGTCTAGGGACAGAGACCTGAGTTCAAATCTCTTGTCCTGCTGACCTGTGTTCTGATCTGGAAGAAATCACTTAACTTCCCTGAGCCTCAGTTCTCCCATGCATACAATGTGATAACAACAAAACCTACCTCCCTGGACTGCTGTGCAGCCTCAGGGAGCTGGGCCGGGTGAAGCCTCCCTGCAGTCACCAGTGAAGCAGGCTTCCCAGGGAGGGCACGGTGCAGGGCGGGGGCTGCCTCCTGAGCTCTGCCCCGCAGGGTCTTCGGTGAGTCCTAGCAGCAGGCCCGGCATGGTCTGGGGGTTTCACGCTGCTCTCCCCTGGGCCCTGCCGCGCTCCAGTGCCGACGGGACCTATGAGGTGTCTCTCTACACCAACGTGGTGGTCCGCTCCAACGGCAGCATCATGTGGCTGCCCCCGGCCATCTGCAAGAGCGCCTGCAAGATTGAGGTGAAGCACTTCCCCTTCGACCAGCAGAACTGCAGCCTCAAGTTCCGCTCCTGGACCTACGACCACACGGAGATCGACATGGTGCTCAAGTCGCCCACGGCCAGCATGGATGACTTCACCCCCAGCGGCGAGTGGGACATAGTGGCCCTCCCGGGGCGGAGGACAGTGAACCCGCAGGACCCCAGCTATGTGGACGTGACGTATGACTTCATCATCAGGCGCAAGCCCCTCTTCTACACCATCAACGTCATCATCCCCTGTGTGCTCATCACCTCGCTGGCCATCCTCGTCTTCTACCTGCCGTCCGACTGTGGCGAGAAGATGACGCTGTGCATCTCTGTGCTGCTGGCGCTCACCGTCTTCCTGCTGCTCATCTCCAAGATCGTGCCACCCACCTCCCTGGATGTGCCACTCATCGGCAAGTACCTGATGTTCACCATGGTGTTGGTCACCTTCTCTATCGTCACGAGCGTGTGTGTGCTGAACGTGCACCACCGCTCGCCCAGCACCCACACCATGGCGCCCTGGGTCAAGCGCTACTTCCTACACCAGCTTCCCGCCTTCCTCTTCATGAAGCGCCCTGACAGCAACTCCCTAAGGGCCCCCCAGCCCAGCCAGTCTCGCCTGACCCAGTCAGAGGCCACCGCTGCCACCACCTCAGCCACGGGCCCTGCCAGCTCCTCCAACCTCTATGGGAGCTCCACATACTTTGTGAATCCTGCCTCTGCAGCTCCCAAGTCCCCATCTGGCTCCGACTTGGTGGGGAACTCCAGGGATTTCCGGATGAGGCCTTCTGGGAGGTTCCAGCACAACGTGCAGGAGGCCTTAGAAGGCGTCAGCTTCATCGCCCAGCACATGAAGAGTGACGATCAGGACCAGAGCGTAAGTTGCCAGCCCAGCCCCACCAGCTGCCCAGGGGATGGAACTCAGGTGCCAAAGTCCCAGTGCCCACAGTTAATTCCTGTTGGACAAGGGCTTGCAAACTCTTTGTTGAAATATGGAACCCAAAGCGGAAATGAGTTCTATGACAGTTTCACACACTGGGGGATGGCAAGGAAGGAGCAGTTCCTCCTTGTCTGGTCTGGGTTCCCCAAGGCAGAGAGTAAGATCAGGACCTGGGCAAAGGCCGTTTACATAAGAAGGGATTTCGGCACAGTGAGGAAGGAGGGGCAGTGACATGAGCAAGGACAGGAAAGCAACATCAGTGTGGGTGAGCAGGGTCCAGGGCCCAGCCCAGCCGAGGGCCTCTTGATGGTGCACAGGAAAGAGCGGCAGAGCCATGCCCAGGAGCAAGGCGGGCATCTGCCCCTCAGCGCCCACCCCGCGTGGTTATACCAGCTGCCCGTGCAGTAGGCACCCTGGGGGCTGGGGAAGCCCCTGGCAGGGAAAAGAGGGATGCAGGCGCCTGAAGTGGAAATGACCTCTCTGGCCTTTAGAGACACAGGTGACCAGGGCACTGAGGGCATCTGCTCCCCCCGTCAGGCCAAGGGGCCACACAAACATCAATGAAAACAGCACTACCAGGGTAATAAAGTAGCCAGTGGGGTGGCTCCCAGCACAGACTGTTAAAAAGGGGTTATGTTCACTTTCATGGGACAAAGCAATGAGCGCTAGAGTGTAGATGTCTCAACCAGCTCCTCTGAACAAGCAACACTTGAAAGGACAAATCTCTAACTGATCACCAAATGTGCTGGTCACGGTAAGATGCGTTCACACCCCTGTCCACACCAGGCAGAGCAGTGTCATAGTCTTTGGAACATTCTCATTTCAACACCTCATGGGAACAGGCCCTTCAGGCAGCTGCTTCCCTCGCGGCTCACGGCTGCGTGGGGAGGAGAGGGCAGCTCCTCCTACCTTTCTGTGGTTTCCTTCCATGGCCCCATCCTCAGGGGGGAGCCCTGGGAGTCCATTAGGTAACCGCAGAGGACGAGCAGGCAGGAAATGCTCCAGAACTGCACTGCGAAAAGGAAAAAGAGAACTGGTAACAAATGGAGTATAGGACACAAGCTCTTCTTCTGAGTGGGGTCCCAGTAAGATAATGAGCACCCAGCTCGGGATCGGAAGGAGCAGGGAGGGCCCCAGGACGCACCTGTGTGACCTGCCTGTCTGCCCGCAGGTCGTGGAGGACTGGAAATACGTGGCCATGGTGGTGGACCGGCTGTTCCTGTGGGTGTTCGTGTGCGTGTGCGTGCTGGGGACTGTGGGGCTTTTCCTGCCTCCCCTTTTCCAGACCCACATGCCCTCGGGGGGGCCCTAGGCTGCCCTACAATCCCAGGGTCCCCGGCTGTGGGGTGAGATGATGTGAGCAGCCAAGTGGGCAGTTTGCTGTTTCCTTCTGAGTCACAGCGGCTGGGGCCGCACGTGAACATGACATCGTCACCCGTCAACCCATCAGACAGCAACGGCAGGGCCTGGACTGGCCTCTCCGAAGTCCTCGGCTTTGGCCAGTTTAGCTCTGGCCAGTCTTCCTTGTCTGCATCAGGATAAGGACAGGCAGGACAGCAGCGCCTAACACGTGCCAGCCATCTCTCCTGCGCTCGGTCTCCCTCCGCGCCCCTTGTCGCCTACGCTCCCTGGCCTTCAACCCCTCACGCACTTCAGGAGCCTCCGCAGCTCTAAGCCTGTGCACTTACAGTGCCTGCTACCCGCCCCGCCCCCGGGCCCAGAACCCGCCACCTGCCTCAAGGGCTGCCCGGTTCCTGAGGTTCCGGTTTGCTGGCGGGCTGTGGTCCACCACACCCACGAGAGTCCTTGAGAGCAGGACCTGGTCCTTCCCTTTTGCTGCAGCACCTCCAGGGCCCAGGACAGCTCGGCACAATAAACGTTTGTTGGGTGAGTGATGACTCCTGTCGCTCCTTCAAGCCACCCGCGCCCTCCGCGGGGGCGCAGAGGCCATGTGCTCCTCCGCTCGCAGCCGCGCGGCCCGGGTCGCGCCCCGCTTCACATCGTCGCGGGGTCAGGTGTGTCTCCCTCGCCGCGGCTCTGACGGCCCCGCCACATACTGTATTTGGCCGTGTAGAATGTGCAATTTCCCCCCCACATTCTTGAAGGAAAAATAAGGATGCTCATTATACGTGGGTAGTACTAATTCCATATCTATATAAATGTTTTTCATTCTTCTATTTATACTTACGTGTTCAAAGTGAAAGTCTAGAACGCAAAAGTGATACCCGTATGCAAAATAATGCCCTGGAACATGACAATCAGATTTGTTTCTAAATATAAATAAATGAATGAATGAATTTAAAAAGTAAAACAAAAGGATTTTTTCCTGAAAATTTGGGCCCAAAACGTGGGTGCGCATTATACGTGGCAAAATACGGTACTTTTATCCGGTGCCTGATGCATAAAACACACTCAAAACATTTGTGGAATGGAGGTCAACTTTTCAAAAATTATACAGCTTTGTACAAAAATTCTCCTCATGGCTAGGGAAACACATTTTAACAAGTACAGGTTTGTGTAACCGGAACCTGTGAGATCCGTAACCAAATAGCTGCCTTGTGCTGTTCCTCATGGTCCTCGCTCGCTCTACGCCCAGCCCCTGGCAGCCGCTCATCTGCCCCTATCGCCGGAGTTTGCCGAGAACGCCGTCTAAAGCCCTGACCAGGTCGTCCAGTTGGTGAGCGCGTCATTCCCATACGCCAAGGTTGAGGATACGATCCCGGTCAGAACACACACGAGAAGCAACCAATGAATGCCTAAATAAGTGGAACAAAAAAATGGATGGTTGTCTCTCTCTCCCACCTTTCTCTTTCTATAACAATCAATAAAAAAAAAAAAAAAAACACAACACAACCACCCATTTCCTCACGCAGCCGCAACAGTTACCAGCTCCTGATGGCTATACTGTCTCAGCTGACTCCAATTTCCTCCTCCCTCACTCTCAGAAAGCAAGTACCATGATCACACCTAAAATATCTGACAATTACTTCATCGCGTGAAAATCAGGAGCCCTCGTCTTGAAGTGTGTTAGAGGCTCTGGTGGACAGCGACCGGGTGCGGGAACACACCAGGGCCGCGCCGGGACAGACTCCGCCGCGGCGCTGCGCTCCGCTCCGCTCGGCTCCTCTCCGGCCTCGCGGGGCGGAGCCGTCCCCGGGCCCCACCCCCACCAGCCCCCCCACCCCGTACAGGCAGCCGTCCTCTGATTGGCCGCCGAGGGCACCCCTTGACACCAGACCCTGCACCCTAGAGCCCGCCCGGACTCCCAAGCGCACCCGGCGTGCGGTCGGTGGGAAGCCGGGAAGAACCCCAGCCCCGCTTTACTCGCTCTGTTTGGCTCGAGTGGCCGCTGCGCGGGAGCCCACGGGCCGAGTCTGCCTCTGTCTCCCCACGTCTGCTCCCGATCGCTCCGGGTCTCCGAGAAGCCGGCGGAACGGCCATGGGCGCACACTCGCATCGGGCGCGCCTACTTCTGGGGCTACTGCTGCTACTACCAGGTACGCGCGCGAGCTGAGACCGAGACGGTGCCCCGAGAGGGGACGCGGGGTCCGAGCGGCGGGAGCGCTGCGCCGGAGCCGGGGATCGCACCCGCGAGCCCTCCCTCCGGCCCGGCGAGCTGGGTGGGGCGCCCGTTGCCCCTCGGCGCAGGGCTTCCTGAGGCCTCTGCTTGGAGCAGGGTCCGTACGCCAGGGGCGTCGGCTCCACTGTCTGCCTCCCAAGTGGGGAAACTGATGCCAGAGAGCGGAAGGCTTGAAGGCCCCCTGGGAGGAGAGGGCAGTCGTTTCGCACCCCGGGGCCCAGCGTGTGCACCCACTTCCCCTAAGAGGCCCTTACCCGCCGTCAGAAGCCTGGGTGGGCTGGTTCATCACCCGGGGATGAAGGTCTGGCAGGGTTACAGGGGACCTGTTGGGAGAGTGCGATGTGGCTGTGCTCTTTGACCTGTCACTTTGGTGCCGAGGCCCCCACTCCTGAGAGAGCCTTGCAATCCCCAGAGCTCCTGCCTGTAGATCCTTCTGTACTGGGGGGCGTGGGAAGGGAGCAGGCACGATCCCATTTCAAGACCTGGAGAAGCTGGGGCTTCACCAGGGATCCCCCCATCCCCACCCCGGACTGCAAGCAGGGAGCAGTGGGCCGCTGACTCAAGAGGCCTGGGGTGTAGAGGGGTCGCCGAGGGGTTCAGAGATGTTAGGGCGTCTGATGAGGATGTGAAGACGGCCTCAGCAGGACGCCTGGGTCACACCCTGCAATCAGTGGAGCCACGTAGGCACCCAGCCTCCAAGGGGGTTGGTAGCCACACCCAGACAGGGTCCTGGGTGGGATGAAGGAGAGCCCCAGACCTGGCTGTAGTCTGTTCCTGGGAGGCTGGAAGGCAAAACACTTGTCCCAGGGGTGGCCCTGCCCCTGGAGTGGACTGACTATCTCCACCACGGAAGCAGAGAATGGCCGTACCTTTGTAGACCACACGCCTGCCCACGGTAGCGCTGACGATAGGACAGCTCCTGAGCTCTGACCGTGTGCTAGCGCTGAGCCGAGCCCCTCGGCCACGACAGCCCTGGGATGTGGGCATGCTCATAGTCTTTGTTTTTACTCATAAGGAAACTGAGGTTCAGAGAGGCGAAGCCACTTGTCTAAGCTCACACAGGATTTGCACGAGATCTGTCCAAATTCAGAGCCAGGCGCGTACCTGCTGTGCTTCTCACTGCATGTGCGTGACCTGATGGGATCCCTGTCCTTCCTGGGGCTCAGTTTCCCCACCTTAACTGGAAGGAGCAAAACCAGTCGGAAAGTCTAGAGCTCCACAGGGCTCCTGGGCCGAGGGGAGGCTGCAGCGGGCGGGTGTCCCTGGGGAGCGGGAGAAGGTCTAACTGGGTTGCTTTCCCCAGTGGCCGGCAGCTCCGAGGCCGAGCACCGGCTGTTTGAGCGGCTGTTTGAAGATTACAATGAGATCATTCGGCCTGTGGCGAACGTGTCTGACCCCGTCATCGTCCAGTTTGAAGTGTCCATGTCTCAGCTGGTGAAGGTGGTAAGTACTGGGGCCGTAAGTAGTGGCCGTGGGGTATGGGGCTTCTGGAAGAGGTTTTCCCAGACCCTAGTTTTTGTACTTCACGCATCTACTTTGACCTTTCTTTGTAGGATGAAGTGAACCAGATCATGGAGACCAACCTGTGGCTCAGGCAAGTAAGTGACCAGAGCCTGAACACTGCTGCCCCCTGGTGGTGGCTGCTCCATTTGCTGCCGAGAACCAAGAAGGACCCAAAGCCCAAGCTGGGGCCTTCATTCCTGTCGACCCAGACTGGGGTCCACTCACTGGCAGGGCTGTCTCTTCTTGGGCTTGGATCCCAAGGGTCCCCCAGGGCCCAGTCCCTCCAGTCACAGGTGACAGACCGCAGCTTGAAGGGAGAAGCCTTCTCCACGGTCACACAATAAAATGGGACAGACCTGGGCCTGGAGCCCTGGCCCCCAACTCTAGGGTGGGGTGTGAGACCACTTCCTTCCCTTTCTCTTGCCAAAGACTCACCTTTAAATCAGGATCAGATGCTGTAGTTGTCGTTGGCGGGGTGCAGGCAGGGGATCTGGGTTTTCCTGTTCAGATTAAGGCCAAAGAAACTGTCTTCCACGTGTCCTCCCCAGAGAGGCTCCCCAAGACCTGGGCAAATGAATCACGGGCCTGAAAGTGACCCTCCCACCAGCCCAGCCAACTGACCGCTTAGCTCACGAGCCTTCCTGCCGGAGGCTGGAGAGCCGGGCTGGCACAGTGCCTGCTTGGTGCCCCACGGCACGCGACCTCTCGGGCTGTAGCCTCACCACTCCCCTCAGGGACTCAGGACTCAGGTCTCTCAGCCTCTGCACCCAAACCCTTTCAGGATCCCAGTGGGATCGTGGCTCCTTTCCCAAAACCTTTCAGAGGTCAACCCTGGTTAACCTGGAGGTGGAAGTGTTCTGGGATTAGCACCATGTTTGGGGTCTTGGTAGGGAACATGTCTGAGAAAGCCCCTGGAGAGCCAGGCCACCTCCCCGACTTGCACCCACGCAGGAGGCCAGGCCCGTGCGGTCTGCAGCACAGAGCTGGCTCCATGACACATGGCGGGGGTGGGAATTCACCAAGACGGGTGGTGCCAGGAGAGCAAAACCACAGCGGTCTTTTTGCTGCCTCCTCCCCTCAGATCTGGAATGACTACAAGCTGAAGTGGAACCCCGCTGACTACGACGGGGCAGAGTTCCTGCGGGTCCCCGCACAGAAGATCTGGAAGCCCGACATCGTGCTCTACAACAAGTAAGGGCGGTGCTTCACCGCTGAGGGCAGCCCGGCCTCCCTCGGACCTTTCCCCACAGGGCTTCATTCGCTGGTTCATGCCACAGGCATTCACTGAGCTCCAACTGCATGCCAGCTGTGGGACATGCAGCGGTGCACAGAACAGACGCCCCCCTGGCCGCAGGGAAGACAGGCCCGAGTTACTACGTCCACGTGTGCAAATGCAGACTTGAGGGACGGCAAGGGTGGCGAGGAAGGGAAACACAAGGTGGGGCGGGGTGGGGCGGGGGGACCCTGCCCCGTGGCCCTTCCTAGGACTGACCTTCCCTGTAAGTCAGGCCCCAGTGGGCCCAGTGAGGTGAGACCTCAGGGAGGCAGCATTCCTCTGTGCACCTGGTGAGTCCGCCCTGCCCCGTCTGACCCCCTCCACGCACCTCCCCACCCGCTGCAGGCAGCCCCGAGGTTCCTCTCGACCATCTGAACCTGCACATCACAGCACCTCTTTTTTACAAAGCTGACACTTCCCACACTTAAGCTCTGTTATTAAGCAACATAAATTTTCACTGATATTTTATAGCATGTGCTAGTTTGCTCTTGGGTATTGAAAAACATTTTTTCACCAGTGCTTTATCTCTAGTTATAAAGTTTTAACCATTAAGCATTTTTCAGCACAACACTTCATATAAATTTAGTCTAATTTAATTTTAATGAGGAAAAGCATTCTGTGATCAGGTTGTTATGCTGTATTAGTACAATTAACTAATTTTACAATTAGTATTAGGAATGCAGTAGCTATGTTTTTGGCTGGATCCCACTTTCTGGTCACTGGCTAAACAAAGGGGGATCTTTAACCACTCCAGGGATGGTCTGTGTCATATTTACTGTTTTCCAAGAAGAAACAGCACTCATAAATATGCATCTTTAATGCACTTTGTATTTGTACAGTGGCCTATAGAGAGCTGGGACAGAAGACAAATGTGGCTGATTTGCAGAGCGTGAGCTGCCCTGTCCAAAGACTCAGAGGGAGCTGGGCAGGGTGCCAAAAAGTTTTGCTAAACTAAATTAACAAAATGGGCAACATTTTTAATCTCATGATTTAAGTGTTACAACTGTTTTCTTTCTGGAAATTTTGGGTGAACAGTGAACTTTAGGATGTATGCTTGTAACAATGCTGAGACACACTGAAGTGCTTCAAATTGGATTTGGGAGAAGCAGATACCATAAAGAATTTCCTTAGAGTCAGAAACTGAAAATAATATTGAGAGAAAATCATCCAACTCCTCTCACATAGTCAGAATTTCAGTTTTCAGGATGGGTCCTCTGCTGAGGGTTTCTCTTCATTTCAACTCTAGAAACACCTTTTAGTTTCTTATGCCAAAGTTTCTCGTATGAGCTTTGGCTTTCTGAAGTTCATTCTCCAATAGACTCCTCTGAAAGTGCTCGCGGTTTACCCCAAGTTCCCACAAGTTCATAACTCATTGCAGCCTTTTTAGATAATACTTTAGGTATTATCTAGATACATTTAGGTGACTTACCAGGATAGAAAATCCTTGGCTTGTTTTTTCCTTCCATGAAAATCTGAAAAATGCTGACTTGTGTCCTGGTACAAGATATCACTGTCAAATCTGGTGCCACTCTAATTTGCTTGTTCTTGTAAAATCAGGTAACTTTTGGGAGAGAAAGGGGACGCCATTAGCAAGTGTCCCAGGACCCCAGTTGTAAACAAAAACTCTCCTAGACAAACTGGGATGTATGTTAGCTTACTTATAAGTGGGTTGTTCTTTCTTCTTATATAAGCAAGAGACACTTTTCCTTTGTTTTACTCTACCATGTACTTAAGAAGCTTTTTTTAAAAAAAGATTTTATTTACTTATTTATTTTTAGAGAGAGGGGAAGGGAGGGAGAAAGAGAGAGAGAAACAGTGATATGTGGTTGTCTATTGCGTGTGCCCCACCAGAGACCTGCCCCACAACCCAGGCATGTGCCCCAACTGGGAATCGAACTGGCGACCCCTTGGTTCTCAGGCCGCTGCTCAATCCACTGAGCCACACCAGCCAGGGCTAACCCTTCTTTTATTCTAGAAGGAGTAAGAAACATGGGTAGACAGTGGTGAAAGGTAGGGAAACAGAAGGTGGGAAGGAACCTGTTGTGCTGGGTTTGAAACACGGAATCAGACTACATGGTTATTTTAGAACAGTGCTGGGAGAAATGGGAGCGTGGTGAATGGTAGAGATGTGCTCTGGTAATAAACCCATCTAACAGGGTTTTCAGTTTAGTGGGGCTCCCACAGTGGTTTCACACACACACTGTGTACACACGTCAGGCACCCGATGGAGACTGAATGAGGAGGCACTAATGAGGTCGAAAACACAGGAACAGAGGGTGGCAAGTATTCCCAAAGGTCGCCTGCCTCCGGGATGACAACTTTCATCCTGTTTCTTTACTTAAAGGGAAAATTTTCTGGCATTTGGGGTGTCTCAGTAAAAAATGTCAGGTCGGATGTTGTATGTGGCGGGATGAACCAGCGACATGCATAGGTGACGAGTGTGTCAGATTGTGTGTGTTGGGGGGGTCCTGGGCCTCAGTGTCCCCATTGGTATGTGGGGGTAGTTAAACAGGCAACCTTTCACCGCACTTGCAGCTCTCACATTCCACAGTGTACAAGGTGTTCTTAGAGTTTACCTGCTGGCGCATGAGGGCTGGACTGGAGACCACGCTGCGATGACCATGTGCCTCCTCATTGTCTTTGCAGTGCGGTTGGGGATTTCCAGGTGGATGACAAGACCAAAGCTCTGCTCAAGTACACGGGGGAAGTGACTTGGATCCCTCCGGCCATCTTTAAGAGCTCGTGCAAAATCGACGTGACCTACTTCCCATTTGATTATCAGAACTGCACCATGAAGTTTGGGTCCTGGTCCTACGACAAGGCGAAAATCGACCTGGTTCTCATCGGCTCCTCCATGAACCTGAAGGACTACTGGGAGAGCGGCGAGTGGGCCATCATCCGAGCCCCAGGCTACAAGCACGACATCAAGTACAACTGCTGTGAGGAGATCTACCCAGACATCACGTACTCGCTGTACATCCGGCGCCTGCCGCTCTTCTACACCATCAACCTCATCATCCCCTGCCTGCTCATCTCCTTCCTCACTGTGCTCGTCTTCTACCTGCCCTCTGACTGCGGCGAGAAGGTGACTCTCTGCATCTCCGTCCTTCTCTCCCTGACTGTCTTCCTCCTGGTGATCACCGAGACCATCCCCTCCACCTCGCTGGTCATCCCCCTCATTGGCGAGTACCTTCTGTTCACCATGATATTTGTCACCTTGTCCATTGTCATCACCGTCTTCGTACTCAACGTGCACTACAGAACCCCCACTACACACACGATGCCCACGTGGGTAAAGACCATATTCTTGAACTTGCTTCCCAGGGTCATGTTCATGACCAGGCCGGCAGGCAATGAGGGCAGCACTCCGAGCCCCAGGCCCGTCTACAGTGCCGAGCACTCCAGCCTGAACTGCTTCAGCCGCGGGGAGTCCAAGGGCTGCAAGGAAGGCCACCCCTGCCAGGACGGGCTGTGCGGGTACTGCCACCATCGCAGGCTGAAAATCTCAAACTTCACCGCCAACCTCACAAGAAGCTCCAGCACCGAATCTGTTGACGCCGTGCTCTCGCTTTCTGCTCTGTCACCAGAAATCAAAGAAGCCATCCAAAGTGTCAAGTACATTGCTGAAAATATGAAAGCACAAAATGAAGCCAAGGAGGTAAGATATTACATTGGTCGTTCGTTCTCTCAACCAGACAAAGGCGTAGGGCTGGGTTAGGAAATTAGACTCTGGAGTCAGCGGCCTGTGTCCAGACCAGCTTCATGTTGCCTCCCCATCCCCGCCGCCGAGCCTGTCTTCTCATCTGTAAGATGGGGTGACAGAGCTCATGAGTGTATGGTGCCCTGAATTAGCCTGTGGACTGCCACCACTCTGGGCCAGGAGAGTCGATCAGGAGATGGGTCAGAATGATCTCCCATTAGTATTGATCAGCTCAGCTTAGACTTTTAATTTTACTTTCTGATTGTGTGTGTTTTTCCCATTTATATATAATTTACATAAAGTGCCCCACTTTTAAGTGCACAGCTCAGTGAATGTTTGCATTATATATACAAACCACGAAACCATGATCCATGTGAAGATATGGGACATTTCCATGCCCCTTCCCAGCCAGTGTCTTCCTCTTAACCACCGATCCTTGAACTTCAAATAAATGGAATCACATAGTAAAAACTCTCTCATATCTGACTCCATTCAAAAGAATTCTTTAATGCTTATCCTTTCATTGCTTTTTTTTAATTGGTTTGTACTGTTCCATAATACAACTGTACTGCCTTCTGTTACCCTACAGTTCTGGGACATTTGGTTATTTCTAGTTTGGGGCTCATTTAAATAAAGCTGCTACAAATATTTTTGTACATGCCTTTTGGTGAACATATGCAGCCATTTCTCTTGAATAAATACCTAGGAGTGGAACTGCTGGATCATTGGAGAGCTATGTTTTTACCTTTAGTGGATACCAAAAGGTTTCCAAAGTGTTTGAACCAATTGACACTCCCCCCGCCAGCCACCATCCCGGGCTGGGAGAGGGCAGGGAGAAGAAAGCACAGCTCCAGGATCTTCCCAGTCCTCCCCTCCCCAGACCCGGCTCACACTCGCCGGGCTGCACCTTCCAAGGTCCTGACAGTCCTGTACAACTCCAGAGCCAAGCTGGGAGAGGGAGCCAGAAGCTTGTGCTAGTTCACCGTTTTGCCTAAACTCATGTACCTGTTATTCATCGTTAGTTCCAAGGTTTCCAGAGAATGGCCACTATCATTTTACCTTAAAGACTTTGAGAGTTAAATGCAACACTAATTTTTACCCTGCTCTTTTTACAGTACTATTTGTATTCTCTTCATATGTAAGACCCAAGTCTCATCTCTCTGTACCAGGCTAAACCATGTGAATTGCCGTCAGAGGGAGATTTACACTTGGATAATGGGCATCGTTAAACCAGCATTAACATAAACAGATATTATTCCTTAAGAACCCTGTGTCAGGCACATCAGTTCATTTAATCCTCATAACATCCTTATGTGGTAGGTATGGTTCTTATTCCCATTTTATAGATGAGGGAACTGAGGCTAAGAAAGGTCAGATAACTTACCCAGATTCTCATGACTAGAAAGTAGCAGAGCTGGAATTGTAATCAAAGTCTGCTTCCAATCCTCTGCTTCCCACCCCACCTCCCAGGCGTGAGGATGTTTACCCAGCAGAGACTGGGAGGGAATCACAGAGCCTACTGTGTCTTGGAAGCACTAACAAACCAAAATCTTAGAAATTCAAATAAAGTACCTTGTGGCAAATATAGAATAATTCCAATTTTACTTGTGACTCCTTAGTGCCATCAAGGGGACACACTTCTTCCAGCTCATCATGGTAAAATCCATCCTGTCTCCCAGGCCCATTTTGGTCACTTAATTAAATTACTACATCCATAGTGCCTCTTTGTTATGTGATTATTTCTTCCAAATCAGTTGATTCATGGGTTCTCTCTTCTCAATTCAATTATGGTTTCGTTGCTTTCTGAGTTGTCTAGGAGCATAATGAACGTACAATCCCCGTTCTTATTTCCAGCTTCAATTGAAGCCTTATTGTACACAATGAGTCCTGCTCCTTCTTCCATCTTTTACATTATTATCAGCAATTATTTCTGATTTCCAGCCTGTTCTATAACCATGCAGAATCCCATACTTTGGACTTGTAACTGAAGATGATATTTGGTTATTTGGGTATTGCCAGGGGCAGGGGGCAGAGGGAGAGGAAGAATAATGATGGACTTGCCTAAAGTCATTTTTGGATGTTGAAAGGAAATGTCATCTAAAACTGGGTAAGAACTAGCACTTTGAATCAAGTAAGTGATGTTGGATTGTATTTGCTGTTCTAACAAAGACCCAGAACACCCCACAGAGGTGGAAGGCAACTAACTGACTTTACTAAGTATAAATTGTAATTCAACTTAGAAAATACAGGTTACATGCACATTAAGAAATTTCTGATTTAAAGTAACACAAGGTGAGGAGGAGAGTATAAGGGAACTAATTGGTAATGGAAAAAAATAAAATTAAGTTAAATTTAAAAAATAAAGCAACATGACAAATGTTTTATACTATTTCTCTAGTGCCTAAAGAAAAATTTCAGAATAGTACACTTCCTAAGACTACATCAATGGGAAAAAAATACCTTGCAATTCGGCAGGAATAGCTGCACTGTATTTATTAAATGTTCAGGAGTGAAAACATATTCACACTGTCTTCTCCTTCATGCTTTGTTTTTTCCTCTTCCATGATTTTTGTTCTCATTTTTCAGATTCAAGATGACTGGAAGTATGTAGCCATGGTGATCGACCGTATTTTCCTGTGGGTGTTCATCCTGGTCTGCATTTTAGGGACGGCCGGATTGTTCCTGCAGCCCTTGATGGCCAAGGATGACACCTAAGCACTGATCTCTGCATCTGCCTGGGGCACGTTGGGTGGTACTCTTTTTTTTTTTAATTTTGATAAAACACACTTAACATGAAATTTGCCATCTTAAGCATTTTTACATTCATGCTCAGTGATATTAAATACATTTTCATTGCTGTGCAATCATCATCACTGCTCATCCCCATAACTCTTTGCATTCTGTAAAACTGAAACTATACACCCATTACACACTAACTCCCTATTTCCCCTGCCCCAGCCTCTGGCAACCACCATTCTACTTTCTGTCTCTAAGTTTGAATACTCTAATAGGTACTTCATATAAGTGGAATCATATAGTATTAGTCTTTTTGTGACTGGCTTGTTTCACTTAGCATAATATCCTCAAGGTGCTTCCATGTTGTAGTATAACACAGAATTTCCTTGCTTTTTAAGGCTGAGTTGTATTCCATTGTCTATAGAGAACACATGTTGCTGTTCCTTCAACTTGAGTTGTTCCCATCCTATTGTGGATAATGCTGCTGTGAACATGGGTGTACAAATATCTAAGACCCTGCTTTCAGTTCTTATAGGTGTATAATAATGCTATTTTAAACTTTTTGAGGAACCACCATACTGTTTCCACCATGGCTGTACAATTTTACATTCCCACCAACTGTGCACAAGAGTTCCAATTTCGTCACATCGTTGCAAACACTTTTCCTGTTTTTTTGTTAGTAGCCATCCTAATGGGTATGAGGTGATATCTCATTGTAATTGTGATTTGCATTTCCCTAATTAGTGGTGTTGAATATCTTTTCATGTGCTGTTGGCAATTTGTATATCTTCTTTGGAGAAATGTCTGTTCAAGTCCTTTGCCCATTTTTCAATCAGGTTAGTTGTTTTTTATTACATTTTATGTCTGTATATATTTTGTAATATTAATCTCTTATTAGATATATGATTTGCAAATATTTTCTTCTATTCTGTCAGTTGCCTTCTTACTCTGTTGATAGTGTCTTCTGATGCACAAAATTTTTTAATTTTCATGATGTCCATTGTGTCTATTTTTTCTTTTTTACCTGTGCCTTTTGTGTCATATCCAAGAAATCACTGCCAAATCCAACGTCACAAAGCATTTGTCCTGTTTTCTTGTAAGAGTTTTGTTTTTTTCAATGCTTTCTTAATAGTAACACACTTTGTATTATGAAGCACTGTCTTTGCTTTTGGCATTTCAATGTTTACTTATTATCCAGTTGTCTTGATTTTTGTCAAAAAAGAGTTATGTAAGAAAACTCTTCATTACGGATAAGTGAACATTTAACCAGCCTTTTTGGTAAGGTAAAGAAATGTGAGAATACAAATATTCCACAGTGATAAAACATATATAATGGGCTAAATATGAAAACTGTTTCCCTTTTTTTAGTTGCTGAAATATAGCTTGATAGAAAAACTTGCTGTTCAGAAATGTAAAAATCATTTGGTTCAGTATCACAACAGACGTCTCAGTGGTTTTTCTTATCTAGCCTATAATCTCCTTAACGTTTTATACTATTTCAGCAGTATCCCACTACTACTGTTTCTTACCATGCACTTTCTGTTCTTTACTATTTTTCTAGAGTCTAAGGAAATGTCTCCATTGCAAAGAACCTCAACTATTTATTTGCACAATTGAAACCTGTACTATGAGAAATTATGCCTAGTCACACATTCATTGTTAATGAACTTTTAGAACAAGGACATTTTAGGATGGATAATTTTGTGTTGGAGGAGTCTCCTGTACACTGTAGGATCTTTAGCAGCACACTACCTTCTACCCACTAGATGCTGACAACATACCTCCATCTCTTGCCAGTTGTGACAACAAAAAGATGCCTCCAAAAATTGTTCAGTGTTCCCGGGGTGGCAGGGCAGGGCGAAGGAAATCACCCCTAGTTGAAAACCATTGCTTTAGACAAATCATTAATACTGTTCTGAATCTGAATACAACAGCAAGAGATGATGGTTGACAGAGATCATTTTAACCTCACTAGTCATTATAGCATTTTTTCCTATGTAAAAATAAAATGGACAAAATTGCAGCCCCTTGTGACATGTTTAATTAAGGGGAACATTTCTATAAAATTTATGTATAAAAATTAAAAATAACAGTAATGGTGACGTAACAGGCACTAAAGATGTATACAAGGTCTGTCCAGAAAGTATCATCCAGCCATTTAATATGAAAAATGGAGGTATCTATTGAAGAAGATACAAGGAACATTGTACATAGAACAATGACACCTCAGTCCCCTTCAAAGTAGGCCCCTTGGGACCTCACACAATTCTCCCAGTGTCTCTTTCACTATTCAAAACACTCTGCAAAATCCTTTGTTGGAATTGCCATCAACTGCCCTGTTGTATTTTCCTGAATCTCATCAAAGATCTGAAATCTCTTGCCTTTCAAAGGTGATTTTAGTTTTGGGAAAAGCCAGAACTGGTAGGGCACTATATCTGGGTTTATAGGGGGCTGAGTCACCTGGGTGATTTTGTTTCACAAAAAAACCTGCATGAAACGTGATGCAAGGACAGGGATGTTGTTGTGATAAAGCTGTCAATCACCACTTGCTGATAGCTGCAGCCATTTTCATCATATTGCATCTGTCAACCAACAAAGAACATTGAGCTAGTATTCTTTATTGTTGGGCCCAGAGGGGTGTATTCGTGGTGGACCACACCTTCCCAATCAAAAATCACAGTTAACATGGTCTTGATCTTGCTGCAACTTTGCTGCTCCTTCTTTGGACTTGGAGAACTAAGCTAATTCCATTAAGACTACTGAGTCTTCATTTCCAGATCATAGTCGTAGACCCATGATTCACCTCTGGTTGTGACCATCTTGAGGAAATCTGGTTCATTGGTAGCAGTTTGAATTAAGTCATTAGCAACTGCAGCACAATGTTCCTTCTGCTCTGGTAGCAGAAGCTGTGGAATGAATTTCGCCATGACACATTTCATGCCAAGATTCTGTGTCAAACTCTCAGAACCAGTAGTTTTGGAATCCCCAGATCAGCTTCTAGTCCTCACACTGTCAGTCGCCAATCTCTGTTATTGCAGCCCATACACATCCAACATTATCAGGTGTTCTGCTTGTTGCAGGCCTTCTAGAATGTGGATCACTTTCCACACACTCACAACCATCTTTGAAGCATTTGTGTCACACATTTATTTGTGCTGCACTCTTTGCATCACCCTGAAAGTCTTCTGAATCATCTGAATAGTTTCCACAGAAGAATGTTCAATCTTAATGCAAAATTTGATGCAGATTCATTGCTCTATTTGCTCAGGGCATTGTGAATGTGACAGCCACACAGTACATATGCTCACTCAACAGCATCTACCACCCCACTGACTAATACAGTGAAGTCATCATTGTTTACATATGCACATTCCAGTCCATTCACTCCTTGGCTACCAGGTTACATCAATGTAGCACAAATGTTCTTGATGGCTGGCCTTTTCCTGGACAGACTTCATACATGCTAAGATAGCTAACAGGAAATGTAAAAGAACCAAACCAGGCTTTCATTTATTAAATGGCATTCAATGTCTACCTACAAGAAAAGACAGATTCAAGCATTCACTTGAACTCAAGTGGGTTACATACTATAAACAAATAAGGCATTTGTTCCCTCAAGAGCTAAAATTTCTAGATCAAGTACAACAGTTCTATCAGGTTTTGTTCCTGGTCATAGCTGAATCAGGGACATTTAGAGATGAAATTTAACTTGCTTACCTGTGACGCATGACATTATCCTGCATAAGAAGTAATAAGCTAAAACTACATTATGTCTAAGGGTCCTTGCAACTCTCAGATTCTAGTATTGTAAATGTTGGAATGAAAGAGATAAAAAGGAGACATTACAGGTATGGAAAATGTATGATATGTTCATACCAAATTAGACTACCATCTTTAATTTTGGAAGATGATTTTCTCACAGAACAATTTAGTAGTATCCATCAACATGTTTTTAGAATGGGATTCACTTAATTGTCATGGACTCTTCTAAGATCAAGGATAAAGAGATATTACCACAATTTATATAAAATATGGTTCTACTAATTGTGGAAAATGTGGACAGGGATTGAAATTAATGTTAAGAACACATTACTGCATGTCCATGGGAGCTGTCTGTTGTGTGATTTCACAACGGAAAGTGAGCTATAAAAATAGTATAATAATTGTTCAATTTAAGCATCTAAAGAATAAAGTAAGCCTTAAAGGAGTTCCCAATTTCCATTTTTCATCTTTTTAAAATTTTGGTTATAGAAAATCAGCATCATATTCAATATTTACCACACTAAGTACTCAGCTTACTTAATGTAGCAGGATAATACTGTACTACAGACTAGCTGTTACTCAGTGAATAGGGGACAGAAGGAATTTAAAAATGTGTAACTTTACCAAATGCAGAAAAGGTTTTGAAGTCCATCTTCAAATACAACAGGAATTTTCCAGTGCATCAAATATGAACTTCACTGTAGATTATAAATTATTGCAAATTAAAAAGTATTACTAACCTGGATAAAAACATTAGATTTTTACTGGTACAGGTCAGATAATATTTTCCTGTTATTTTTAGAAGATCAAATGTTACTCAGTCAGTTATTACTTTATTCATGCAGATGGGAAACCTATTAAGATAAAGTGATATGAGCAAGTATTATTCTGTTAAAGCTTGCATGAAATTTGAAACACAATGGACATTTTCATAATTCTATAGATGCTATAAGGTATATATGCCTTCTGGTAACTAAATTCCTACTACAACCGCGAGGGAAGCATCACTTATTTGCATTTCCAATTTGAACCGGAACTGTTATATTTGCCCATTTATAAATAACAGGAACAAAAAGCCCAAGAGAACCAACAACCGAAACCAGAAGAAAAGTCCACAGAAATAGCCGATCAAGGACCTGAGCTATGAACTTCCAATCTTCAACAACCTGTTGCAAAACAAATAAAATATAAAAATTAAACACATGCTTTAACATTGTGTAATTATTTTACGATATAACACATTGAATTAAGGCCAAATCAGTTTCTGATGCCTACTGCTGCCTGGAAACTGTAAGTGACCCTGTGTTCAGAACTCAGGGACAGATGCTGCCCTCACTGTTAGAACAGGGCCTCTGTGAGCTCTCAAAGACATGTCACAGTGTCATTTATACATCAGTGTGTAATATCTTACAAGTGGCTTATTTTGATCATTTTTTAAAATTTTTAAAAGATTTTATTTATTTATTTTTAGAGAGAGGGGAAGGGAGGAAGAAAGAGAGGGACAGAAACATCAATGTGTGGTTGCCTCCTGCGCACCCCCTACCAGGCTCACAACCCAGGAATGTGTCCTGACTGGGAATCGAACAGGGGACTCTTTGCTTCGCAGTTCAGTGCTCAATCCACTGAGCCACACCAGTCAGGTATTTTGATAATTTTTAATGAAAATTAGAATATTTATACTATTTTATTACTTTGTAATAAAAAAATCTCTTTTGTTCTTAATACATAGTTATTTCTGTTACTTATTCTTGCCCAGCAGTGTTTACTTATTTTAATTTTTAAAGAAAACCCAGCCTGAGGCTAACTTCATGCCAAATTAAAAGCTGACTCAGAATAGTACCTCTTCAATTTAATCTCCCCCACCCCTCACCTGCTTGGTTTAGTTACGGATGTCCTAGGGCCATGGTAGGCTAAGGTCATGAGGACAAGATCTGCCACCAGGGAGCTCATTTCCTCCCAGTTTGTGCAGCCTAAGCAGGCAGCTGGCTCGGCAGGTGTGAGTGGTCTGAGGAAGGGCAGGCAGAGACCAGGCTCACAGCACAGGCAGGACCATCATTCCCTAGAATGCCAAACAGTCAGCTCAATACTGAGTTTTCTTTAAAATCCTCCAAGGTGCCTGGGGGGAGCTGAGAAGTGGGATGTGTGTAGGTGCCCCATTTTATGGATGTTTTAACTGGCACAGATTGTAGTAAAGATCTTTGATAGAACATAGGTCAACATTTCTGGCCCTCAATCTAAGCTGAGTCTAGGAGGGTCATGACCTGCATTTTTATCACATGTCACAGACCTCACGGACATCGTTCTCCTTCATGACATGTCTTGTAATATATCGAATCGAATCAAGTGCAGCTTCCAAAGTATTTCTGGAACATTTTGGTCCACTACCGCTCTCGGTTTCCTGCTTCTGGGTGAAGTACCTGTCTACGTGGCTTCTCATGCAGAGCAGTTTTGGAAGCTTATGGAGAAATATCTTGCGGACCCATGGAGCCATAGCATCATGTGTTGAGGGAGAACGATGATGAATGTTGATGGCAAAGACAGTCACCATAATTGACAGTGTCACAAAAATCATGGTAAACACCAGATACTCCCCAATCAGAGGTATTACTTTTGAAGATGAGGGTATGATTTCTTCAATAACCAGAAGGAAGACAGTCAAAGAGACAAGTACTGAAGTGCAGAGAGAAATCTTTTCACCTTCATTTGAAGGAAGATAGAAGACAAGTACAGTTAAAAACGAGAGCCCAATACAGGGGATAATAAGGAACAAGGTATAAAAGAGAGGCAGACGCTTAATTACAAACGAGTAAGTGATATACGGGTACCAGCAACAGCTGTCGGTTCTGTTCCCTTTGCTTCCTGTTGCACTCACAATTTCCCATTCTCCATTGTCAAAAAAATCTCTCTTGTCTACATCTTGGTCTTCTAAAATTATGTCCACCTGGGATCCATCGTAAGTCCAAGAACCAAACTTCATGGAACAGTTCTGGAGATCAAACGGGAAAAACGTGACGTCTATGGTGCAGGAACTTTTGTAGTTGGCCGGCGGAGTCCAGGTAACGGTGCCATCGTACCTGACAACAGTTTTCGTGCTGGCCCCTTCAAAACGTCCGTCTGCACTGAAACACACACACACACCCCATAACAATGCTGGAACTAAATAGCCCAAGCACGTGTCTTACAAGCCTGGTACAGAAGAAAGCCTACATTACAGCATGGAATACTCCTAAATTATTACACTGGAGATGTGCCTTCTTATACAAGGTCTCTGCTTTAAGAACATCTTATATACCTTCTTCCATATCGACACCAGGACTGATAGATCTACAACCCACAGAATCCTGCCATTTTTGTGGCTGAACAGATTTCACTTTACACACAAAATATAATCAGGCTATTTATACGACAGACATGCCTAGAGCCAGAAATCAAATCCTAGACTCCCTGCAGAGTGTGCTTCCCTCTATCACAAACAGCAGGTGCTTGTATGTTGAATGGAAAAGTGTATGAGCACCAAGCTGACCACGACTCTGACAAACAGTAGTGCCCCTAAGCTGTCCCGAGTGAACTGATATTCTGGAGAAATTTGCAGGAAACTGCCCACCAACATAAGATTTCTTTGAAATATTGTTCTGTATCTTAAAATTCATGTGACTTTTGCACAGTACCCTGCAATATATCTATGTTTAATGTAAAAATGTTTTCAATGACTTAGAGTAAAAGGATGCTCCAAGAAGCTGCATCACGCTACCTTACACTTAGTTTCCTCTTTACATTTCGAGAAGCATGGAGGTAAATTTTTAAAAGACTAAAGATATTTTCCCAAAGCATGTGCTCTGTCTTTGTGCTAAGTGCCTTCTTGCAAATAATGCAAAAAGTACATCAGGATAAGTACAAATCCCCAGATTTGCTCTGCAGTGGTCCTAGAAAAAAAATGAGACTGGCATCCAAAATTATTCTCTCCCTGAGTTAAAAACTATCCTAAAACACATTGAGGTAGGATGCCTGTAAAGTTGTGTTAACACTCCTTGTCATGGGATAATTACAATCTACTATTTAAGCAAAATTAGAAGGATGTACATTTGAACGTAAAGTATGACCTGGACTATTTTTAAAAAATACAAAAAAATCTGGGAAGCAGTCGGCCAAACATACATTCCAGTAAATAAGAGGGTAAACGGGGCTCTGGGACCTCCTTAGTGAGAACCCTGCCCTGCCACCCCTGGGCTGTGTGATGTCGGACAAGGTAAGACCACCCTCGGCCTCTGTTTCCTCATCTGTCAATCGGATGGAATGGCACCCAGCTCGGGAGGTTCCTGAAACACTTGAACAAACAGCACACGTGGCACTGAGCTCACCACCAGGCACAGTGAGTTCACTGCATGTCTGATTCCTCTAAGCGCTGGATAATGAGTCTGATAACTGGTTATCTCTCCTACCTCCTTACACTTTTCTAGGCTTCCCTAATGTTCTACAAATTTTAGAAATCAAAGAACACTTTTATCACCAGAAACAATACACACACAGAAAGGAGAGGATCCACAGAATCTATCTGAAGCCAAAGAATATAAGATCAAGTCATTTGACTTTACAGCTAAACAATTTTCAAAAGTAAGAAAACATTACTAGTGTCTAATAGAAATGCAAGTGTTTCCTTTTGAAACATAAAATGATATTTTGAATATAACTTACTTATCAAACAAAACGATGTCTGGAGTCCAGAGAGAATCTGAAGGGACACGTATGACTCTTATCCCACCATAGTCATCAGGGTTCCATCTTAATTTTACATCTTTCCATTCCTTTAGAACAAACAGAACTATTTCAATTTCAGTAAAATAAATAATCAAAAATACTGAAAAGTGTACACTTTTTGCCAAACCCAGATATTTTAGACATGAAATCATGTCTACTCGCCAGAGAGAAAGTCCACGTCATGTTTCTCGTGGGGACTGGCACTTTCGTGTCCCTTTGTGCAGCGGTTCCAGGCAGGGTCCCCATGAGACACAGTGAAGCCCAGGCTGAGCGGCCCACGGCTCTGCTCAGCACCCCCCTCCAACTACTACCCGTGGCCCGGAGCGGCAGCCGTGGGTATCTCTGGTCCAGGTTAGAGGGAAACGTTCTTTTTTCCAGCAGTGCTGTGAATGATTTGTTGGACTCGACCACGCAAAGAGCTGCTGGACTTATTACACGTGTGACATATTTAAACACCTTGTCCAACTTCCACGTGATAACAACTGTGTGATCATGTCAAGTTAAAATTTGCACCCTGAGAAAAGCACACATGCCTTTTAGGAGTTAGGGGTTAGGGAACTGCTAGATGCTTGAAAAAGCAGACTATGAACAAAGAACAAAGGGAAGCACTGCACAGCAGCTGGGGACATATGTATGGTGGTCCAGGAAAAAAAAAAAAGAAGTCTTTTATATAAAAGGGACTATGTACATAAAAGTAATTTGCCATTGCCCATTCCCATCTTTGCAAAAGCTGAAGCCTTTGAGTGACCAGTCTGCCATCGCGTCCCTGACCTTATCGGACGCCTGCCTCCCTGGGGCTCCCTCACCTCTCCTGCAAGCCTTTGTTCAAACCTTGCCTTCTCCGTGATCCCGTCCCAGTCCATCCTACTTAAAAGTACAGACCCCACTGTGTTTTCTCCCAAGCTTACCAGCTTCAGAGGTACTGTTTATTTCCCCCCACTAGAATGAAGTTCTTTGGGGACAGGACTTTTATCTGTTTTGTTCACTGCTGTTTCCCTAGTGCCCGGCACTAAAATAACATCAACTGAGTAAATACAAGAGCTCCGCTGCCTGCTGATCCACCAAGGCTAGATCCTGACTCACATCCCTTTGTGCTGCTGATCCTGAAATATAGTGGCACATGTCACCAGTCGGGTGGCCATTTGAATGTTACACGTACCTGTTTCAGCCAGACATTTGTTGTCATTAACTGGTTTTTTTCATCCTATAAAACAAAAATTTAAATAGGGTTGATTGTTCCAATTACAGAGACAAAAATTCTTTAAAAATGGGGTTTTTTCATTTTATATAAACGCCCCTCCCCATAGAGTTCTTACGGCCTGTTCATCAGTCCAGCTCTCTGGGAAAGCAGGGTCTTTTTTCCAGCCTAATCGCACAGTATCCCTTTGGCAAACCCTGTATCTCGGATACACTGCCCTGAAGTACACCACGGGCATTTTTAGATTTAATTTTCAGCATCTCAGCCACTATATTCCCTCGAATCTAAGACACAATCTAATAAATAAGCACAGTATTACTTTACGTGCTTAGCACTAAGAAAAGACAAGGCTGACAATGCGTCGTGAGCTGCCACTGATTATAAGACACATCTTGATTTCAGAGCTGCTACCGTGAAGAAAGTGTGCATCTTCGTGACACACAGCGCTTCAGTGCAGTCCTGAAGGACTGCAAAGTCATTATTTGCCTCCGCTGAGGCACAGATTTGAATCTCTGTGAAGCTGCTGTGTAGAAAAAAACACTGAGGCCACAGCTTGAATGGCAGCTTCATAAAGTTTGCACACCCTACGTTTCTAGAGTACCAGGGGTCCTGCCAGTCGGGGAGAGGACAGAAGTATACATAGCTTAGGGGACTGGAAGGCGCCCATCCCCTGTCCCGCCCAAGGGCGGGCAAATGACCCAGAAGGAAGGAGTCCTGGGAATACCACATGGCCATCCCTCATGCATTGAGGTTCCAAAGAGCCACTTTACCTTCAGGAGTGTGAAATTGAATACACAATGACATGCACACCTACCACATCCACTAACTGAGATATTGCAAGGCCAAACTTTATTTTTATTTTGTCATTCAGGTGTTCCACAGGACGAACCCATCTTTCATAGTCTTGAAATAAATCCTTAAACAAGCTATCTTCATGTTTTGCAACAAAGAACGGTTCAGCTAATCCTGTATAACAAATTTTTAAAAGTTAGTGTACTAGGTTCTCTCTTACTAATACCTCAAGTTAAAAAAGAGTTCATCATCACTAGTGAACTAAACTATTATTTAGATTATTATTAATGTACTTTCAAAATGAAATATTAATATAATTGTTTGTGATCAATAAGGAACACTCCAGTTCAGATACATTGCTTAGTTAAATCAGATTACTCACATGGAAACATGCAGAGCTCCTTAAGAAGCACTCAGAGTTTACATATATATGTACACACACACACATCAATACAGAGTTATTTAAAATCTAAGTAAAAAAACCTTTTAAATTACCAGGGTTAGGGGGTTGCTTGATATAAAATTTCAAACCTAGAAAACAGATATATTAAAGTTCACTTATCAAATAGAAGTGTCATATAAACATGCTTCAATTTATATGATTTTAATATAGAAACATATATTGAGTACATTATTCAGATATGTCATACCTTTATTTGCTATACATTTTTATAAAACTACCTTAAGACCCACAATTTTTTTTAAGACAAAATTTTTAAAGTTTTAGATGCCATAGACAAAGAGTGGTTATATTTGTGGTTACAGTTACATATACTTCTACTGAGTTTAAATAAGCATCTCTGAGGAAATGAGAATTTTTGGTGTTAAGGAAATGTAACGTGTAAAATTCAAGCATGACATTTACTCAAGACTCATGATTTTACAAAGAAAAACATTTAGTTAAAACAGAAAGTCACTGGCTTATTTATAAGTACACACATACGGATGTGTAGTAGCTAGTGATGGTCGTCATCCAACCTAAAAGAAAGGGTCTAACACAAGATTAGCAGTGTCACGAAATCTTCTCTTTTCATTATAATAGACCACGCTGTTTATAGGGCGCTACCTAAACAGTTCCTGGTCACTCCCGCTGCAGGGAGCCCGTTCCCTGCCTTTCTCTCACTGCCCATTTCTTCATCGACAGTGCACCTTATTCCTCAATTGTGTATCCTACTTCCCTGAGTAATTTAAGATGCTCTGTTTAATCTACAAGTACCATGGAGTTTGCACCATGCCTTCCATTAAAGTCTCCTTCTGCTGAAATGCACAGATTGGAAATATTTCAATTCAACTAGAATATTATACACTGGAGAGTCATTCTGTGCAATGTTTAAAAGCTGTTAATTTTATAGCTTCTCCTCTTCTAATCCCATTTAAAAATTCTTTGGCCTTTGAAATACCAAAAATTCTTTGGCCTTTGAAATACCAAATTCTTTGGCCCTTAAAGAATTTGAAAATTCTTTAAGGCCATTTAAAAGATAAAAATGACAAATAAAATGTTTTTTAATAGCATTAAGGGACTTTTGCCTTAGGGGCAAAAATGCAAACTTGAATTGTCACCTCAAATCTTGTTTGAAAGAGAGTGGAGCCCTGACTGAGTAGCCGAAAGGTCCGGGCTGGAGGCAAGCAAGAAGCAATTGATCTATGTTTCTTTCTGACAACGATGTTTCTTTTTTTCTCTCCCCATCTTCTAAAAATAAATAAATAAAACCTTCTTTTTAAAAGAAAGTAGATAGGGTATAAATACATAAAATGATGAGTTAGTCCCGACATTCTACTTAATGGTAACTTTAGCCTTGTGAATATCTTCAACATGTACAAAACGAAATTCATAATCTTCCCCAAAATGGTCCAATTCCCCACCTCAGTGAGTGCTCATCATCTGCCTAGTCCTACAACTTAAAAACCTAGGAGTCATCTTTCACACCAACTACATCTCCAGTCCAACAGAAAACACTGATTTTATCTCCCAAATATTTCAGTATGGTGATTAAGAAAGTACGAAGGACTGCAAAGCTGAAACCTTAATTTGAATACTTGGCACCGTTAAATAGCTGTTCACTTGCATATGTCACAATTTTCTAGTCTGCATAAATGATAGTTGTTGGCAAGATGTCAATAATTGTTAAAAGTGTATGGCAGGAACTCTTCATTATACTTGAACATTTTGTGTATGTTTGACTTTTTTCATTCTAGAACATTAATAAAAAGGATAACTTCTGCTTTGCTACCTCACTATTGTACAGCTAAAATGAAATAAATTCTTATGAAGATAAGTTCACTATGTAACTACATAGATAGCTCAAGGTTTTTAAAACAGGTTCTAGGAAGACAAGACAAGACAGTGTCCCCTATTGGTGTTCATCTACAAAAAATCGTATTTTCTTATCAAGAAGTGAAGAAAAAAGTCAACGAAAGTGTTCCACAGCTAAATACAAATATTAAGTCTTTTGCCAATCTTCAGGTAAAGATGAATTAACAGACAACATTGGCTATAATTTTAAGTTTCTTCCATAAATTCTTCTTAAATCTTTAGCATCTGCTACAACCTGGGCATGTTAGCGCCGAACATGTGGCTTCCAGTTCAGTTCACTCGTTCACTCGCCACACGTGGAGCGGCTTAGTGAGCCAGCCCCCATGCCCAGTGCACAGGTAAAGCAGAAAACTCTAGTACCTGCTTTCATGGAAACACATTTCCATATTTATTTACTTTCATTATATTGTAATTATAAAATTTTATGGTTGTGCAGAGAACAGCACACACGGTAAATGGCACCCCCGATACGGTAAGGTGGAAAACTGCCGTATCCGAACACAGCTACAGCCCTGGGGTCTATCACAGGATTTCGCAACTCAGCACCACTGACATTTTGGGCGGGAGAATTGTTGTGGAGGGGCTGCCCTGTGCATTCTAGGATGTTTGGCAGCGTCCCTGGCTTCTGTCTGCTACATACAACCCCTTTTAGATGTGACGGCCAAAAACATCTCCAGATATTGCCAAATGTCACAAGGGCAAGGGTGGGGACAAGCCTGCCCTGGTTGAGAACCACTGGTCTCACATTTTAACTACAAAAGTAATGTATGATCATTGCTAAGATTCAAAACAGAAGCACACGAAGAAGAGAAATTCTTTCTCTCATCCTCCCATCTCCCTTCCTCCAAAAGTAACCACTGTCAAGTGTAATATGGAGACATTTTAAAATACACACACAAGAGAAGAACAAATGTTTTCTTTTTAAGTTCTAGGACTTGTTTTTTTCACTCAATATTCTATGTCAGTATATGTCTCTCCATCTCCAGTCTTTCTTAGTAAGTTGCAAAGTGGTCTGGGTTATCGGTTTCCATGATTTATGTACACTTTCACCACTGATGGGCATTTATATAGTCCTCAGTTTGGGGTTATTTTAACAATGCTACAATGGAAAAATGCAGTAGTTAGTATCTTGTACATCTATTTTCCACTATACAAGAATTTATGGCACTGATTCTTTGAAGTGGAACTGCTGAGTCAAGGATACATACATTTTACATCTTGCTAGTTACTGACAATAACCTTCCCTTCCTTCTTTACCATCTGTAATAAGAATAAAATAAAATATCTAAAAACATTTTTAAGGGTGGTATATGTTACATATCTCCAACTCATAAATAAGGCATTCCTGGAGTAGTTAATCCTCCCTTCTAAGTCCTCTTGTATCTTTTTTCAGGTTAACAAAAAGTGACTTCTTTCCCTTTTTAAAAAATCCTTTTGTAGCAGTCCTAGGAGGCTATTTTAAGCAACAGCAAGATAGAGCAGTGAACATAATCAACCATTTTGTAACTGAGCAGAAATGTGTACTACATCCAACATTTTCAATGTGACAAATAAGTATGCTTACCAATCATTATTTTAAGTATTATTGATGCAATGCAGAGGGTTTTTTTTTTCACTCCAGGATTTTCATTATTTTTCTATTGATTTTTTTCACAGAATTATAGAATAAAGTATCTCTGTAGTGAATATGCTTTAGTAAACCTAATTTAAAGCTTTCCCTGACTCTCAGAACACTTGCAGTAAGAAAATGACCTTAGACAGTGTTAAATTTAGGTCCAGTCAATACTTCTCAAGGAGAGGTGACAATTTGCACACTTTTAGAAAAAGGTGTGAGCATCATCAGATTAGGTAAATGCTGAGTTCAGTATCATAATTTGATAGCATAAGCTTCTCCACAGGCAATAAATATGTATTATGAATATTTATGTTTACAGTATTATAAACTAGAACACCTGAATGTACATGAAATTGCCTCAGTTCCTATAACCTAGATGACCTTGGCGAGTCTTGCAAAGTTCCTCTTTAGAACTGTCGAGTCGTGAATGAATACTGAGGACTAGAAGGAAACATGGAAATGTGAGGAGAGCTGATATTTGTTAGGACAGTGGAGTAATGCTTTTTATTAGTTATATTGGTCTTACACTGTTTGAGCTTTATTGCAAATTCTCTATTTCCATAATTGCTGTCATGAGATCCTCTTGAGGATCCACCCAATTGATATGAATGGGAAACTTGTCTACTACTTTGCTACTCAAAGTGTGGTGCTCTAACCTGCAACAACCGCATTACTTAGGCGCTTTGTTAGGCAGAGTCTCAGGCCCCCTGTCTAGCCTAACTAGCACCTGCTTTCTAACCACAGTCCCAGGGGATGCCTGTGCACAACGACAGTTTGAGAAATCCTGGTCTACAAGGCATGGAGAAGTGATTCTCAAGGTGGCAGAGATGGCGGGGAGGTGGAGGAGGACAACAGGGGAACAATTTTGTTCCCTAAGGCACATTTGACAATATCTAGAGACATTTTTGGGGGGCTGCTACTGGCATCTTGTAAACAGAGGCCAGGGATGCTGCCATACAACCTACATAGCCCAGGAGAGTCTCCTATAAAAAATAGCTATGCAGCCACAGAAGTTGAGAAACCCTGACCTAGAGGAAAAGAAATAAAGCCCTGGCCAAGTAGTTCAGTTGGTAAAGCACTGTCCTGATACTCCAAGGTTGTGGGTTCGATCCCTGGTCAGCACACATACAAAAATCAACAAATGAATTCATGAAACAAGTAGAACAACAAATTGATGTCTGTCTGTCTGTCTCTCAAAATCAACAAATTAAAAAAAAAATTAGTCACAGGACTGAAAAGAATCATTTAAAAAACCTCTTCTAGCCCTGGCTGGTGTGGCTCAATGGATTGAGTGCCCGCCTGCAAACTAAAAGGTCACCAATTAGAGTCCTAGTCAGGGCACATGCCTGGGTTGTGGACCAGCTCCCCAGTTGAGGGCATGTGAGAGGCAACTGATTGATGTATCTCTCACACATCAATGTTTCTCTCCCTCTCTTTCTCCCTTCCTTCCCCCCTCTCTAAAAATAATAAAATCTTTAAAAATAAAAAGGAAAGTATTTAAAAAATAAATAGAAATCGTTTCAAACATTTAAAATTTCACACAACTACACACAGCTAAGAAATAGAACTGACTAGTAACTACCTAAGTTCCATAAATCACTCTCCTAATCACAGCCAGATCAGTTTAAAAGATCTATATTATTATAGCTTTGCACAGTGGCAGTATTGTAACGAATGAGGTTTATTTGAAGCACAATTATTGCTAATTGAATAAATAAATAAATAACCTGTATTATCTTAATATAACAGCTAATTATCTATTCTTTATTATAGGCAAAATTGCCTCCCGAGCCACGTTTCAGAGCCAAATGGCTGCTGGCAGACTGGATGTTTCCTTTTCCTGAAGATTCATTGTCAAAAACCCGTGAGGAAGAGCTATTATTAACACTCTAAGTTGAATATGAAGAAAATGTAAATGTAAAAGTAATTATGGTTGAAAGACCTAAAAACCATCTACCATTACCCTCTCATTTTAAAGAGGGAGAAATAAAGGAACAGCAAGGTCAAGCAATATGTGCAAGAAAACATAATGACAGGTCTCCTGACTCCAGACACAAAAGCATATTAACATTTAGGAGCCCTGTGCAATTCCATCATCTATTCAACATCACTTTGTTCTTTACCTGGAATCTTACTAAGAACAGGGAGCCTTTGATGATCCCTCATTTTACAGATGAGGACACTACTATCCATTCATTCATCCACGAACATTGACTGGACTCCTACAATAGGTGACATCTTACAGGTACAAAGACAAACAGGATAAGATTGCTGTTCTTAAGGAGCTCACATTGGACAAAGGGAAAGGACATATAACTGTGCCATAACGTGAGGATTATTATAAGAGGTATTCATTAAGTAGGGTGGGGGCAGAAAGGAGGAGGTGATCGTTTCTGATTATAACGCTGGACATGCACATGAACAGATAGCTATTTACACTAGTTAATGCTCAGCGATGATGTTTTATATTAAAAGAGGTGAAAAAAGTCCCACTTTCACCAACAGGGCTAGGGAACTACCCTTTGCTAGAATGTTGGGCACGACACCTGGAAATTCATATATATTATTTAATCGTGAAAACAACTCAGAGGTAAGCAGTATTGTCCCCCCTTTTTTTGTTTTAAAGAAGGAAGCTTGTCGAAGTCACATTAGGAGCCATAATGTGAGCCCACATTTGTATAGCTCCGAAATCACATTTCTTTTTTTGTTAAACTATGATTCTCTCTGCGCAGGATTTTCTTCATTTGCTTAAAATGCCTTCCGCACCACCCCTGTTCAGTCTACATTAAGCAATGCATTCTGTAATAAATAATTCTCGTCAAGATTATTACTTCCTGGAATGAGAAACCAATGTTCAAAAACCTTAAGGAAAGAAAGACAAGAAAGAGGTCTTATACCCAAATGGTTAAGAACTTCACTTATAAAAACAGGACTGATGCACTGGCCGCTGTGGCCCGGTTGGTTGGAGCGTCCTCCCCGAGACCGGAAGGCCGCCGGTTTGATTCCCAGTCCGGACACACACGCAGGTTGCGGATTCGATCCCCAGCCGGGGGGTGTCTGACAAGGCAACCGACAGGTGTTTCTCTCACATCTCATATTTCTTTCTCTTTCTCCCTCCCTTCCTCTCTCTCTAAAAGCAACGAGAAATGACTGACATCGTAGGCGCCGACTTTTGTCCCTGGCTTAGGGGATTCTTCCCTTTTCTGTGTTTAGTGCACACCTCACGGGCCCCACACACGGCCGTATTTTCCTTCGCGGTCCTGAGAGGACTGACTGCGTCTGAAACTTGCTGAGGCAGCTGACATGTGGCGAAGCCCTCAGCTTCCCCTGTCCCTGTGGGAGACCCGCTGCACAGGGAGGGCGCGGGCACAGCCCTGCGCTGGGAGCCGACGGGGACTCGGGCGCGACTGGCCAGCCCAGCGCGCGAGGCCGCCCCTCACCCCGCGACTTCCACACTCACTTCGGGAAAGAAGGGCGCCTTTTCAGAGTGTCTCTGACTGACAGAGTCGTCCCCTCACAGCCCCGTGAGGCCTGTCAGGACACACGGAGAGCGACCTCTTCCCTTCATTTCAGTGAGCGTCTGGGCTTTTCAACCGACCCCTCACGCCAGGCCCCCAGGGAAAAAGCGCAGCCGTCCTCCCGGCCAGGTTTTCCGGCGCCCACAGCCCCGCGCCCCGCCGCCCAGGCTCACCTCCGGGCGCTGCGCCCCCCGCACCGGCCGGACCCTGGCGCTCGGCGACCAGCGGGGCAAGGAACAGGAGGCACAGGACCGCGGGCCGGGATCCCCGTGCTGCCATCACCCCGGGAGCCGCCTCACAACGGCCACGCGGGAAAGCGGACTCAGGATGGAGCTGCGAGCGGATCCCACGGGGCTGCCACCTCAGTGTCTGGCATTTGAGCCGGCTCCCGGCGCGTGAGGAGCCGAGCGCTGAGCGCGCGAGGAGCTGCCGCGATCAGCCCCGCCCAGGCCCCGCCCTCCACACTGGCCCCGCCCCATCCCCACCGGCTGCTTTTAGATCTGCTTCCTCAGCTCCACCCAGTTTGCAGCTAGCCCTATCCCGCACGCCATGGCCCCGCCCTATTTACCCATAGCCCCGCCCCCGCCCCGCCCCACCCAGTTGAACCTGGGCCCTGCCTTTGGACCTGCCCTCTCTGCTTCCAGTCCTGGCACCGCCTCCAGGCCCTGCAGGTGGCAAGTGCCACCTTGGAATCGGGGAGGTTCGGAGGCCAGCGTCGCAGGCGGGTCCCACTTACCTTCTGGTTACTTTGGGCGGGCCCCTGCTCATCTAGGGTAACTGCCATTCATCAATGCCTGCACCGAGAGCGGACAGGCGCACAGATGGAAAACCCTGACGTGCCTCGCATCAGCCACTGCCAATGATCCTTCCCAGCAGCTTGCGGCCTCGCGGAGCTCTGGAGACCAAACGACCCCACTGGAGGCCTGGTCCCAGGTCAGCCAGGCCACTGGGCAAGTACCCTCCGTCTGGGCCAGTTTCCTCGTCCTTAAACCAAGGAGGTACCCGGGAGGACAGGCCCTCATCGGGGGAAACAGCCTCCTTCGTGCTGCCACCAATTAACATCTGTAAATACAAGTGACCCCCTCTGCCCCAGACACTTGTGACCCCACTGCTGACTGCTGCTGACAGCGCCAGGCCTGTCGCACACCCTGCTACACCCTCTATTTCATCCCTCTGTCCATAATTGATTAGAGAGCTTCATTTGGCCAAAGAGATTCAGGCAAATTACCCTTAAGCCTCAGTGGCAGAGCGAGCCACTCTTTCCTCACAGACAGCCTTACGGAGGTGACATCTCTCAGACTCCTTGGGAGCAGAAATTTCACTGCAAGTTCCACTTGTAAAACCTAAACCTGGTTGCAAAGAGTCTTAACGGTAAATACGTGTTCACTTTTTCCATAGGTCCAAGTACAACCAAGGAAATACAAATAAAATCCGTTGAAGTTAGTCTGCTTAACTGGATTTAAAGAAAGGGGCTGCAGACAAGGGACACAAGATGATGACTGGGTTTGTCACTCACGACATTTCTGCACAGGAAAAAGAGTACTTATTGTGCCTTCACTGCAAGTTTCTGTTTTTCTCTAAATAATCTATGGGGCATACAGACACGCAATTCCCTATTTGCAGAAAGTAGAATGTTATTGCGCTTCTCCCGCTAGGAGACTTGGAACCGAGTGGCTGAATACCCGCTGAAGGTCACACTACCTGTCAGTGGGAGAACTAGAATTAAATGGTTGTCAGTGCAGCCACAGCAAGCATAGCTGGACTCCTAGACCTCCCCAGAGTGTTCTATCAGTAACCACGAGTGCTCGCTCCCGCAGCGCATATACTAAAATTGGAACAATACAGAGATTACCGTGGCCCCTGTGCAAGGATGACACACAAATTTGTGAAGTGTAAAAAAATAATAACCACAAGCACCACGGTTGGTATTTACATAACCTGTGAGAAACACTGGTTGTTACTGTTTTTAAGTGAAAGTCAAAGCATGTAATGTGTTGGGCACATTAAAAGCCAAGCAGATAATTATAGAATAGAACGGGTGCCCCCGCGGATGGCTTTTCCTAGGATACACCGACTCCTCTCAGTTGCTGCGTGTGCTGCTTGCACCTGGCTGGGATCCGCGCTCGTCCACACTGCCGGGGGACGCTGGCTGGGCCAAAGACGCAACTGCTGCTGTTGCTGGGGCGACCACCTACGGAAGTCCCCTGAAGCAGCGTCTTTCCTCCAGCCTTCAGGTTTGACCAAAGAGCCATCATACTTGGTGACCAGCAACCACACTGTCCTCTGAAGATTGTTTCCATTACACTTTTTTGTCTTCGCACATCCTGCCCCCTCTCCCCTCCCCCGAGCATACAAACCCACCCTCTCTTCAGACCCATTTCAAATGCGTCTTGCCCACCAGCCACAGCTTTCTCCAAACTCCCAGGACACTTTTATTCCTGTCCCAGCATGGTGCTGGGTCTCAGCCGGGTCCTCCACTTCCTCTGCCTGTTACTGTGTCACTGCTCCGCCCCCTCCCCTCACCACACTTGTCACAATTTGTAATTAGCTACCCTTCAGTGTGTCTAATTCCCCCCACAAAAATGAGCTCCCGCAGCTGTGTCTGTGTTTCCCGGGCGCGTGCCCAGTGTACCAAGCAGTAGAGGCTCACACGGATTGCTGGCTGGCTAAGTGAATGTTAAGTAGCTGGCTCCAGATCTCCCAGCTGGTGAGCTAGAAAACGGTGAGCAGGAATGCAGACCCAAGTGTCCTGCCTTCAAAAGCCAAACTTAACTCTCTCTGCGGGCCTCACCCCCAATCTGTAAAAGGACGCCTTAAAGCCCAAGTGTTCATAGGTGGTGGTCGTTGCCATGTGTGTGGCAATTACTCTCTGATGTGCTTCTGCAATTACAAAACCCTTAAGCAAAGGCTGAATAAATAGCAGAAATCAAAAATAAACATTGTCATCTGCAACTGTGTGACCTAATGAGTTGTCTTTCATATCGATGTTGTTGTTGACTCCTGTTTTTTATAACGGGGTCAGCTGCGCTAAATTCTGAGCTGGGCAGTCTCCAGATCTTCCATTCAGCATTTCTATTATGGTTTGGTGATAAATTCTGCCGTGCCTTTAAGATGCAACCAAACTGAAACGTTAAAGATAAAAATGGATGTTGTCGATTTTACTGCTAAAATTAAATGCATTTTCACAGATTAAAGGGAGCAAGCAAGTATTGATAGAATATTAAAATTCAGTCCTTCAAAAGGAATGATAAAAAAATAAAAAGGTCTCTTTCAGGGGCTATTTCTGCCGTATAAGTACCGCGCGCTAACCGATTGTGCCACTGGAGCTCCTCAGGGGCTATTTCTATGGCTGCCATGAAATGTAAAAGTGCAGACATATTTTATTTTAGAGAGCTTTAAGAAAAAAATTAATTGGCCATATTTTATTAGATTGTAATAACTAAATAGTGGTGTATAAAATCATCTCGCAAAAAATAAGCCATTTATAAAACTGAGCTGTCTCAGTAGAATTTAATAATAGCACACATAGCACAATATCACAGGCCCAATTACCAACAGAAAAACACAAGTAAACAGGACACAGCATTCACTACAGAACAAAGCAATAAATATACTGTGTCCTGGGCAAAAACCAGCTCTTGTTACAAGTGAGTATTTTGTTTTCCAACTTAAGAAAGTGCAGTACAATATCCTATGCTCCCTAAGTGTTGAAAGCTTTTACATCTGAGAGTGACAAATCATAAAAGACTTTTTAAAGACAAATATAGCTGTATGGTACTTCTAATTTGCAAAAAGCATGGACCTTAAATCTTGTCAGAACACACGCATACACAAAATGGTGCCTGTGTACAGGGAATGGATATGTTAATTAGCATGATTGTGGGGGTCATTTCAGAACCTTTACATATATCAAATACCATGTTATACACCTTAAATATACAAATTTTATGTCAATGATATCTCAAAGCAGCTAAAAGCAAATAATGTCTGAAGTAAAACAAAGACAAATATGAATTTCTGTAAATTCCTTCAGCAGACTTACAATAACTTAATATGTAAAAGGTCAACATTTGTATACTAACTGAACACAACTTAGTAGAAATATATACTTATTGCATTAAGTGATCTTCATAGATGACATACTATTATGAATTTTAAAAAGAAACTTATGCCCTTATTTTGTCACCTGCAAGACACAGTTGGAAATGTTTGACTCTGTGGAAAAGGTAGAATTTATACCAAAAATAAGTCCAAGAAACAAGCTGAATTTCAGGTATACATCAAAATGCTCCAGAAATTTGTGGCTATGCACCATGAGAATTGCCATCTTGGAATTATCAATTTAATTGTTCCCAGATTATTCCCACTTTGATCAGGAAATATTATAAAACTGTGTTCCTCAAAAGCACACAAGAAAATTCAAATTAAATAGATTTCACTTCCATTTGTAATTGGTAAACTAAAATATAATGCTTTTAGGGAAGTGAGGAGCCCATGAAACCGAGACAGAGAGCTGCTTCCCTAATATGTTTGGGATTCTGTTCTAATTATCCACTCCGTTAATTTATTTAGCCAGGGGTCACTTTCCCATCATTTCCTGTGGGAACTAATTCATGTCAAGTTTTCTACATGGATAAGAAGTCAGACCAGATGAGAAACCTTCCAGCAATACCGAAAGCTCCCTCTAAAGGTTAAAGTAACGGATGGCATTGATTGTTCCAGAGAATTGATTATCTTTAATCTAATTCTAAGCTGCCTGATCCAAGTATCTCAAAATTGGAAATCATTTGGTAATTTTCAGTTCCACAGCTGTCTCATTTGAGATGCAATCTTTGCTTAATCTTCTGTAACATGCCTGATTAATTTTTCATGTTTTCAATACCAGAGTATTTGAAGTCACCTGTACAGAAAAGGCTGTTTGGACTCTTGATTGCCTTTGATCCTCCCAGTCATGGTGAACAGGGGAAATGCTGGGCGCGTCACGTGCACAGCCTCTCCTCCCTGCTCGGTGGGAAGAGCGGAGGGCTCTTGGGATATTGGGAAGTGCTCAGCCTTTGGTCTCTGAAGTCAGATAAATGGTAAGTTTGAATTGTCCTCTGTCACTTCCTAGCTATTTGTTCAATAAATATTTCAGAATCAACTGTACAAGTTCTCCGACAATGCAGTGACCAAGAGAAATCCCCTGACTTCATGGAGCTTACTGTCTAGGGAGGAAGGCACAAAGTAAAGGTAACTTCAGAATTTGATAGAAATTCTTGAGGAAATAAATGGAAAATGATGAAGCAGGGGATTCTACTTTAGATGGCGTGGTCAGCAAATACCTGAGGAGGAGACCTGAGCGAGGACCGGAGACAGAGAACATGCCAGTCACATGGAGCACGGAGCGGAGAGCATTCCCAAGAAAGGGGACGGCAGCGAGGGACGGACAGAGGGGAGTCCAGGACAGAGCATCACCAGCAAGGCAGCGGCGAGTTGCAGGTCAGAATGAAGAGAATGGACTTTATCATCAGGACAATGGAAAGGAGGGGCCAGATCAGATTTATATACAAGATATTATTTGGGGGGGGGGGGGTGTGTGGCAGGGGGTCCTCTTAAAGCAAAAGAATACAGCAGTACAAATACAAAATGGGGTGTGAAAACGGTTATTAGAATGAAAAAACTCAATGAATTACAAATTTTGAAAAAGTGTACAGATATGGCAGTATCTAGAAAACTGGTGTGATGAACCGTCCGGCACACTGTACAGCACCGTCCCTCAGCGTCTCTGGCATTGTGAGAACTGCCTCTCCAGCCCACCATTTCGCACACTGTAAGGGCGAACAGTTTGCCACAGACAAGCTTCTGGCTCGGCGTGTGCCAAGCCTTGTTTCTCTTCCACTGCCCTGGAACTTCCGATGATGGCGATGCTTCTGTTCCTACACCTTCCTGTCACGACACCGGGCAGGCCGGCTCAGCGGGGAGGAGGTGGGGGGCGGGAGGCCACTTCGTACTGCGGTGATTAACCATCACCTTCCTGCACACGGAAGGGACTGCGAACAAGTATGTTCCGTGGCAGAAACAGACAGGGGTGCTTATGAATTGCAGGTAAAAGATCTTACGTTTGCAGACTTTGCAAGAAGCACAGGAGCACAGAACACATTGCTAGGGTCCCTTCCCGGGCCTTGGAAGTGAGGGGTCCTGAAGTTTAAGCTTCTCTCACTTCACTGCAAATCTGTGAGCTTCTCTGATGGGAAACTGACGAAAGGTTAAGATAGGTGCTCAAGGCAACCCCGGCGCGGGGGGGAGGGGGAACTGCAGGGGCGGCGGCGGGAGGCCACCACGGCCCAGGCCAGGGAAGGGACGGCAGTCCGGACTCGCGCTGGACGGTGGCCCTGGAGGCTTCACGGAGCCTCGGTCCTCTCGAAACTGCATCTGAGGACGTTGCCCCCACATCACCGAGCACAGAGTGGGCCCTCGGTACCTGGTGCTAGGATGGTAATAAACATTCCACAAGGTTCCTGTGAGAGCACTAACAAGTGGAAAGCAACAGACACATACTGTTAACAAATGATAGCTTCTGCTCTGTTGTATAGAGGAACAGGGTTCTCGAAGGCTGCAAAATGCTTTAGAAAAGCAAAGAGAAGGAAAAGACACTTTAAATTCCCCACTAAGACCATTTTAAGCAGCTTGTCTGGCTTTGCCCAGGGCCACCGCTGCGCTTCCTCCCCCGGACCTGGGCCGGGCGGCGGGCGCGGCTCCCTCTGGGCAGCGCCGAGCAGGCGCTTCTCATTTAGTGCATTGTGTATGTTCCAGCGTGAGCCTGTGCTGCTCTTACGACCAGGAAAAGCAAGTTATTAGATTGCTCAGGACTCTGAAGACAATTGATCCTGGATTCTCCCATTGCTGGTGGGGATGGAAGTTTTCAGAGACCGTTACCGTCTGAGGCAGTTGGGTCCAGGAGCGAAGCCTTGGCCTTCCCCGGCGTTGGGTGTAAAGGAACTCAGGGGACAGGCCCTTCCTGCCAAGAGGAAGGTGAACACCCTCTCCAACCGTGACACCTACGCGATGGCAGCTAATGAACTCATACGCATTTGCTCAAATAGTAAATCCAGTGCCCTTTTTTATGGCGTGTCACAGGAGAAGATGGGGGGAAGGAGAGTCCTTTTAAAATCTGTATCAATAATATCAATGTACGGTAATACAGACAGATTAAGAATAAAGCAAGGTATGACCCAGCAATTCCAATTCTCAGTATCCACCCCAGAGGAATGAAAACAACCCTGATGTTCATCAGCTGATGAATAAACAAACAAATGTGATTTCAAAGGAATATTCAGTAGTAAGAAGAAATGCATTCATGCCGTCATTTCTTTCATCTAGTAAACAAAGAAATTATGGACCGCAACGTGGGGGGAGCCTTGAAAACCTGGCACCCCCTGAGGGACAGAGGCCGCCAGAGGACCGCGGCAGTGGGACCCCACGGTATCGACGTCCAGGGCAGGAAAGTCTGTAGAGATTGGAAGTAGATAGATCATTGGTTTCCTCAGGCGGGGGAGGCTTGGGGGGACGGCACAACGCACACAGCTTCCTTTCAGAGGGATGAAAATGTTCTCAAATTGATTGTGCTGATGGCTGCAGAACTGAAATGGGTAGAGTGTATGGCGTACGAATTATATCTTAATACAGTTGTTACCAAAAAAAAAAAAAAAGAAAAGAATAAACCAAAAAAGTTAAATAACTGTCTTAATTCTGATTTCATTCAAGAAAGGGCAACTTGGAATTAGTCTGAAAAATGAAATAAAATGTGTATGATTAAATATTGCCTTTTAAAAAATAGATACCAGTTATATTTTTAAAATTGTGCACGATGAATGTGATAAAACCACAAATTTATTACGAGAGTGTTCATGTGCTTTGGCATGGGAAACACCATTACATCACTGAATTACCAAAAACTGTAAATGACTGTCAGCGGTGCCTACAGAAACACAAAGCCCTCAGTATATCCGCATCGAAGACAAAAATGGAAATGCTGAAAGGGGAAAACATTTGTAACGTAGGTGACAGGGCTCATAAATGAACTTGTTAAAAGGGCCCTGATTCAAAAATTGGGCAAAGAAGACGGACAGTGTACAAAACGCGACTGAACAGCTGGAAATCTTGAGCCAGCACGTGACGTGGGCTCGCTCACTGTGGGGGGTGCAGCGCGGGGCGCTCCTCCCCACCGGCCGCATGAGTCTCTGCCTGGTCTCAGGCCAAACAGGAAAGGGAACAGATGTTAGGGAACTTTAAAAGTATCTCACCGTGCTCCCTTACTGCCTTCTTAGGGTTCTCCTTTTGCTCTGTTTTGTGCCATGGGTTTTGCATTTTTGTGCTTTTTGTGGGTGATTTGTTTTTTTTAAAAAAAGATTTTATTTATTTTGAGAGAGCAGGAGGAAAAAGAGAGAGAACCCGCTCAGTTGCTTCTCACATGCGCCCAACCAGGGACCCGGCCCGTGAATGGGAATCGAACCGGGAACCTTCCTGTTTGCAGGATGCGGCCCGACCCACTGAGCCACACCCGTCAGGACTGATTTTCCTTTTTTAAAACGCCCCCGAAGCATAGTGCAGGAAGGCTGTGCTGTGCCCGACACAGAAACTACATGGTGCGTAAGCTTCACGTAGGCATATGGAGTGCTCTTGGCCAGGAGTTCAATATGAATGAATTACCAGAGTAGATTAAAATAAGACAGCTTTAAACAGAGGCACACATAAAACAAGGCTGTGTATTGATCGGGCCATGAGAGTGCTGAGACCAGAGGATCGAAGGAACCTGACCCAGCATCTCCCCCCGGGAGCAACGGCCGCATCTGCTATCTGTGCTCATGGTGGCGGCAGCACCCAGCGACCATGAGCAGCAACAAGAAGCTACGGTGCCGAGAAAACTTCAGATTCAAAAAGCACTATGTCCGAGGGGCTTGGGAACACCTCGGCCTGGACACCACAGAAAACTGCAAGACACTGCTGCTCCTCGGAGCCCCCGAGGAAGGGGTTAGCTGGGAGGGGTCGGCTACGGCTCAGGGCGCCTGTCGCCACGTGGGGAGACCTGAGGGCAGGCTGAGGCCCGGGCCGCCCCAGAGGCGGGCTTCACTGGCAGGGAGCGCCCCCTGTGTACAGACTGAAAAGCGGTCGAGGTGATTCCAACATGCAGCAATGGTGTCAGACCTGCATGCAGAGCTCATTAAACAGACAGCTGGGCTCTACTCCAAGGTCAGTATCTATGCCGTGGGCCTGGGACGGGGACGCCAGAACTTGCAGAGCCAGCAGACTCCAGGCGACGCTGCGGGTGGGCGCGCTGCCCCGCAGCGCTACAGCCAGATGACTCCACAGAAGCGACAGCCACCTGAATGGAGCTGCCTTCAGCCACGACTGCACCGCTCTCACCCGTGGCCCCGCTTTTCCTCTGTGGCCTCAATCTCCCCTGCACGCCACCTCCCACGTGCCCGCCGCGGGCCTGCCCCAGCACCTTTCGCCACCCACGCAGCCTGGCGCGGCTCAGCCCACAGGCTCACTCTCGCACCCATCCCTGGTGACAGACATGGGTCGTCAGGCCTGCCCGACGATGCGCCCACCGGGAGCAGGAACAGAAAGCCTGACTGTATGAACTGCAGGTCAGAGGAGGGAGAAATTCGAGTTCCCTCTCGGGCACAGAGGGGAAGAGAGACATGAGCTCTGACAGGGACACACAGGGGCTTCAAAAGCACTGATTAACGGGTCCCTGAGACGTGCGGCAGGTACAAGGCTTTCACTTCAAAGGGGCCTTTCACGTGTTACCGTAGCGGCCTGTGTGGCCACGAGCGCACGTGCATGTGCACTCACACTCACAGTCCAGTAGGAATATCCACCGATGCCACAGGCTGGCAGCACCTACGAGACGAGCGTGATTCTCGCTTCAGAGGCCCAGGGCCACGGGTTCTCCCAGACGGTGGGGACACGGCACAGGGACCCTTCAGGGCACAATGCCACCTTCCCCTTCTTGTGGCGCCCCACCTCCATCGAACTTGACATCCGATGTAGAAGTACCCGCACGGGCAGCCCCCGCACGCTACAGCACGAAAGATCCCAGCCCTTAACCCCGCTGTGCAACAACTACTGCTACAGACCACTTCCTTCACCACTGCCATTCTTTCCAAGTTTTATTCCCAAAAAAGGGGGAAGGGGATTAAAAGGTCCAAGAAGAACAATCATCACTCATCTTGACAGAGATTGAGGGCCCCATCAGATGGCACCATCCTACCTTCCCAAGTCCAGGATAAAAAGCCAACGCTCCCCCAGTGTGGCAGGGGACCACGTCCACACTGAAACGGTGCCCAAACAAGTTATAAAATCCCCAATTTTGTCTTCTATTTATCCTTTTCTTTTTGTTCTTTTTCTTTCTTCTCACGCTCAGCCTTAGCTTCTTCTTCCTCGTGTTTTTTGATCAACTGTTCCACTTCCTTCTGCTTGAGGACTCTGATGACCGTCTTCCCGTTCTCTCTGGTTAGCGTGGCAATCTCCACTACGAGCAAACACACACACGCGCGTTACAGACAGGCGCGCTCGGCACAGACCCACGGCAGCCACGCAATGTGGCCTCTCTCTCCACATCACTCTGGCCTTCGCTCCCTACTCCGCTGTGTTTAGGCGCAATATGATTCACGGATACTTTTATTAACATTTTAACTTAAATTATCTTCCTTCTCATCATTCCAACCTTCTGAGCTGCCGCTCTGTCACTTTCTTAGAAAAAGTAAAACCTGCCAACTGCCCAAGCCAATCTGCTCTACGCCGCGCTGAGCAGAAGGAACCCAGCGCAGAAGGAACCGTAATTTCCCTGTAGGAGCTCCTGAAGGCTAGGCCCGTATCTTTAACCAGGAATTACACTCATTTTTCACGGACTTATCAAAACTCTTTTTAAAAAAAAAGGCATGAAAAGCAGCTTCCATGACTATGGACCAGAAAAATGCACTGACTAAAAGTAGGACTTTTCTGTGTAGGGAAAGTGAGCACAGCTGAAAGGGGCGGAGGCGCACGTTCCAGGCAGTGAAGCCGCCCAACCCAACCGACGTGCTGACTTACAAGTTCTGGAAAACGTTATTTAGGAATATTGTCTTATGAGGTTACATAACTCAAGCTAAATAAGTCACTAAGACTGCAAACGTGGGCTTCATGTACGAGGTCAGCGGACTCACAAGCAGAGGTACCACAACACGCGCACATGGCCCACCTCTGGTGAAGGACACCGTACACGCGCGCTCAGCCCGTGCGCACATGGGCACAGACACTGCTGCCAGAAAGTCGGTAAAATAAGCATCGACCCAAAGCGGCACCGCTCAGACCCCCAGCCATGCCCGGTGGGGCCATCCGGGCTCAAGTCCTTGAGCCTGGAACGCCGCTTGGGCTTGTGGCTCCACAGCCGGTCGCTGCCGGCCATGGTCAGGGCACTCGCCCTCGCCAAGCTCGTGTCCTCACGCAGGGAAGAGGTGGAAGGCCCCCAACTCAGAAGGCTGCCTTTTCAGTGAACTATGGCAACACGTTAAAGGCCTAACACAGTTCACAAAGTGAACCTAAGAGGACGGGCCATAAATTACCTTTCTCAGCAGAGAGTTTGCTCACGTCCATGGTCTTATTGAGGACTTTGATAGCTAACGCTAGTGCTGACTTCAGGGTCATCTCTCCTTCTTTGTAGTCTTGCTTTAACATCGACACAGCTGCCTGTGGAACAGGAAGAATCAACAAAGAAAATGTCCGTGAAATGTCTGCGTTTTCAGGAGCATGGACTGGGCAGAAGACAAACGCTGGGACTGCTCTTAGCCCATCCCAATACAAACAGTTCTGATGGGAGGGAGCACAGACTCGGGACGGGCTGGCGGGGCGGCGCTGACGCTCACAGAGCGGAGGGCTCAACCCGGGGCCTCAGGCCGCCAAGGGTCTGTGACGGAATGCGGGGGCTATGACCCAGGATGTGAAAAAAACGGTATCTCATTCTGACAACGTCTCCGTGAAAAGTAGCCTCTCCTTTAAATACAAATGCAGCCAATAAACCCCAATAGCACTACCAGACCTGCAACATCATTATCAATAGCAATCACAGATATTAAAGTTGTTGCAGTTATCTTAAAATACTGTTTACAGTCGTCACTATTTCAAAATTACGGTAGTTAATAGGCCTTTTGCTAGATTCTAGAGCGACACAAAAATACTCACGGCGCTGTTATTTCCAATGCACGTGGCTTTCCATCCCCCATAATTTCCGCTTGGGTCGCTCTGATAGAGCTGAAAGCCGTAATGCTTATCCCAGCCGATGTACAGCAGCGAGACACCAAAGGGACGTTTCCCTTTAACCAAGACAGAGAACACACACACCAACAGTCTAAACTTAGCACCGCTATAGTTACTTGAGCTCCCTGCATGGGGCTGAAACCCCTTCTGTGAAGCTAAGCATTCACAAACTGCTTTGTTCTGGCCACCGGGGACAAAGTCCATCAAAATGCCCACTCCTGTTTCTAGGACACCAGCACGGGCAGGGGACGGGATGCAGGCACAGAGGACCAGTGCTCAGTGCTGTTTCATTATTATGTAAAAAGCAACTCGCTCCCGGATTTGAAAATGCTATTTTGGCCTCTCAACAGTCTACTAAGAAAACATATGATAATCTACATCATGGAAACCACTTATTTCACGAAGCACAAATGTATCAATGATATTTACTTATTTAATTTTCAATGTCTTTTTACCGTCTCAAAAATATCATTACTTAGAAAATGTTTTCCCTTTCTGGAATAAAATTTGCCCCAAATTTCATACCTCCAAACTGTGTATAAGCTTGTTTGATATCACACAGTGCTGTAACCAACTGCTCACAAGGAATAGGCTCCTGATACTGTAATAAATACCTAGGATGAAGAAATTGGCATAGTAACAGTTTTCTTGTAAAACACATATATATTCTAAGCAAAGTACCCTCTGAAGATAAATCTGCGCCAACCTAACGGTCCCTTGTAATTTGAAAGGGGTGAGGGGAGCAAGGGTGTGTCAGCATGCTACTGGTCTTAGGGCAGATAACACTTTACAAGTCTGAATTGAAACAAAGCAATTTTCAATTTTCAATTTTCAAACAGATTTGTAATGACTTTAATCTTTGCAAAAATGAGTTCTTAGAGATAGCAAACTAACTTAGATATCACCTGCTATGCTCTTTCGGACCATACCTTTGGGCAATGAGCCTCAGTTCGTTGGTCAGAACATTAGCATCAGAAGTTATGCCGGCCACGCTGCAGGCCATGTCCCTGCAGGAAAAGAAACATGTGATGTATGAGCTGGAAAGACACCTGAGAGGGTCCTTCACAAGCACTGCAAAATGCCAAGTGCTATTAGAAGTTTACCATGCTTGCTTCACACCTACAACTTTTGTCTGAATAGACAGAAACTACAGGAGTTTCATCTTTGTAGGATAAACCCAATGTCATTTAACATGAAGGATAAACACTGCCCCCTTCATTTCAACAGGTACACTTGGCGCCACTAGGCTGAAAACGGAGAGAGAATGAACACTAGGAAGCTAAAGCAAGTCCTGAGAAAATTCAGGAACAAAGATAAAGGTTTTGCCAAAAAGGAAAAAAAAAACAACGCCATGTTCTTGGGTAGTAAGTATTCTCACCTCCTAAGGCCTGGCTTGATGGGGGTGGAGGGCATTTCTGCGCTAGTGTCTGTCACTCACTTTAGTCTCCTTCATCAACCTGCCACAGCCGCTCAAGGACACACTGAGGCCCAGGGAAGATACGCAATGGTCACGCAGACTTCACCTGTGTCTGCACGACTATCATGCCAAAAGCTTATCGATACAGAGCACTCTTTCTCCACTGAGTGCTTGGCCTTGCGCTTCAAAAGAATAACATGGGGTCCTAAGCCTCAAGGTTTCAAATAAAAATAAAAAATTTCCACCAGTAAAAGCACAGTAAAGTGTTCACTTGAATTTACTACGTCACACAGAATAGCCCTCCCAAAGTATGAGAGATCCTACGTATGTGAGCATGTGAGATATTTAAACTCTCTTCCCTAAGAGCTCACTTACTCGTTGAGTTTATAAATTTTTTCAGAAAAAAAGACTTCATCGAGAAGCTTGTGGATGTTGCGCCGCTCTGCTGCAAGCAAAACACCGTCGTTTGCTAAGATTCCTAAACAGGTGCCCGCGTGTCCAATCGCCTCCATGGCATATTCAACTTGGTACAAGCGACCTGCAGAACACAAGCGGGGACAAAGCAAGACACCCTGTGGGCGCTGGCACCACTGGGCCAAGGACATCAGCGGGGACACCCACAGGCTATACGCACGAGCCCCACTTTCATTCTCCTGTGCTGCACATGATCAGCCTGGTCACTATCGTTACGTCAAAGCACAGAGAGTGTGAACAACTATAAAGAAAGTGTCTTGGTCCCCCCCGCCCCCCAAAAAGTAAAACACTTTAGAAAAATCTTTTGAGACAGGTCATACAATTTGTACTTTACCTTCTGGAGAAAATATAGTGGTCCTGGAGTCATATCTTCGAGACTGCAATGGAAAAACATACAAGTGATTCCCATCCACTGAAAGTAACTCCTACAAGCCCGCAGATCCCCTCACAAAACACATCCTGGCACCAAAGTCCAGCGTGTAGGAGGAAACCGAAAGGCGGAAGACACCATCCCACCTCTGCTTCTTCCCACTCCAGCTTTCTCATGCAGGTCTGTAAACTGAGCACAACAACACACTTTGTCGGGCTCACTGACATGTGCATAACGTACCATGTTTCCTGAACTTTACAGCTCCTGTAAAAAGAAAATAGGATCCTTATTAAAATGAAAGTTACAGAGCATTTTCATGACTTAAAAGAAGCTGTCTTGTTCACTCCCTTCACTCAGCTGAGTGTACGGAGCAGCTACCAAGCGCCGCAGGCACCACGCTAGCGCCAGGATGCGGGAGGCCACCCCCGTCCTGAAGAGCGTCCGGCCTGGTGGTCGGGAGAGGCGGGCAAGCGGAGGATTACGGAGCCGCGGGGAAATGGGCACCAAGGGCGGAGCGGAAGGAGCGATGGAGAGAGATCAAAAAAGGACTCTTGAAAAAAGCAACACAGAAAATGAGCCCAAATTAGACATGGTAGAGGCAGACCGAGGGATGAGAACCTTCAGGTCCAAGAGCACGACCTGGGGAAGGAGAAGGGAAGGGCAGCCCAGGCAGAGGAGAAAACTTGAGCAAAAACACGGAGACAGGACAGGACGGCTCATGGGCAAGAGACAAATTGCTGAAGCGGAAAAGAGAGAAAGAAGAAAAAGAAAAAAGAAAGAGCAGCAGCTAGAAAGCTAGGCGACTATCCCGACCACGAGAACGCGCTAAGAAGAGCGTCAGGCTTCCCCCGGGAGGGCTGGGGTCCCGCGTGTGGGAGGGGGCGGGGCGCCAACACCCGCAGCGTCCTCGCCACTCCCGCCGACCACACTCCGGGGCTCGGCGTTAGAGCCCCTGCCCCAAAGGCCGGAACACCAGGCGCTACGTCCGAAGGACCCGCGCGCCCAGACGAGAACGGTGAGCTTCCTCTCTTACTCCAAAGGGCCGCGCCGGGGGCGGGGGGTCAAGTCCCCCGGGCCTGCCGGGCACTTTGGGGCGCCCACTCCGGCCGGCACTGACGGAGGCAGCGACCCGCGACGAAGCCGCCGGGCCCTTCCTCATCCCCACACCCCCGCGCCGCTCACTTCCCTGCACGGACCCCCTCGGGACTGAAGCCGCGCTCCCCAGCGCCGCCCGCCGCGCCCCCCGGGGGCCAGACCCCGGCTCCGCTCACGGACTACGGCGGCCGGCGGGGGCCAGTCCGTTTCCCAGAAGCACAGTCATCGCGCAGCGCCTGCAGGCCGGACCCGCTCTGCGGCGGCGCCCACGACCCAGGCCCGCTCGCGGGGACGGTGCCAAAGTTCCGCGGTGACCGGAAACACGGACTCACCGGAGGAGAGGCTGGGATTGAGGTCCACGCGAAGGGCTTCACACCACACGAGGAAACCACGGCCGAAACCAGAGCGTTCGCTGGCACTATGGCCCCCGCGCCTGCGCAAAGCTACCGAGTGTAGACTTCCGGGACCGGAGCCGAGGAAGCTGAAGTCCTTCGGGGGCGGGGCAGAGGACGCGGAAGTCCTTTGGGGACCCAACGGGGATACGGAAGTCCTTCTGGGGCGTGTCCGAAAAAACGGACGTCCTTCTGGGGCGGGACGGAGGACACGGAAGTCTTTGGGGGGCGGGTCCGAAGAACGGAAGTCCTTCGGGGGCGGGACGGAGGAGGCGGCGGTCCTTCGAGGTGGGACAGAGTTGTTGGACCTCTGGGGAATGGACTGCTGCCCCATGGGAGCGGGGAGGTGGGGTGCGACGGGCCCAGCGGGGTCCTGTGCCTGAGAAGGGGACACTACAGCGTGTAGGGAGCGCAGGACCCCAGCGAGGGGGACAGTGGAGTTACGGCTAATCCTGCTCGGCGCCTTCACAGTGTTCGCTTCCCCTTCAGCACCGTCGCCTAGGACAGCACCAGCGTGGACCGCCCCCCACCCCCACCCCATTGCTCCCTGCTCCTTCGTCTCCTGCCTGCCTTTCACCTGGTCAGACGGAGTGCCCACCAGTCTAGTTAAAGCAATACCAACCATCGCCACACACACAGCACTTCTCTTCTTCACTGACATTGTTTGGTGTTCATTATCCACCTCTCCGTTCTGGCTTCAGTCCCTCTGTAAACTACTACTCATGTTTTAAACTTCGGGAGCCTAGAAGGCTGACTAGGTGTGGAATAGACCTTGAGCGATTATCTGACTCAAAATATTCTGCGTGGTTCATACACAAGGCAAGTGAGACCCACAGAGAGACACCGCTGCTCACGTGGTGTTTCTTAGTTTAAAAAATCATCATGTGACGGGAGAAGGTCAAAGAAGTTACGGGAGATTTAACTTGGGGTCCAAACACACAATACAATATACACATGATGTATTACAGAATTGTACACCTGAAACCTATATAATTTTATTAACCAATGTCACTCCACTACATTCAATAAAAAATAAAAATAATTTTATTTTTAATAATCATGAGATTGTCTGAAGCCTTTAGTGGCTTCACATGCATTGATCTGTTCCACCAATTAATTTTTAACTGTGCAGGGAAACTGCTTATAGGCTTAGAGTTGGTCCTACTGGGTTAATTACCCAAGTTCATGTTAATTTTATGCAGTTACGTGGAGATCCCAGATTCATAGGACTTGGCAATGTCAAACCAGATTTCTTCTACAGCTTTCTGGCCCATGTCAAACATTTGCTGTAGGTGCTTCCACCCGGTTTTTGCAGTAATCATGATATATTCTTTGTTCTCTGGCTGTAGCTGGCAAGAGTGTGCAGCTAAGACAAGTGACTGACAAAAACGACTGCACACAAGAAGAAACAAAGCGCCCCTCTCTGTCGGTGTCAGGGGGATGATGCTTTCAAAGCCTGCCAGCACATGACCACCCACTTGTAGAGGAGTCTTGCTTTCAATCATCATGTACATGATGGTGATGGCCACTTCAAACACGTAGTAGCCATAGCTCATGTCATCAAAGTCTAAAATCCCAGACACACGGTACACAGCATCTCCAAGGGTGGACTCGCTGGCCTCGACTAGGATGTTATGATCATTAAGATCTCCATGATTGATACCTGAAAGGAGAAAGAAATCAAGCGAGTCATTGAACACCCCAGTTCACTCTCCTTCCATTTCTCGTGCTCAGGCCTGGCCATTCAAGTAATCTGAGGAGCAGGCAGAGATAAAAGAGCCAAATCCTATTTTTCTTGAAGTAAAATAATTTCCCCTGAAAAGGACAAAAGCTGTTAATTTTGGTGGTGGTTTTGCTTTTGCTTCTCATCAGCACAAGGCCAAGAGATGGAAAATGTAGTTGCTGCAAACACCTGATTTTAATTACTAGAAGAGTAAAGGGCAAAGGAGAACCACCCAACCAGAAATTTTAAAAATATACACATATTCGTATCACAAGAAGCAAAGGGTCCTAGAATGGACCACTGGTGTCCTTGTTTTAATCTAGCATTTCCAAAAAAAAAAATATTTTTGATGACAAAGTAATTCTGAATTTCTCGTCTTTCGATTACTGGAAGAGATGGTGGTATTTTAAGTCGGAACTACTGAAAGTGGGTGCCTGTGGCCACTGCTGGCCCACAGACTGTTGCCCATCTGCGTGAGATAAAAACAGAAACTGGAAGTGTTTAGAAAACGTTAGAGCAATGTGTAATCAAAGAGCGTGATCAGTGGCCTTATTCCCAGAGTACAGAGCAGATGGGTGTCATCGAAGGCACATGTGAGCCACATGTGGCGCAAGCTGGGAAGTCGTCATGAACAGTAGGCCCTGTCAGCAGGCTGCTCACCTAAATCACCGACTAAGGGTTAGGAGGACATGTCGTATCCATGAGCACTACATTAGTGAGTCAGGTACTTTATAATAACCAGGTGGTACATAGTCCATAATATTAACTCCTAAATATAATGCTAATTTCCTCTATACGGTTTAGGATTGCATCAGTCCTGCTGGAGGGTGATCGTAGGTGGCATGTAGAAACAGTAAACGTTACTGCAAATTGCAGACTCTAAACTACACACATCTGAAATTGGGAGGCATCATATAACCAATGCGATTTCATAGTTTCACCGGCAATGTTTTCTCTTCCTTAGAGGCTCCTAAAGTAATGGTGCACCTGCACAATAAACAGTTTTAGAATCAGTGAAATATACTACTTCCTGAAAGCAATCTGTGCACACAGGAACTTCTTGTTTCATCGCTTCTACTCACATACATGTCAAGTGGCCTAACGAGAAGTGAATAAGCTACTTAGTGCCTGGAATAAAATAACAAAAGCTGTTGAACTTGGGAATTAAAGAAAGAAAGAAAAAAAAAAAAGGAGTTCTGATCAAGATGGCAGAGTGAATCCATTCTTTGCTAACCCCTCTGTGCTCAATATACTTAACAAAGGGGACCTGCATAGAGGAAAACAAAACAGACACCAAAGCAGCGAGGAAGCTGCAGGTCTGTGCACTGTGCTCGAATTACCCAGAATGCAGTGTGGACAGAGAAAAAGATTAAACACACACACACAGAGGAGAAGAGAACAGATGCACAGGAGTCAGCCAGAAGGCCTAACACTAGTTTCACTGGCGTCCCGAAAGGAGAAGAGATGGGGTAGAGGTAAAAATTTTCTGCAACGGAAGAAATAAATACACGATCCACACACGGATTTGGGAAACTGAAGCAGAGTAAAAAAAAAAAATCATCTGCGAAAAAGAGCATCTTAAAATGAGCTTCCCGAGCGGGGAAGAGACAGACTGCCTTTAGGAGAACAGACTGACAGCAGACCTCTCAGCAGGAACGGAAGGCAGTCGACAGCTGCACTCTAAAATTCTAAACCCCCGAAAGCTAAAGTCCTACAGGATGTGAAAATATCCTTCAAGAATGAGGAGATAACATAAAAACATTTTCAGGCAAATAAAACCAGAGAGAATTCCCCTCTAGGAAACTGCATGAAAGGAAATCCCAAAGGAACTATTTTGGGCAGGAGCAACTGACACAGAATTGAAGTTTACTAAAACAACAGCATATGAATCAGGAAACACATAAGTGCAATTGAAGTATATTTTAAGGTCCTTGTATTGTTTTGAATAATATTAGACTTTCATAAGTTACAGTTACACATTAGAATTTCTAGGGCAGCCACTCAAAGAAGAGAAAAAGAGTATCTACTTTCCAAACTGCCAGAGAAGGAAAAAATAATTAAAAAAACAATGAGTTCAAAAATACTACTTTACATAATGAATACATACACATATAGTAATGGTATTAAAACATGTGTACAAATTTAGTAGGGAGGGAGAGGTGGGTTGTAAAGTTTAGAGAGGGATTCAAATGTAGCCATTTTTTTAAAAAGTAAAAGTGCTATTCCTTTTTTCTTAATCGTCCTCAAGGATATTTTTTATTATTGACTTTAGAGAGAGGGAGGGAGAGAGAAACATCCATCGGTTACCTCCCATACACGCCCCAAATGGGGATGAAACCCACAGCCAAGGTATGAGCCCTGACTGGGGATCAAACCCTCAACCTTTTGGTGAATTGGACGACACTCCAACCCACTAAACCGTCCAGCCAGGGCAGAAGTGTTATTCTTTAAAAGCAACAGGAGCAAATAGGGCAAAATTATAAAACTTGATAAAGCAAAGTTGTAACCTCACTCTTTTTCTGATGATTTAAAATTTGACAATTTAAATATCAAGAAAAATCGTTGTTTGATTGGGGGAATACTTACATTCTCGAAAATGCCTTAATTTGGTCATCACGTCATCCTTGAACAGCTGAACGACCTTTTCCACAATCGCCCGATTTTGATCTGGGCCCAAGGCACACAGATAATTCTCCAGAAGAGGAACATTTTTCAGATTCCAGATGAAGTTCTCCCGATGAAGACACCTTAACTTTGGGTGCTGGAATTTCTAAATCAAAAGCAAGAAACTCTGAGACTCTTGGCAGCCAGAACAGCTGGGGCTGCGCTGCGTCAGAAGACCGCAGCCTGCAAGGGGCAGGCCAGGGCAGGGCAGCGGGCCGTCCCTCGTGGGCTCTGACACCCCCCTTTACAAACACCCCCAGACGGTGAAGGCCCCGTGCTGCAAGGCCTGTCTCTTTTGAGAGCGCACCCCCGTCTCACTGGGTGCTCTTCGCTGTGTGAACACAGCTGTTCTCCCCACATGGTCGGCCGGGGCCCCTTGCTGCCTCTGCCTTTGTCTTCTCCTTCTGCTCACTCCCCTCCAACCTCACTGACCTTCCTGCTGTTCAGGGGAAGATCCAGACCCGGTCCCACCTCCGGCCTTTGCGTGTGCTGTTTTCTCCCCCTGAGACGCGCCCCCGGGTATCCCAACGGCCAGGGTCCTCATTTCCACCAGGTGTCCATGCAAGTCCCCGTCTGTGGGAGGACTCCCTGACCACTCGGTCTTCATTTTGAACCCTCCGTCCAATGCTTTGTATCCCTATTTTCTGCTTATGTTTTATTTTCTTAAAATTTATTGAGAGAGAGGGGAAGGAAAGGAGAGAGGGAGAAAAACACTGATGTGTGAGAGATACATCAATCAGTTGCCTCTCTCACACCCCAAACTGGGGGCCTGGCCCACAACCCAGGCCTGTGCCCTGACTGAGAATCGAACTGGTGACCTTTTGGTTCGCGGGCCGGCACTCAATCCACTGTAAAGATAAAAAACTCTTACGAACAAAATAAAACGCCAGATCTTACCTCCAGTGTCTTATCCAATTTGGCAGCCAGCCTTCCTACTTCATACAGTAACTGGGGGCTGACGGGGCTCTCAGCAATGGGTCTTCCCGGGAGGTATGTTAGCAGCCTCACCAAGTAGTTCTTGGTTTCGGAACCACTATCTAGCCGGATAGAAGGATATATACTGTCAAGTCACCTTGACAAAAACCAGAGATTATTTTGCCTTTCAAAGGGAATTATTATTACAAAGAATAATAGAAATTGCAAAACAAGAGAAAAAAGTTGCTAACCTAAAACAATCAGCAGGATTCTAGGAGGCTGAGCTGAGACGATGAAGCAAGAAGGTAGAACAGACAAACCTTAGGACACCGGAGTCAGCCATTTACATCCTGACGACATTAAAGCCCCAGCTCTGCCGGCCTCCGCGCTAAACACAGATCACCTACTCTGGTAAGTGAATGCCTAAAAACACTTTTTCATAAGTTTACAATTGAGGAAAACGTGCTAGAAAGAAATGACTGTTTCAGAATCACAGGTGCTGCCGGTGCTGCAGGAGCGAAGGGAGGGGAAGCCCGTTGGCAGCCCGGGACAGGAGCTACGCCCTGGGGACTGGAAAGCCGCAGTTGTTTGGAGCCACGCACCTTAGGAAAGGATGGGTGAACCGTTAGGAGAGAAAGAGTCAAAATTCCAAACTTTAAAAATTCCCAGGAACTGCCCTGGCCGGGGAGCTCAGCTGGTTAGAGTATTATCCTGACGCCCCAAGGCGTGGGTTCGATCCCTGGTCAGGGCACATACAAGAAGCAACCAACGAATGCAACAAGAAATCCATGCTTCCTTCTCTTTCTCTCTCTCCCTTCCCCTCCCTTCTTCTCTCTTTAAAATCATTCAGTAGATAAAAACTTCTTAAAAATTCCTTGGCATTGATTTCAGGCTGCTGCTTGGAGAACTCAATCAGGTACCTCTTAGCATTTTAGCATTTAAAGGTGAACGGGACCAGTTCTCCCACATGAGGACTTGCAGCCTTAGCAGTGTGAGTGGTGTGCCCACGTCACATATACAGCAGTGATGGAGCTGGGATCTAAAATTCCCGATTTCCAGTTCTGCATTTTTTGTTACACCAAAGCACCAAAACATACGGCTGATCTGATGAATAAAAGTTTGTAGTTATTTCCCTGCCTAAAAAAAAAAGGGCCCCACAAAAAAAGTCCCAATTTCCACGTGTCCCCTCTTACGCGTCCACCAGGTTCCACCAGATCCTGGCTCTAGGCACGTCTGAGTCAGAGCCCAAACTGCTCCGTTGGAGACGCTCTGGCCTCTCCCAACGGCTAAACAATAACCGAGTCTACACTTGGAACGTCAAACCCGTCCTTGATATTTCTCCCTGTAACCACCATTCAGCAACACGCATGTGCGGGCAATGACCGACGAGTGGGTGGCCTCTTACCTACAGACAAGAGCGAGGTTATGTTGTCCCCTTGGGTGCGACACACAGAAGCTGTGGGAAATCCCGCCGCTTGCAGGAACAGGATGATGTGACTCTGCACCTCAATCAGGTCGGGGGTTTTGCTGGACTCGGTGTTGCTTATTTTGAGGACATAGTCCGTGGGGGCACCTGGGGTGTCTGTGGCTCTTGAAATACATACGTGAAAGTTTTGGTCGTCATAGCTAGGAAGTGGCTGGATCTTGGAAACTTTGAACCCGAATACCGACTCGACTACTGCACAGGCCTGGGCCTCGCTGAAAGTGGGTTTGGCTAAGCTGTGCGATCGCTGATCATCTCTGCTCGACATTATGTCTGGGGGAAACAATGTAGAAAGGGAACATAAGGAACATATGTATTTAAATGATTTTTCTTAAAACGGGCCCATGTTTCTCAACATGGGTTCTGTCCTTGTAATGACTGATTTTCACTCAAACAGTTAAAACATGAAATCAGTAAAGGGGGAAAAAAGAAGTAGATATATTGCAGGTGAATAAAAATCCCTGGACCTCAATTATTTCTGAAGTCAGGAAGCAAATGTTTTCCAAGCTTCATGCTGGAATCTCACCACCTTTGCTCAACCACCAGGCAGGGAATGGGCCTTCTGCACTCTGTGCACGGGCCACCCGACAAATCCTTTCCTGTTACAAAGTCCAGTAATTCTACCTGGGCATGTGATCCAAGTTTACCCTTCTGCTTCCGCCATTCCTCTCCCGTCCCCCCCCTCCCACCCGTCCCCCCCCCTCCCACCCTCCCCCCGAGGCTGGGGCAGGGGTTACACAGGCAGATGTCGTACCCCTGCACCTGGCCCAGGTGGGACTAACGAAAGAAGGGCTGCCTTCTCTCCAGAGGTCAACGGGCCGTTCGTTACCCAAAGGGGGTCCGGAAACAGGAAAGCAGGAGAAGCAGTCTGGCTTTCAAGGGCAACAGCAATGCCCTACCCGGCGCTCCGCAAGGCTTCCCACCGCCGGTGGGCGGAGTGGCGCGAGCGGGCTGTAGGGGCTGCTGACCAAGACGCTAGTGACACAGGCCTGGGTCACAGCGCTTGGAGCCACGAGGCCCAGTGGGACCTCGGCCACCTGGCCCCGCACCCAGAGGGTCTCCACGCTCCAGTCCCGGGCCGGGGAGGAGGGCCCGCCCTAACGCACCTGAGGGTTTGAGCAGCGCCTGAGACACCGAACACCGGGGACCCGGAACGGCTCTTCTTCCGCACTCGCTCACCCTGCACCACCCGCGCTACGGGGGCGCCCGGAGAGGGCTTCCACTGTCCAGCAGCCCGGCCTGAGGTCTGATGCTCCCGCGGGGAGGTCTCCCACGTCAGGACCTCGGGTGGGATGGCCACGCCTGTCTGCCGCTCCTCCACCCGCCCCGGCTCTGAGCCGCAACCGCTGACTTCTGATTGGCTCCTCGAGAAAAGCCCGCTGCCAATCAGCGCAGGCTACGGGACGATGAGGCCCGCCCCGGCCTGCCTAGAAGGATGCGAAGAAAAATCCGGAGACCAGGCTTCTAATTGGCTCTCTACAACCGGTCCCCCGCCCCCTTCTCTCGCTCACCCCAGTCAGAACCTGGATCTTTTCCGCAGAACTGGGCTTCTTGTTTCTGATTGGCTCTTCGAGGTTCTGCCCCGCCCCCTGGCAAGCCCCTGTCCAGCAGGCTTCCGGCTATTGAGCAGCCCTGCGCAGTCTGCCCGGTCCACACGGGAGGCTTCGCGGACTGTGTCTCTCAGGAATCGGGAATCGTAAGAATCTGGGCACGACTCGCACCCTCTTTCCTTCCTCGCCTTCCTGCAGGCAGCTGGCATCCCCGGGCCCCAGGAAGCGCAGTTCCGAGGGGAGGTCCCGACGGACAGACGCGTTGCGTTCTGCACGGTCAGAGCTCCCAGGCTTCCTGGGAGAACGTGAAATGGTCCTCCCGATTAGGGCCGCCCACTCCGAGTGCTGCTGGAGAACTGGAGCCCAGGGGACGCAGAGCCTCGGCCGGACTCACGGCACCGATTTCTCCTCCCCGGCCCAGCCTCTGAATTCAGTATCCTAGTTGGAAAGGCAGCGGGCAGGCTTCCCAGGGGCACGGGGTGACCCCGGCTCCGGTCTGGTGGGATGAGTTGGCTCATTTACACTGAGCTAGAGAACGGAGGGTTCGCTCCCCGCAGCAAAGTGCACCACCACGTGATTTCCAGGCGGCTGCCCGGACCTCCTGGTGTAACAGTCCGTTGACACGGTAATCCTCACTGTCAAGGGCGCTAGGCTCTGATACAGAACCGGATGCAAGTCTGCAGCCTGCATGACTTCTTTCTACTGAGGGACCTAGACCCCAACTGCAACAAAGTCCCGAGGGTTTGTAGATGCACATTCCCCACGCCCTGCTGCTTCAGTTCTTTTTCTTCCCTATCAGGAGGGAGCGCTCCCGTTATCGAGACACCTTGATTGACTTGGAGGTTTCCCAAACCACTTTTCCCCCTTTAGACTCGGGTATCTGCTTCAGGTCTTATCTCCAAGTAGCAGGCTGTCTTTTCAGAGCGGCAGAGTGCCGTTTCGTTGGTGAGGCTCTCCAGGACCCGCTTGGATTTTTCTGTAACCACAATCTGACTTGAGCCCTTCCGCGTCCTATGGCCTCAGGCAGCTCCTGAATTCTCTCCCCACTCTCATCGTGCTGTTTCTCCTCTTTCTGGGGTGAGGGAACGGGAGGGAGAGCGGAATCTGGAAATGGGGGGGGGCACTGAAGGGACAGGGCTACTCACTGCCCTTCCTGTGGAACCAGCATTTTGTAACCTGCCTTTTCCCCTTTACATGAGCATTTCCGTGTGTTTAAGAATATCCTCATATAGAAACCTTTTGTGCATTTCTAATGCTGTCTTTAAGACACGCTGTTCAGGCACATTGCTGGATCTATTGTAAATCATGTTCTTCCTCAGTGACAGCAACGCTGTGATGAGAAAAGCCCCACCCATCTGACAACACACCCGTCGTTGTCACAACAACAATTTTTTCCATCACTCGGCCACCGAGACACTTACATAGTGGCTCTCAGAACTCAGTGATCAAACACTGGAGGGAAGCAAATGGAACAATTTGCATAGTCAGATTATAGATGTGACTTTATATCAGAAAACGTAATAGCCCAGTTTTATACTTAATTTAGCTATATACTGCAACCTGTTTAAAATGCCCAAAATTCAGTGCCGACATGTGAACACAAAATTCAGTGCCCACTGTCACCGTGCGAGCAAATGTTGTGGGGGCTACACCTAGACCTGGTTTTGTAACAGGAGTTCCATTTTTGAAGTGTATTAAACACAAACCTTACAGTCTGGTAGAAAAACTTATTAGTTAAACCAAAATGAATACGCTTAAGCTAAACTTAAGTTTTTATAGTTAAAAAGCAAAACTGGCATCAAGTGAAAACTGTAAACCAACAAAATGCAACACTGATGACGTACTAAGTTTCCTAAAAAAATTCTGGACATTCACACTATCAAAATCTGTTATTAGCCTTTCTAATGCTGAAAAACCTCTCAGAATACTGAATTAGAATCCTTAGAAAACTTAATAATGTATCAATTTTGCTTTATGAATGCCAAATTTTAATAAAATGTCATCCCCCATTTTGGTTGCTATTAAGAATGGGAGAAAGCAGCGGATCGTATGTACAAGACATGACCTTAGAGCCAAGGCCCACGGTCCTGGCTGCCAGCTCTGGAGGACACTTCGCTTTGTGGGGACGCTAAGGAACGGCCCGTGGAGGGAGACGGTGGCCACCACCAGCTGGTCCTAAAGCACAAAGGCTCCTGAAAACAGGGCGCCTCCTGCATCGTCAGGAAAAGACCGTTTCCTCCTGTAATGCACAACTCACAGCATGAGACCCTCCGTTCCATCCTAAATATCCAGAATACACCATCTATTTTACGGAGGTTACGTGCAGTGCGACTTGCGGAGGGTACAATTTATTCATTAAATATGCATTTAATGTTTAGCTGTACCAAAGTGCTCTAAGAGGCATAGGCAAAATAGGGAGAATTAGAAGCAGCAGGTACAAGCTACCAGGAGGCAGATTTGAGCTCAAAGTCAAGTCCATCTTGCCATTCAAACTCCAGTCAGCAGGACGGGGCGCCCAGCCCGGCAGGCGGCTTCCGTCTCCGGGGTCGTCACGGAAAGGCGGCCCACTTACATGGCGTCTGCACAAAGGATCCTGGTCGGGGTGAGAAACCAGTCTTTTCCACTCTGAGACGTGACCCCACGTATCTCAGGCCGCACGTGCTCCCCACTTCGGACTCGCACCGCGGCTCCCACCCGCCGGCCCTGGGCGGAGGCGCCGACAGGCGCGGCGTGAGAATGGCCGGTGCGCGCTGCACAGTCCCAACAGTTAGGTGCCGTGTCTGAAGGGAAACTTCTGGATGCCATCCTATTTCTTTTTAAGTTATGTTGTTTTGTTGTTAATTACTGCAAAATATTTTATAAGGAGTCAAATGTGGTAATACAATTTTCTTTATTAAAAATAATTTACAGCATCAATAACATATACACAATTGTCATCAACTGAACTTTGCCTCCAATATATTTCTATACAATACTTAACATTATTGAACTTAAAACTGTTACACTGTTTTGTTGGCTTTAAATAACTGACCGCAGTTAGGTGAGATACAGGATTCACAGACACGCTGCTACGTGGAACGTGGAGAGGAGTACCGGCACGGTCACACGGGGAGAAGGCCACTGAGCACGCCCGAGCCCGCGTCCACCTTTATTCCTCCCAATCAAACCAACCACCTCCTCCTGCACCAGAAGGCAAAGCAGAGGTGTCCTCTAGTTCGACCACAGGGAGGCGTCGGTTCATTTCGCACTCCCCGCCCCGGCCCCTCACCGCAGCGGAGGAGGGACACGACACTGCCACCGTGTACGTGAGTGACTGTGACGGATTCGGGTCCTAGCTGGATGCTCCCCCTTCAGTGCCAGTGCTGTCTGCTCACCAGGGGACAACCGAGCCATCGGGCTGCAGGGATTCGCTACCCCTCATTCAGACATCGCTTCGGACATCCGGACATAAAGCAAGAAATGACGACGAGTGTCAGCCTGGAAACTTCAGGTAAAACAACAGCAACCTGGTGGCTGGGCGCCATGTTTGCTCTGTTCATTCTATGGAAGTGACAAACCCAAAAGCAGGAAATATGGCAACGGCGCGCAGCACAATGTGCTTTAACCTGACAACACTAATGTGGTTTTCTTATGGAGCCATTGCACTTCCTTTCCACAGTATGTGTTGTTTTTTAAACACAACGTTACCCAGGTACAGCTAACAAAGGAGGTACGTAAAACAACAAAACCCAAGAGATGCCACATCTCTGCAGACACAGCACATGGCCAGAGGCAGGTGTGCGCCCTGGGCCCCTCCCCAGCCGATGCGCACGCTGACCAAGCTTTCGGTTCACTGTACATGCGCAACAGGGAAGAGACCCTCGGTTCGGTTCGTGAAGTACAAGGCTTGCTCGTACTAGGCTGACCGGAAATTTAAGTGTTTAATTCATAGCTAGTTTATCCCCTCCGACTCCTGGACAAGTGTTTTTTTGAGGACGCCCATGCCTCTGCCCACAGGCTATATAGTATGCTATGCTTAAAAATAATTCAGATGCCCCCCCCCGCCCTGGAAATATCATTTCTTCAAAGCACATCCCAATATTCAATTTGGAAATTCTCCATCCATAACTCATGTTTTCATGTAAATTAAAAACACATGCACTGACAAATACACAGAGTAATAAAATATCAGGAACACAATTTGATTCGAAAGTACCACAGAAAATATTTGTACACAATTTAAATAAAGGGAAATTATTTGTGCAACTCTAGCCCATCTGTCTAAACGTGGATCTGCAGACGCTGGGGAAAGACCGTGTGACCGGCTTGCGCAAGGCCTCAGCGCCCTCACCCCCTGGTTTTCCATCTGCAGCTCCGAATGCCGAGGTTTTGGTTAACATGACCTAGGACATTAGGTCATAGCAAGTGACAGGACCACATAAAGTGAGCAAAAGAATCTAATCCAATTAAGGTGACGCCAGCTGAGGCCTCCACAGCAAGAGACTGAGCTGCCGGGGGCGGGGCGGGGCAGGGGGTGGGGGGCGTGCAGGCCCCACGGCGGGCGCGAGGCTGCCGGCGCGACGCTGCCAGTGCCACCCTGCCGGGCCCTGGGTCCCGCGTCGGGGAGACCCGGCCGCCCTGGGCAGTGCCTGTGCCTGGGGCAGGGTCCATCCCTGGCAGTGAGACGGAGGCTGAGGGTAACCCCAGGTCATGTCACAGACTAAGAAAGCCACCTACAAACAGCACGATTCTGAGACGGAACGAATACCCGTGCAAGCCCGCCTGTAACTCAGACTCCCGCTTCCACCATTTCAGAGTCTAATCTGGCCTCTTCAGTTGTAACTTCCTACTCTCAAACCAACAAGCAGCTGTATGCAGTTTTGTGGAGGCAGAACTAAACAAACAACTTCAGGAAGGTCACTCACATAAGAATCTTCAACGCACGCTCCAACTCTGCCTTTATGTACAAACGGTCGAGAAAGCGCCCCTCATAGTTACCAGTCTCTTCCACAACACACTTCACACGTTGGTTTTAGCAGTGTCAATAGCACCATTCATATATTATTGAAAATCAAGATTTCATTTCTGTCACAAAGGGATTCATAATTGATGTCATCCACGGGCGAGATGAATGAGCGGCCGGGCCTGCCTGCAGCTCCGTGGGGGGGACCCCTGGGCCCGGCACAGAAGGCCCGGTGTGCCGTCACCAGTCCGGAAAGGTGTCCGCGGCGACTGGATACTAGGAGAATTTTCGTGCCACAAAGTTTAACAATCCTCCATGTTTGTACAATGTGATTTCCACATCATTTTCAAATGAAGCGATCACGCTGAACGTTTTTCCAGTGCTTGTCTTGAAACAAACAAAAACATGTCATGAGTGTAACACCTCCCAAGTGTCACTGAGCGATCAAGACCACCTGTCCTCACGGGCGGACCGACACGGCCACAGGCTCTGTCTGAGGAGCCCTTCTCCTGGCCGCAGACCTGAGACACCCAGCCATGGGCCTCACTGCTCAAGGAGAACAGGTGCTCTCACCCCAAGTTCCAAATGATAAGCATTACATATCCCTTCGCACCCTAAATCAAGCCATCCGATGCCGACCCATGAGTCAGGAGACCTGCGCTCCCCTCTCCCACTGGCCGCACACTAAATGCTCGCCGCTCGGAGGGCCCGCTGCCCGGCCCCCGTCCCTAGGCTGCGAGGGCTGTCTATGCCACGCCCGACTCGCCATGCCCGACTGCCCGCCCGCCTGGGTCACGGTCCGATCAGGACACGGGCGGCGGCCCCGGCCGACGTCGGCGCGCGGTTCAGTTGCTGCCGTTCCCCAGCTCACAGCTGCCCGCCTGCGCGCGCGCGCACACACAGTCATGTGTTTGAGGATTTTACAGATACCTTCACGTTTAACGTCACACCAGGAGAGAGCTCTTCCGGGAACGTTAAGGAGAACGTTTCTCTGCCAGAGAGGCCCAAGGAATCCGCATTTTCTCCCGGGAGGAACTGAAGGGGAGCGATGCCAATTCCAATCAAGTGATCTTTGTGGATTTTTTCATAACTTTCGGCCAGAACAGCTTTCACACCCTGTAACAAACATGAGTTTATTTCCTTCAGTCATCTCAGAAAGTTGCGTCACTGAGCATTTTAAAAGAAAAAAAAATCTACATTTGGCTTTTCTGTAAAAACCTAACACTCCATACCCAAGATGCTGTTGTGCCGCAGCGTTTACAGAAGCCTCTGTGAGCTTCTCCGTGTTTAAAGTGGCTGCCCCCCGTCCCTCGGCCCTGCCAGCCCCACGCACAGCGGGAACGGTCAGCGGGCGGCTGCCCGGACCCCACAGGGGGCGCAGGGCTGTTTTCCGAGGCGGACGGAACACGTGCGCTCGTCAGCACTCCCTCTCAAAATGCCACTAGGAAAAGCAACAGGGAGAGCACGACGCCAAAGAAACAAAGGATCAGAACAAGTGAGTCCTATAATGTTTAGGACAGGAGACAACGTTCAAACAACAGAATGATGAGCTGAAATCAGAGAGCGACACCAGGCGCGTCCACATCCACCTGCAACAAAGCACCTGCCCCAAAGGGTGGAGCCCTGGGGCCCGCGGCTCCCAGAACATGGGGTGCGGGCAGAGCCTATGCGCTGCAGTAACTCTCCAGGGCAGTCCCGCTCCGGAGGGTGAACGTTCCCTCCCTGGAGAAAATAAGCCAGAGGGGCACTCGACCCATGTGTCTGAACTTAAAAAGAATGTTACCGCCCCCCAGGAGCCTTCCTTATGCGACAGTTCTCCCGATCGCATCTTCTTCCCCATGGCCCACCCCAGCATCTGTGTCGCAGTCTGCGCGTGTACTGCGTGTACACCTGGGCTGCAGACACGGAGAGTGTGGGCTCTTCAACACCAGCAGTGGGCTTCTGTCCCCCGGGAACGCCATCTGCCTGGTCAGAGCGGATGCTCTGGGGCGAGGACACCAGGAAGGCCGGGGGGAGGGCGCCCTGGGAGTCAGAAGGGCACCGCTGATGCCCGAGCCCCGAAGGGGCTGTGCCCTGGCAGACGCGGCTGCCCCGGGGACGCGAGCCAGCTCCCAGCGGCACGGGCGGCCTCCGGCGCAGTTGCCTTGGGCAGGCCCTCGGAGCCTCCCGCCCGGCCCGGCCCCGCACCCCCGGTTCCGCGCAGTGTCCCCTGAGCCGGCAGCCAAGGATCGCCAGCCATGTGGGCAAAGCCAAGAACACAGGAAACAAAGACTAAAAAAATCCCAGAAAAAAGAAAACCTAGACCTGTAATTACTATTCACAGTGCTTGTAAGTAATAGCTCAGAAAGATGAGTGAATCTGGCTCCTTCCTACAACTCCTCAAACTACTTACATTTTTAGGGGAAGCAGGTTAAAGATTCAAGAGCAATAAAGTCTGTGCGAATGTGACAGCTCGAGGGCTGTGTCTGGCCAGCGTTTTTACAGCCCTCACTGCGAGGAGGGGCCCTCGGCAGCCCGAGACGGCAAAGACCTGCCGCGCGACTGCTCCCCCAGAGGAGCCGCCTCGGGAGACGGGTGTTCCTGGCGGAGAGCCAGGCACCGCCATCTCCTGCTTGGAAGGAAAATATTAAAGCTCAGCCCACACCTCTGCGTCTGATAACCAAGAAAATAAAATAAAAAGGGGCACGTAAAATTATCAGCGGGTACAAATTATCATCAAAAAGTAATAGTTTAAGACAGAATCTCCTTTCCCTCTACTGTATGGATTTCTTCAAATCAGGAAAGACTGATGTAGGTACAATCAAATTCAGAGTATTACTGCAACTAGGTTAGTACAAAGTATACAAGACCACTTTTAAAAGCCTACAGATATGAGATCCAAGGAAGCATCAAAACCCAAATGAGTAAAATTAACTTTGATAGGACGTTCTGACAAATGCTTAAAACTCTGAAGTTTAAGAAGGTAAGATGTAAGAATCAGTACCAGCAAGTAGGGTCCTTTGGCAGCCCAGTCTCTGGAGCTCCCGGAACCGTATTTCTTTCCCGCTAAGATGATCAGCGGGACGCGCTCCTTTTGGTACAGCTCTGCAGCCTCAAACACGTCCAGCTGCGGGTTCGACAAATGCAAGAGCTGTTAACGCCAACTCTGATTTAGCCAGCACTTGACCAAATCCTTTGTACACCTCCTTACCGTCTGTCCCGACGGAAAATGAATGGTTTTGGGAGCTGGTTTTCCAATGAACTTATTAAAAAGCTTGATGTTTGCAAACGTGCCTCTGGTCATCACAGCATCGTTGCCTCTCCGGGCTCCGTAAGAGTTGAATTCACGAGGGGTGAGGCTGCGGGACAGTTGTAAAAGCCAGTTTTCACTTCAGGTGGAAAGTGATCGCGTGCTGGTGACTTGTGACCCTGACGTGGAACCCTGCGGCCCCACGGGAAAACCCCAAGCAGGCGCCGAGGCCGAGCACAGAGCGGCGAACGCCCAGGAGCCCTGGCGCCGCGCTGTGCCCCCCAGGTCCGCTGCTTCCCTCGCCGCCGACTGGGTTACTCTAAGCAACCTCAGATACAGCTTTTCTTCTAAGTAACGGAAAGTTTATTTAGGACGCCACAGAGGCAGAAGTGAGCGGTAGGAGACACGGGCGCAGAGAACAGGCTCAGGAGAGAAAGGTGGGAAGGCCCCTCGCCCTCGGGGGCGGGGGGGCGGCGAGGGCAGGGGCGCCCCCAGGGAGGGCGCTCAGGAGCCGTGCTGTGGCTGTGAGTATTTGAGCGCGCTTCTCTGAGAGATGGGACTCCTACAAGTGCAACGTTAAAAAAGCCAAAAAGAAATCACAATTTCTTCATATCAGATAGCCAGGAAGCCTCCACATGTCCCTGATTTTCTCCATACCTTTCTGTTGTTGCTTTGCTCAAATCGGGACCCAACGATGGATCATGAATTCACCCAGCAGTTCCCGAGCCTCTTTTAATCGCGCGGTCACCCCTCGCGTCCCCTCTCGCACTCAGCGCGGAGCTTTCCGCACCCAGGCTGCGCCCGCCTGTCTCTACGCTACCCCTTCACACGCTCTTCTGTCCCCTGGGCTCTATGAACCAGATGTCAGATCCAGTGACTTGATAAAAGCTGTCTTTGGTTTGATACAGGTCGAGCCTAGTCTCATGAATGAACACTTTATAGTCCACAAATCACAGTTAAATTCTGTGCTCCCACACAGGAGGATGGTTAGAACCACACCACCCGCCTTTATGTGGTCGGCCAAAACAAGCTGACTTTTCGAGAAAGTAACCCTGAAAAAGAAAACTCTTCTTTCTAATCAGAAAGAAGATTATAAAGAAGTACCACGGGGACCAGAGGTACCACTACCGCCAACCGCACTGCCCGCCGGGCCCCCGTGCACTCGCTGGTGAAGGGACAGGGGGCGGGGGATGGCCGCGCTGGCACGCACCCTCTGCTCGCCAGGTACTTTGCAGCAGCGCTGCTGCGGGAGATGCTGCCCGCGGGGGAGATGTGGTCGGTGGTGACGGCGTCGCCCAGGTGCAGCAGGACGTGGGCGTTCTCAATCGGCCGCGGCGCCGCGGGCTCTTTGGTCTGAAAGGCAACGGGAAGGTGAAGGCACTGACCTCGTTGTGAGATGTGTTAGCTCAGAACAACCTTTAAAAAGTCAAGTAATAAAACCGTACTTACAAGCTTGTCAAAAAACGACGGGCATCTGATATAGGTGGACTTGGAGTCCCACGGAAACAACACTGAATCTGGGGCTTCTAAGGAATTCCACCGCGTATCTCCCGCCTGCGAGCGTGGTTTGGGTTGAGAGAGAAAGAAAAGAAAAAGAAAATGGAGTCAGGAGGCTTATGAAAATAATCAAGGGGATAAAATAGTACTTCAGTTCAAATGGAAAAAAGAGGTCTTATCCATTTCCCAAAAACAGTAAGAGAGTGCATTCCGGAAACACGAGATTCTCAGATGGAATACACATCTGTTCCTCAAATGCCAGCACAACACGTTTTCAGGAACACCCTGAAAGTTAAGTTTCAATATAAACCAAGCATAAAAGACTTCAGAGAATCAAAAACAAACAGCAAAACCCCCACTGGAGGATTCAGAAAGATCTCGACACGCTGCTGGTCTTTGAGAGGACAAGGGGGGGCGGGGGAGAGCCTCTGCCGTCCTCAACGTGCGCCCCGCGGCCCCGCGGCTTGGCCCCGCGGGCGCCTGCCGCCACCATCGGGCTCCCCTCCCGCTCACCCTCCGTCCTGCCCAGCGCGTTCCTCGTGAAGACACAGCAACCCCCTTAGGACACGCCTCTGCTCCAGACCTCCCGACGGCTCCCGTTCCCACTCCGCCCGAATCAAAGCCTGGTTTTCATAACGGCCCGAGGTGCCCCGAAAGCCCTGCCCCCGCATCTCCCGCGGGCACCCCGGGGCCACACTGAGGCTCCCTCCCTCCGAGGCCTCGGCTCGGCCCCTCCGCCTGGGACAGCCACTCGTGAGCCAGGTGTGACTCCCTTGTTCACCTTCTTCCAAACTTGGCCCAAGGGCTGTATTTGCAATCATGCCGTATAAAAACTGCAACTTGCTCCCCAAATTTTACACAATTGCTTCTCTTTACCCTGGTCCATATTTTTCAATAGCACATACTTTTTAATATACTGTATAATTTACCCAATTATTCTGCAGACTGTTCACTGTCTGCCTCTCCCCAAGAGAATTCTGTGTTTTGTTCACAGATACATGCCAAACACATACTAGGTGCTCCATAAATACTTGTTAAGTAAATAAATACTTTTTCTGTCCTCACATCTCTGGAATATGCGTAATAAACTGACCTCATAGGCCACCTCTAAGGAAGTGAAGAAGATGGCTGGGGACCGGGTAGGAAGGATATTTCATTGTTTGCTCTCATTTCTTTTGATTTTTGCAGCATTTAAATAAGAGTGACAAAGGCACTTTCTCTGAAGTGCACCCATATTCAAGATGCCAAATATAAATGCTTGCCAAAGATTTGTAGTAAGTATTAATAAACCAACTCTCATACTCTAAGCTATCCTCTTAGATATTAGGCTGCATATACGAAACGATTATTACTCATTCATAACTGGGGATTCAAAATAACGTCATTTACATTTTTATTCTATTCAGAAAGCAAGATGTACGGAATAAACACTGTCACTTTATTAAACTATTTAAAAAACAAATGAGCTTCTGACCTCTATTTTCTCTTTTAACGCTTTAAACATGGATAATATAACAAGTTCTTCCTCTATCTGATGAACCTCTTCTCGACTAGGCCAAATATCATGCAGATAAATGTTCTTGCCGGTGGGGTCTGTACCTGGTTAAGAAATTAAAGAATGAGATTTAGTATAAAAAATAACTCCCTCGAGACGTTTCACATTTTTTCAAAGAAGTCAAGGAAACTACTCGACGGTGCTCGGCTCACACGGCGGGAAGGCTGAGCCCTTGCACACCCTGCGGCCTCCCAGGGCGCGGACGGCGTGAGGGTGTGGTTCGCGGAAGGGACCCCAGGACGGAGGGTCTCAGGAGCCCGCCCGCACCTGACGGGCGGGTGGAGCCGAGCGCCTGTGCGAGCACAGGGGCAAAGGAAGAGCTACCTAGAGGCTCCGCCTGGAAGTCAATGTCCACAGTGCCTGCTATGGCGAAGGCGACCACCAGGGGCGGCGAGGCAAGGTAGTTGGCACGGACACAGTCACAAAGACGACCTTCGAAGTTCCTGTTTCCAGATAACACTCCACAGGCGACCAGGTCACCCTGAAAAAAAATACACAAAATACATTCAACTCAGCAGATGGTGCCCACGTGGATCATCACAAAGCAGCCTCCAACACGACACTTCTTAGCGCAAGAGAACCGAAGAGCGCATTGCCAATTCTGAAGCAGACTATTAATCCTAGGAATAAGCTAAAATAACTCCTTACGTTTTTAAGGAATTATTTCAAGAACCTAAAAATGGTTCTGCTTATTATTTTAAGATTCACAGGTCACTGTTCCCAAGAGGTGCAAGGACTATAGAAGTGTAAGTGCATCAATATGTACTTTCTGTAATTTAACACTAAAATGCCGTTAAGAAAACCCACGGGGCTATCTTACAGAGACACGCATTTACCTGTTTCACGGCATTCAGAACTGCTTCCGATAAGGGCGCTGTATTTCCCACACACGTGGAACAGCCATAGCCAACTACTTCAAATCTGCATTTCAGAAAACAAACGTGAGCAGACGGAACCTCACAACACATGTAAGGAAACGGCAGGTCGAGTCTCCCGTCCCCACCCCTGCAACCAGGTCACCTGAGAAGAGCCAGGACGCCCGGACCAGCCCTCCCCCAGCGCGGGCACCTTCCGGCTCCAGCCTCGGGCCTGGCGTCAGCGCGGCCTACCGCACGCCGTCGGGGAGCGCCGAGACGCTGCGGCTGCTCCCGGGCTGGGTTTAACCACATCTGACTCAGAACCTCCTGCACTGCACAAGGCAATTCCTCAGACCCTCCTCGCTTGGAATACAACATGACCATTCAAAAAACTGACGCTGTACTTCCTTCCATAGAGGCTGAAACTTCCGAGTGCCCCGAGGACCTGGCTTCCTCGGAGGAGGCCCCTGCGGAGGCCCCATGACGGCACACGCCGCTCCGCATCCGCCTCCTACCCCCCCACCCCCCGCGCCCAGCAGGCCGAGGACGGTCCCGACACGCAGTCCAAGGTGACACTGTCAAGTTACACAGATAATTCACAAAATTGCTTTCAGCTACTTTTTTCCCCCAGCTGCTCTTCTAAATCCAAAACAATACATAAAATTTATCAGGCTTGTAAAGGAATTGATAATTTACGTAAAATAGTACGTCGTGCTGTACACGTTGAAAACGTGACTGGCGTCAATTATTTTTTAGAGGACATAAGTATTGCAAATGTTATTTTCTCCAAAGTTCAGAGATTTATGCTTAATACACTGAGTAACCTCATAAAACCTCAATTAAGACAAGTTACTAAGTCAACGTGTACGACGTGTAAGATCTCATTATCTTCTGGAAACTGACGTACACGACAGGGCGGGTCCTTGGTACCGCCGCTTGTACTGTCTGCTCCAGTTCCTTGATTTTGCCTGCCTGTCGGTCCTTCCATCCTGAAACGGGAGGTCACATCTACTTCTCTAGCCAACACACTGCCTTCCACACTGAGTGTGCCCAGCATGTGCTGAGTGGTCAGGCCTCGAAGGCCGCACGGCAATGGCAAGGAGACCACGGAACTCAGCACACTGTTTTCTACCCGCTCTGTACGCGGAAGGCCCTGAGGAGCAGCTTCGCTCGCCGCTGAACCGCAGCACCGCTGCGCACGGTCACTTACCCGAGCTTGCTCAGGTACGGCAACACTCCGCTCGAACTGAGGTAGTGCGTCACCATCCCACTGCCTGGCGACAAACTTGTCCTTATATACGGCTTCACACGCAGACCAGCTTCCACAGCTTTTTTAGCCAAAAGGCCTGCACAGGGAACAAACAACAGCTTCTGGGGAGGCGTCTTTCCCTCACATTGCAGCAGGAAGCAAGAAAGGCTTTATTAAACAGGTGGATCTCCAATTCACGTTAGGGTAAAAGTCCAAATTCGTAAGTTTACTGTACTTTAGTCCATTTCTGATTTGTTTCTTTTAAGAGAAAAAATTGTAGTAGATCTAGCAGCCTCCTCATTGGAAATTAAGGTACAGGCTGATGGCAGAGCATCACGCTCACACGGCTGCCACGGAACCGCTTCAGGCACACACACGGGGCGCCACTGGCCACCGGGCCGTAGCCCCCGCCGGCGCCTCTCATGGGATCGGGCGAAGCTACGGGAAACTCCTTGCAGGTTATGCCGAGACGTGCTCATCCACATTCTGCCTATGTTAACAGAAGCACACATGACCTAAACTAACAGACATCTACGTTACACTAAAGTAACATATCTTCTGCCCTGACTGGTGTGGCTCAGTGGATTGAGCGCCAGCCTGCAAACCAAAGGGTTGCCAGGTTCAATTCCCAGTCGGGCACATGCCTGGGTTGCGGGCCGGGTCCCCAGTAGGAGACATGCAAAAAGCAACCACACATGGATGTTTCTCTCCCTCTCTTTCTCCCTCCCTTCCTTTCTCCATAAAATTAAATAAATAAAATCTTTAAAAAAAAGAAGGGGAGGCTCCAGGGCTTCGATGGTGCCTGGCTAGTCTCTCTTTTAAAAAAAACAAAACAAAACATACTTTCTGTGTAATGAAAACATTTATAAAATAAGCCAAACGTACGCTACTTAAGGCCTAATTCAAATCTCAGAAAGCCTTCAGTATCAAACACAGACGCCAGCACTCAGGCGCCACCTGAGACACAGAGGGCAAGCAGGACCGGCAGCACAGACAACTCAGGAGCGGACGGCGCGGGCCTGAGCCACCACCCACCTGCCGCGAGCATGACGGACGGGTTGCAGTTGTTGGTGCAGCTGGTGACGGCCGCGACGACCACCGACCCGTGCGACAGCTGATAGTCGCTGCCTTCGTAGTGAAGGGGAACCGTGTCGTTCTGCCTTTCAGCTGCCACCTGGAAGCCTCTGAATCCAACCTACGGAAATGGGCACACAAAAATGAACTAAGTATTCTGGACACGTGTAGAAAAATGGCTGATAGGAAAAATACTGGCAGAAAGCCCTGCAGATCATTGACGTGGTAGAGGCCGAAGCCCGGGACCCCCAGCAGCCGCGGCTCCGCTGCAGCCCGAACGTGCAGTCGTGGAGGCTGCAGGCCTCCACGGCCTCGCCCGCGGCGGGCCCAGCCCTCGCCTGGCTCTCCGGTCAGTCTGTTCCTGCTCACAGTGCTTCTCAAGAGGTGTGACGAGGTGTTTATTAAAAATGGCTCTGAAGACGCGCTTCCAGATGGTCAAGTGTGAGTGTGGGGCAGGGAAGAGCGGGCTGCAGCTGGCGATTGTGGAAGCAAAGCAATGGGAGTTCATCACACTCTTTTATTACTGTACGAACCTGACGTTTTCCACAATAAGAAAATTAAGATATTGTACAAGCAAAAGCTCTGTGAAGAAGGCAGCAACCAATCCTCAGAACAGAAGGGACACGCGTGAAGCCCTGACTCTCCGATAGGTGTTTCCCTTCCAGTCTGGGGTGTCGCAAGAGTGCAGAGCAGCGACCTTCACCCGCTGTGCTGCAAGGGTTTGTAGGGTTTGTAAAACATGCAGTATCTGGTTCATCAGGGGCACTGACCTCTTTATTCCCTTAGATTGTCAAATAAAAAAAAAGAGAACAGCCAACACAATGACCATCCCGTGTGAATGAATCAAACTTATACTTTTTTTTTTTTTTGTGTCAAATCAGAAAAAAATATTTTTCCGATGTGCCGCATAATTTCAGGAACTAGTTTATGTGCCACAAGATGAAAAAGGTTGAACACCGCTGGTCTAGGGCATTGCCGTCCAGCAGGAATTTCTGTGACAACGTAAATACCTCTGATGTCAGCCATTCAGCACTTGAAATAAGACTGCTGTGACTAAGAAATTACACTGTGAACTTCAACGTCCATTCACTTAAATCTTAATTTAAACGGACATCGTCAACTCCCGACCCTCAGCGGGGACAGGGGAAGCCGCTCGCCCAGGGCGGGGCGGCCAAGTGCGCCCGCGGGGCCCACCTTCTCGCGCAGGCAAGCTCGGAAGTCACTCTTCACCTCCATCACAGCCACTCTGTCCTGCGGCCTCTTTGGGCCGCTGACGGATGCAACGATGGAGTTCAGGTTAATTTGTATCACCTAGGAAACGAGAGAAGGGGAAGGAAACGAATTAGGATTCGCAAGGACAGATTCCAATTCAAGGACTATTTTCTGAGGCAGAAGAATAAGTACATTTATATGTTTGAATGCAACTTGTTTCAAGGGTGAAACACACCCACCAAAGACTTAAAAACCCCATTTAAGTTCTGCAACATAACGAGAAAACCTGCTAAAAGCAAGACCAGCAGAGGAGCATGCGGACGGCCACGGCCCACGGTGGGGTCCGCACGAACCCTCCTGTCCCCACTGTCCCCTCCCCACCAGCGTACGCCCTGCTTCGCAGGGGTCCGCCGACAGCGCGAGGCCTGTGCCACCTGCGGACCGACTGCCACGGGGCCTCCAACCCACCCCCGCGCCCGCTTGTGCCGGTGCAGACGGGCTCGGTAAACCTCCCTGTGCTCTCGGCTTCGCCGCAATAAAAATCTATGTAAAATTAATGAATAAAATCAAAGAAGGGCCACAAATAACAGCTAAGTAATGATGATTAGAGCTATCACCTACTGCGCTCTCCCTATGTGCCTGAAACTGTTCTAATAAATCTGTACTTAATCTCTTAAGAATCTCACATGGCAGATCTTATCCTCGCATCTTAGAGAGGAGGAAACAGAGGCAGGAAGGCAAAATAGTCAAACAGTCTGCCCCAGGTCACACAGGCAATAAACCGCAGCACTGGGAGTGAAACCCAGGTAGTCAGGCTCCAGGGTCTACTCCCTTATCAGGTGGGTTATTCTGCTCATACCTGCGAGTATTCGGGTTCTCCTAAAGTATTCTGGTCATTTCGAAATAATTTCACAGCTTTAAGGTATGTTTCCATTGATTCGAGTTTGGCTTTGTCAAAACCTAAAAATAAAAACAAAAATCCAGTAAAGAATTCTGAAATCTCTTGGGGTACACTGGTTGAATTCCAATGATGAGCAAGAAACAAGTATTAAAAATTACTAAGTACTCAGAATCCATGTCTTTACAAATAAGTGCCTGACATTATTAAGAGTAGTAAAAACTGCCCTGGCGGGTGAGGCTCAGCGGACGGAGCGCTGGCCTGCGGACCAGAGGGCCGCCGGTTCCGTTCCCAGGCTCCAGCCGGGGCCCCAGGAGGGGGCGTAGGAGAGGCAACTACACACTGATGTTTCTCTCCCTTTCACCCTCCATTCCCCTCTAAAAATAAAAAAAATAACCTTTTAAAAAAATAGTAAATTTTACTGTTCATGAAAAACTCTATTTTATGAACATAGCAGCTCCCTCTTTAGAAGTTAATGAATCACAGACAAGATCACTAATATGAAACCAGTTCTATAAAATTCATTAAAAAAACTGTTTACAAAAGAAAAACCAATTAATAAAATCAACTGTAATTACTACCCACCGTGAAGGGTAACTTCATAACTTTCCTTATATAATAAACAACACTGAAATAGTCACAATGAAAGACTAAAGTAAATGAAAATTAAAAATAGCTTTGCAGAGCAGAAAGGTCTTTCAGAAATAAACGACTTCAGATGCTCACGTGGAAGAACCACTGTACCATCGGGAGCGGAGCCAAAGCCGCAGCGCCTTTTCCCAGGCTTCCCACGGCGACCCCGCCCGCAGGCCGCATCGCCGCATCTCGCACCGGGGCCTCTCGCACCGGGACAGCGACCGTCCTCTGCCAGGAGGCGGCACCAGCACGCGCGCGCCCAGGCGCATGGAGGAGCCCCAGCGGCAGGCAGCACGCACGCACGGCGGCCGCGGCCGTGCGGGGGAAGGAGGCCAGCAGGACGCGCGTCCCGCGGCTGAGGCCCCGACTCGGCGGCACCCGCAGTGAGGTCCCGACCGCCGCAATCACGCGGCAATAAATGACAACTGCTGTTTTAAAGCCCTCGGCTGTCACTGCGATGGGCCGTTCCCGTGTCACCTCGTTTTCACATGCGAGGACTGAGGCAGCTTTTTGCCCCCTCCTCCCTGAACCTGGTACCGGCCGGAATCCAGCCCAGAGGGCGCTGCAAGATGGACATCCCGACGGCCGGCCCCCTTTGCCATTTGACCTACCCGCTCGCAGTAACCTGCCCCAACCGAGGAAGCTGGAACGGAGCCCCCCCGCCCCCGCGTACCTCTGATTAGAGCAATGACCTCCTAAAACTGGGAAATGCAGCAAACAAAAGGAGGTCCTGCTTTTTCAACAGGGGCCTAATGCAATATGAACATGGTCTAGTTTTTCAGGCAGCTTCTACCTTCAACAGTCAGTGGAACCGTCGCTGAAGTTCCTAGGTCACCGTGTTGCAGAAAGATCTGGAAAATGCAACCCTGTGCCACTTCCCACACAACTATGCGCCCATCCGTCCCCAGAGCTCTGATGCGCAGGCTGTTCCCTCAGGCGGCCCCTCAGCTCCTGGATGTTGGGGGGAGCAGCACTGAGCATGAGGCGCCCACCCGCCCTGCACCCCGGGTCCCGAGCAGGGTGGGGCGACGCGCAGCGGTTTGATTTCCTTTAAACCGCCCGTCAGTGGGTCAGAGCAGGGCAAGGCTGCAGCGCACGACGCTGTTTGAAGTCGCCTGCGAGTTTATCTGAAGACGCTGTTCCAAGATAATCTCATGAATGTTAGACCCACTGGAAACAGAACAGATTTCTCCTAATGATCTATCTTCTTACCTGTATGTTCTAAATGTTTTAACGTCACATTGTCAACGGGGAAAAAGCTGAGGAGAGCACCATATTCTGGACACATGTTCGCTATTGTCATTCGATCCGCTATCGACAGCTGGGACACTCCACTGCCAAAAAACTCAACAAACTTGCCAGCCACTCCCACCTGCCGGAGGTGCTGCGAAAAGGGACACAGAGAAGCGCAGAGTTAGCAATGAGACTGGCCAGGGCGCGCCGAAAGCCACGCCCAGAGCCGTGGCGCGGCAGCAGGGGGTCCCCCGTGGCCCCTGGGGGCTGCGGGAACCTCAGGGCCAAGAGTCAGTGAGCGGGAGGCCAGCGCCTCCGCCAGTCAGGGCAGAAAAGGGCGTGGACGCCCGACGCGGCCGAGAGCACAACGGGACGGTGTGGCAAGCGGCCCCCGCGGGACTCGGCCGAGTCTGTGCGCTCGCAGCCCTTCCCCCTCCCAGCCGGACACCCGGGGCGGCGCTTCCCAGCACGGAAGGGTCTCGGACTTGACGAAGCACTGACCCGCTGACCACGCTGACCACACTGTATATGTAAATGCCTATATACTGGCTGTGAAACATCTTCACGTTTCAACTACTGGTCCAATGCTTACATTGCTGTAAAGTTTACAGCAATATTAATGGTAGGTAAATTCCATTTTGATACCATTTAACATGTGGCTCAAACCTTAATTCCTCCAAAGATCATTTTTTTTAGATACCAAGGCACCAAAACAGCTGCTCCCCTTTTCTACCCGATGCAGCGGCCGCAGGGCGTGCCTCGGGAGGGGACCGGCAACGTGCGGCCCCTGCCTATGAGTGGGGACGGGCTGGGGGTCCCTCCGTCCACACCGGTGCTTCCTACGAGAAAGACGTCTCCGTCCAGTCAGGGTTATCGGAGGGTGAGCGCAGGACGCGTTACACGTGCGGGCTGCTGTTCGCACCAAATTAACGAGGGGCCACAATGAGCATTTTGAGAAGCACATGACTAATCCTATAATGATCATGACTAGGACAGGACCTCAAGGATAATCTTCAATAAACGCACGCGTACTAAATTTCATTTCTGTGTAAGTGGAAATGTCAGAAACAGACACACAGGATTCTTTTTAAAACAGAGCCGGGGGGCCTAAGAAGCACCACTGATTCTCAGGGGGTCTGAAGGGAGGGGCCGATCCCTCTGAAAACGTAAAGGGACGCTCCTTCTCCTTTAGGGATGACGCTGAGTCTCAATTTAACTTCTGGTCTTCAGCCCCACGCATCACATCACTCCCTCCTGTGAGAGGTCGAATGTTTTTCTAATGAGGGAGGAGGATCAATACTCCACGCTGAGGCAGATGGCACTGTGTGCTCTCCCGGCGACAGGCCCCGCAGGCCCCCGACATCACGTGCGGCCGCGCCCGTCCCCGTGGCCTGGTCAGGGAAACACAGTCAGCGGGCACCAGGAGCTTAGCCTGGGGGTCAGACAGCTGTTCACCGGGACCCCCAGGGCTCCCATCTCGAAGCCACGCAGCAGGTGTTGCGCTGAACAGCCAGCAGACAGGTGCGACACCGCCCCACTGCCACGGCCGCTGCTGCCGAAGGCGCCCCCGTGCGGCGACGGCTCCTAGAGGGCGAGCGACTCCGTCAGGCACCAGGGAGACCCGACGTCCCTGATGGGCACGGAGCGGGGCGGCTGCCGGCTGCGGCGGGAGGGGCGGTGGGGGTGCCGGGCAGGCGGGCTGCCTGGGCCAGAGCCAGTGCCACTGCTTCCTGCTCAGCCCCCGGACCCTGCGGTCCGTCCTTCAAGCCTCCCGTGCCTGCTTCTCAGGACTAAGGGGGGGAATAGGTCACCAGGAACAGCACGAACCCCTCGGCCTGTGACGAGCAAGGACGAGCTAACACGCTACGTGAACAACAAGGCAACGGCTGTCCGGGATGAGGAAGTGTCCCGTCTCCGCTGTCCCTGCCACGTGCTGAGTCGGAGGGGCCCTCGCCTCAGGTGGGGACACGCGCACGGAGGCGCACGGCTGGCACGGCTCGAACATACGTACCTTCGTGATGCCAAGGACAACGTCTATGGATGTGACAAGAAGGTTCGAGGAGCCCGTCAACTCACACCCAACCACCTCCGGCAAAGTCAGAGAGGCGGGCAGCCCAAGCATGACCGCTTCTGTCTCGATGCCGCCGACGCCTGAGGGAGAGACGCACGCGGTGAGCACGGGACACGCCCCGACAGCCCGCGGCAGCCGTGCGAGACCTGGGCATCCCCGGACGTGCTCGTCGGCGGAGCCGCTGCACGGCGGCCCCTGCGGAAACAGGGCCGCACCTTCTCGGGACGAGGGCTGCACTCGCACGGCTGGAAACGCTGATCTTTACCTTTTTGATAAGGTAATATTTAGTATTTATTACTGTGCTAAGGAAGGTACTGATACTCGAATGGAGCCCAGGCCCTGTCAGACCTCACGGCAAAGACGGAGGAAAAGCCAGTCGCCAGGCGCCCCGGACGGGGGAGCGCGGCCTGCCCGCGGCGGCCTGCGCGGAGCCCCAGCGCCGGGAGCGCGAGCCCACGGACTCCCGGCCGCCCCTACAACGCATGGGCGGGAGGCTGGCGAGGCGCCCGGCTGCGAAGGGCCTTGTGTCAAACAAAAAGGAGCCTGGACTCCTAACAAGGGCTGGGGAAGCCATGCAGGGACTTCAACCAAGAGTCGCCCCCCGCGGAGTGCTGTGCCGGGCCCCGTGCACACGCGTGCCCACAACACGCAGTCACGAACACCTGAGGGACGATGACTGGCGGCTGCCTCACAGGTGGAAAAGCCTCAGCCTGCAAAGACCTGCTCTTTGTTCTTTCAAGATGCCCCTGACCCCCCCCGCCGCAAAGGAGGGCGCGCACTTACCCCAGCCCAGGACCCCCAGCCCGTTGGCCATGGTCATGTGCGAGTCTGTGCCCAGCACGCTGTCGGGGAAGAGCAGCTCCTGCTCCTCGCACACCACTCTCGACAAGTACTCCAGGTTGACCTGGTGAGGCATCCCCGTGCCGGGGGGGACCAGGGCCACGTTCCGGAACACTCGGGAACTCCACTAGGTTTTGTATAAATGCAAGAAATCCGAGTATTAGTACATTACGTGAAAACAAAATGAAGTCAAAGAAAAACGCCCCATGAATCCAGATAAGTGGTTGTTTCCCATGGTGTCCCCGGGACTCGGACAGGAAGGGGAGCCCTCCCAGCTCCCCTGAACGACAGCCTCCTCCTGTACTTTCTTATACGCTGGGGCGTCTGTTAAGATTTTGTGGAGGAACAAAAGGGGCCCGCTGCTCTCCGGTGTTTTCAATTCCACCAGTCTCAGATACAAAGCCACACCTCAGTGTCTCACAAACGTCAACAGAAAAATGTCTCCCAAATCACTTATACCTTGAAAAATTGAAGCCTCTCTCGATTTCTGCCAAATTCTACTTCTTGATTTTTTAATACTGTTTCAGGTCTAAAAGGAAGAAGAGCTGGCATTAAATGTATTACAGAAAAAAGATGCCTTGTTTCCAAGTCTTCCTATACACACACCCATACACACACACGTTTTTAAAATTCTTGGGACAGCAACTTTCTGGTTTCTCGGAATCCTTTATCTTCTTTTCAACAAAGGAGTGTGGCTTGAAATAACACACTAGAAAAGCCACTGCAAGGACTCGCTCCGTCAGTGGGCCTATTAAAGCCACATCCGTACCAGTGTCCCAAACCACAGTTAATGTGCATTGCGAGAGTCTGGGCTAAAATCGTATCAAAAGATGGGAAGCGCGGCTGGGTCTCCCACCACAAGCGAGGAGGAAGGGGCAGCTGGTGCAACCATAAACGCAAACGTGTCCACCCACGTGGCCCTCGTGCCAGCGACACGGGGAGCGGGAGGGACGCGGGGATCACTACGGAGCAACGACAGACGTACAGCGTCACCGCATGGTCTAAGGAGAGCTTTCGACCAAAACCTTGTATTCATCGCTCCCTGAATGGAAGGGTCTATTTTATCTGTCAGTAGCAGTTTCTAAGAATTATAAATAAGTACATGAATTACTTGACTCAGAGATAAAAAACAATACACCTCTCAACAGGAAACAGTTCCATTTTTAGGAAGCTATTTTTATCTAATGGGTATTTTTCAAAAATTATGACTAATGGTTTTAAGTTGCTTATTTTACCTACCAGCTCAGCTGGTGATTAAGTGTTGACTGAGTATCAATACAACTTAAATTATACATGTCCTCCAGGGTCCAGATAATTATAGTTGTTCAATCACCAGCTTTTTTTAAAAACAAAGGTTACATCAATGAATCACGGCTGAGTGAGCACTGGAAGCCACAGCACCTCTCAGGGGGCTTCTCAGGGCCGTGGGGACACAGCCTCCACGGCCCCCTGGCCAGGCCACGCCCCACAGCACCTGCGGCCAGCAGGCGCCAGGCACACCTCCAGCGGCTGTACCCGACTTCGGAGCAGGCGGGGAGTCCAGCGCCGGGTGCACATGGCCTCAGCCTCTACCCAGGGGTTGTTTCGGTCGAGAATTACTGCTTCATGGACGTATTATAGCACACAGACGAGTTATTATTTTAACACAGCCAGCGAGGACCCTATAACCTATTACTACTCTGTCCTGAGAGTCAAAATTAAAGGGACATGTTACACCAAACTGGATGTTTAGAAATAAAAACATACCACCTTAGCACTTCACACTCTGCCAGTGAGAAAAAGACAACCCCCCCCCCCAAAAAAAAAAAATCAATGATTTTTCAATCAATAAGTCCTCCCTTTCAGGAAATGAGTTTCTGTTTAAGAAGGTACGTTAATCTCAAATGTCAACACGCCCCGAACAACGGGGACAACGAGGCAGCAGGAACAAGGAGCAGTTCCATAGAACTGTCATAACCTGATGGCGAGGGACCCACGGATACACACTGAGTTCTCAGGGGGGAGGAGCACGCGAGGTCACCGCAGCGTGCGGCTCTGCAGAACGCTGAGCCGAAAACTTCAGAACTGCAGGCAACTTGAAAAATACAGTTTAGGGGGCAAATGAATTAGCGTACAATTTAGCACTCAGGATGAAATGCGTGGGTATCATTCTTAGCTCTTCGAAATCCTCAATGTGTTAAATTCTGACTTTACAGAGCTTAAGTCATTTTTTTATTAAAATAAATTTTGACAGTATAAAAAAAGGGGATAAACATAACTCTCAAAAATGAGACTTTATAGCATATAAAAATTCAATCCTAAGAACTCTCCCCCTCAGTTTGGAAAATTACCGACAGGCGATCGAACCAACTCCTGGGGGCAGGCGACCGCGCTCTGTGCACACACGGCCCCCCCCGCCCCAGGGGCCCGACGGGGCGCAAACACAGGGCGCTGGCCAGCCCAGCAGAGGCTCCTGACGCAGTGGGCACAGCGCAGCAGCCCCGTCGCAGGCAAACAGACAGAACTATAAACAGGAATCCACAGGAGTGTGAGTGAATAAATGAGCACGTGAGTGGTACAGGCTCACTAAAATAAAAATTCACAGTTTTACATGCAAAACTGTATTTCTGCCTACATTAACCCTGAAAATGAAATAATTCACGGGGAAATCTTAGGGTTTTCCTCCTGAGCACAGAGCGAGACCTAAGGGGACCCAGGCGGTGGGTCACCCGGCACGGACACCGGGCGCCGAGGAGCGGGAGCCGGGCGCGGGGAGGGCAGGCACGGGGGGACGCCCCCGGCGGGACAGCCCCGGGCACCGCTGGACAGGAAAAAGGAGTCTCATACTCAGGCACGGGCTGCAGGTGGAAAGGGCACAGGACCGGCGTGTTCTCGATCTGCGCGGGCGGCCTCCCCGAGCCGCGGCCCAGCTCCCCGGCATCGCAGGGGCCCCGGCAGGCGCTCGGGCCCCGGCAGGGCGGCTTCCGGGGCTGCGCTCTGAGCGGGGAGGGCTTCCCTGCCCTCTGCGGGTCGCCGCCTCCGGGGTTTGGAGCGTTCTGTATGGCACTGTCATTCCAAAAAAGGAAACAAAACCAGTCAAAAGTGGCAGAAACGTAGATCTTCAAAACCCACACACCAGCAATGCGCTCTGGGAATAACTGAATGCTGTCTGAAGGCTGACATATCACGTAGCTCAAGTTTCAAAAGCAAATCTCAGGTTACCAAAAAGAAAAAAGAAAAACCCCAAACACCGGGTAATTTAAACTTAGAGGTGAAAACCTAATTCTAAGTGCCCCAGGAAATTATTTTCACACACTTCTACAACAACTTAAGTAACTTTTAGCAAGTAACTACAATAGGTTTTGTCATCTAACACCTTAAAAGCAGCTCAGTCCTACTTTCAATCTCTAGGGAAAATGCGCTCGTGACGTATGACAAACCACAGCCTTACTGCCCGACTCTGGAGCACGTAAAAAAGTCTTCTCTTAGTCTGACCACGGTCCCGGAGCCCTTTTGAATGTAAGAGACGTGGTTCAGTGGGGCCTGGCCGTGCGGCTCAGTGGACTGAGCGCCAGCCTGCAAACCAAAGGGTCGCTGGTTCAATTCCTAGTCAGGGCACCTGCCTGGGTTGTGGGCCAGGGCCCCAATAAGGGGCGCGTGAGAGGAAACCGCACACCCGTGGTTCTCTCCTTCTCCCTCCCTTCCTCTAATAATCAATAACTAAAATATTAAAAAAAAAAAAAAAAAAAGACAGAAACGTAGTTCAGTGGAAGGAGAGCAGAGCTCCAGCGAGCTCCGTGCCCCAGCCACCAGGCGATGGCGACCCCGGGGCGCCCGCCTCTGCAGCCCGAGGCAGGGGCGCGACGATGCTCCCTCCGGGGGACGCGGGGGCTGCACTCCCGAGTCAGTCGCTAGAAAAAAGCAGGCTCTACACTCACTGCGGATTTCTACCAAAAACGGCAGCAAAAAAATACTCGTATGAAAATAACTTTAATTCAGGCTGAGTAAAACACAACACTTCGCCAACACATGAACCTGTCACCAGCTTCGCCTTCAGTGTTAGCCAGCCCTGCAGGGAGGGCCCTGGCGCGCGCTCGGTCCCCGTCCCGGGCCCACAGGTGCGGGGGGCCGGCCGTCAGCGCGCACGGCTGCTGCTACGCCGGGCGGGGAAGTACCATTTACTGAAGTCCACTTGTAGAGGATGGTCGACCACGAGGTCTGTCGGACAGGCGGGGTGGACTTTCTTAGGGTCTCCTCCAAGAGCCTTCACCGCCTCCCGCATGGCAGCGAAATCCACCATCGCCGGTATCCCGCTGAAAGGCAGAAACCACCGAATCTCAGTGCCGGCTGTTCTTTCACATACGCTCCAAAGTATTAACATGCATTTACTCATCTCTATACTTAAAAAGGATCCCTTCTTAGTTTGCATTCGTGTTTGATAATGGACTTGCTATCCAAAGTTAGATGTATCCTGGTGTCACGAGAGTAACATGCAATGCCATCCGAGAACTGGAATGCTCGGGGGTAGACGTGGCAGAAGCTGGTCTCAGGGCAGCAGCCCAGGGCGGCCTCTCTCCCGCCTTCAGGTGGGTGAGGCCCCGCCCCCAGCCATCCGTCGCTGCGCCTCCTCCCTACTCCAGGCTCCCCCAGACATGGGTCCCAGCGTCCCCAGCCAGCTACTCTTGGGGACTTCGCAGGGAACATGCGGCCGTGGTTACAGAGCAGCGACAGATGCAGGAAGAGCGGCAGGCAGATTCGGAGCCGAGGAGGACCAGCCAGGTGCACGCGGGGGTGGAGGGACGCTCCCCGCTGTCTCGCTGACCCCCACAGCTCCTTCCCAACCCAGCCGAAGGGCAACGCTCCTCACGGCCAACCCCGGACGCCCAGGCCGGGCAAAGTCTCCCCGGAAGCCTTGGCACTTTATTCTAAGTGCGACGGAAGCCAACCGGTCCGCAAGGGAACGATGCTGCTGTGATGACCATTTCATCTACCGTGACAAGCCCACGGGCCGCAAGTGGGGAAGCAGGGCTGCCAGCGACAAGAGGACTATGGCCGCCATGCAGGCAAGAGGGAGCGAGGCCAGCACAGGGACAGCGGTGGGGGAACGGACACACTTCAAAGGCCTGACGGAGCTGCTGGCGCACTGGGCTGCGTGTGAGGGGAAGCGAGGCATCGGAAGGAGCTCCCGGGCTCCATCCTAACCGGCGGGGGACCGCGGTGCCGGTTGCAGTGCTGGTCGCTGTGCCGGAGGCGGGGTGGCCAGGCCACCAGGCTTGATGGAAGCCCACCAGGCCTGTTGGCCAGCAGGAGACAAGCATGCAGTTCCACCAAAGCAGTCTGGGGTACACGGTACAAGAAACCAGGACCTAACTTTTAAAGAATGGCTTCCGTTTAGAAAGGGCAATTTTTTTAAGAATTTATAAACTCATCCTCAAAATGAAAACAAACAATGGGGCCAACCATCAGGGAATTTCCCAAAGGGAACACCCTGAGGGTCCCCTCGGGAGCGAGCGGTCTGCCACTCACGTGAAGTCTTGAAGGAGGACGCGGGCGGGGAAGAAGGGCACTTCCACATGGCTCTGCTTGCTTCCCCAGTCTAAGATGTTCAGGACATCTTCCTTCCTCACTAAAAAGCCGTCGCAATTTCTCACAGCAGCCTCCAGCAGGACCCGTATTGAGTAAGGCAGGACATCTGATTCAAGAGAAGACACCACGGTTAATAAGGAAGGTCAGAACTCTGTAGTATAAAGACTACGACAGCAGAAAGTTAAAGACACAGACGCACTATTTCCTCAATTTAAAAAAATTCCAGTGCAGTCAACAAGGGCAAACAGCAGTCCCAGTAACAGCAGGGTTCCTCTGACGCTGGCGTTCCCGCGTGTAAGCCGGGGCCCCAGGAAGGCCGGGACGAGACCTTCCCAGGAGGGTCGTGCTCATCGGGGCACGGGAGGGCCACCAGTGCAAACGAGCCTGCAGGGGGGACACAGAGAACCCGGAGAGCACAGACGACTGGGCTGAAATACAGCGACAAAGACACCCCTGGAAGGCTGGGAGTCTCAACCTTTTTCTTCCCGTGGCACGTGAACTAATTATTAAAATTCTGCGGCGCACCCAAAAATACATTATTTGGCGATGTGACAAAAACACAGGTGTGATTCTGATTCATTCACCCTGGACTGCTCCCGCGCTGGCCGCCTCACCACCCCGTTGACAGGCGAAGGGGACGCGGTCAGGGCCCTGGGCTGCTGTCCGGCGGGGCCTCTCCCACGGACCCTGCGGCGCAGCGTTTGAAAGGCACGGCTGTAGGGCAAGTATCGGCCACCCTGGGCAAACGTCGCAACCGATTTGAAAGAGCTCCACCAAAAATGATTAAGGTTTAAAAGTAAACCAGGGTGCTTCGGTACGCAAAATTCACCTCCTGACAACGCCCTTTTACTCCTGAAGACCAGTGTTAGAACCCCACAGAGAGACGGATTTCCGTATTCTCTACTTTCCAATCCCGTTAAACCCCCCCACCGGGGGCGACTGGGCCAGCCGAGGGGCTGCCTGCTCCCTGTGCGCCGCCGCGCTCACAGCGCGCTAGGCGTCGGTGGGGCACGGCGCCTGGACAGCGTGACGCGGGTCCCTGTCACTATTGCCCAGTGAGCGCATGACCTCACATGCACTATTAACTAGAAAGAACACTGAGAGGGTGAAGTGAAAATCTCAGTATCTAGTCCATGCTCCCTCAGCTGTACCTCCCCAGCAGGACGCACCCTAAAAACAAAAATATTCAGGCATTAACAGTGATGACGTAGTTTCGAAACTGTCATATATTACAGTTGTGAGTACACAAAAGTTTATTCTTTACTATTATTTATTAGTTACCTGTATGATTTTCCTTACCAACAACTGTTAAACCTACTATTGCCCCCCCCCGTATAATGAGGAGAAAGTAAAAAGTACTTCTGTCACTATGGCCTGGAACCAAGGCTTTTACGACTAAGATGCACAAGTACTAAATCGGAGTGGCTAAATGAAGGAAAAAAACTTACATTTTAGTTAGAATCATGGTTACAAATTCACAACTTATTTTCCTGCTCAAAACGCGGGCTTCCTAGCTGTGTTCCGTGCAAATGCCTAACACGACAACGCAGCGGCCACCGTCCCGTAACACCGCCGCGGTGGGCCGCTCAGGAGCGGGCACACACAGGGCGCGCGGGGACCGCCCCTGTCAGAAGCCAAATCACCCGAGACCGACGGGGACAGTCACGGATCGATGCAAGCGTCACCGTGAGTGATGACTGTCATTCGCTGAAATGTATCAAGTATAGGAAGAGCCCTTAGTTCACAATGATCCAGAAAACCCTTCATCGATCACGAATGGCAGTTGCTAGAGCAACTCATCACCCTGAAAACGGACAAACGGGGAGAGTCAATCACCAATCCTGTCTTTCCTGATTTCAGGTAACGACAGTGAAGAGAACACCCCTCCTTACTGAAGAGTCACAGCAGCAAGCGGAGAAGAAATGATGTCATCAGGCGATCCCAGCAGGCAGCCCCAATGACACAAGGGGCCGAGACCGCGACCCTGGGTGGGGGCTGAACCGTTAGAGGGGGACATGCGAAGGGTCCTCTGGCAGGTGGACAGGCCCAAACAACCACACCCACACAGCATCGCCAGCGTGGGACGGTGGCCCGCCCTTGCCTCTGGACGGAGCAGGGAACAGGGCAAAAAGAAACACACGCCTAAGTCGGCATGAGCTTCCCCAGCGCCAGCTCTGCTGTCCAGGGAGCAGGAAACGCGGGGATGGCGCAAGGGCCCCGTGAGGCCATGGGGAAGCCGTCAGCCGCCGCCGCTCCAGCGCCCGCTGCCTTCGCCAACAACGGGATGGACAGGGCGCGAGGAGGGATCGTGCAGACTCGTAAGAGCCTTACGAGGCGTAGCAGGCGAACGCTCCGTGTGACCCTGTTTGGACACAGCCACCAAACCAGCTGTGAAATACAGTTTTGAGACAACCAGAGAGAGACAAATATGGACTTTTATATCATACTACGGAATTACTGTTCATTTTGTTAGGTATAAAAACGGTAATGAGAGTATGGATTTTTTTTTTTTAAGTCTTTCAAATATCAGGAACGTATACTGAACTATATTTACAGATTTACAAATGGGATTTGTGAAACAAAAGACGGGCAACATGTTGGTAACTGGCTGACAAGTACACGGTGGGTTACTGTACTACTGTCTCCCTACCTTCATCCTCGAAAGGTCCCACACACAAATTAAACATGAATGAAGTTGTGAGTAAAGAGAATAAAGACCTTAATCAGAGACACGAGACGCAAAGCCTGCACTCGCTATTTATCCACCCAAAGGCCTGACCCTCGGGAGCTGTGCCGCGTCCCCCTGTGCCACGGGGGGGCCAAGCCTAACGGGGTGGGGAGGGACCCTGCCTCCTCACTGCTCACTCCTCACTCCTCGGGCCTGCCAGCGCCCTCAGGCCTCCCGGGACGCACGGCAGGCACCGGCATGTTAACGTCCGCTCTTCCCTCAGAGGCATAATGAAGTCTTCAAAACCTAAAGACATTACAGGAGTAAAACATTTTTAATAGAACATTTGGAAATAATGAGAAGGAATATCCAAAAAGTAAATACACAAGACTGATTTTATATTTGATTGACTATTCTGGGAAAACAATTCAGGAATATTTTTTGTTGAGTATCTTCATAAAAAGCATTTCATCAGATTGCTGGTAAAATATGGGAACACAGACACCAGCCGATCATCTCTGCTCCCTCCCGAGGCCACTCACATAGCAACAAGCAAGTAAAGCTATGCACCTGCAGGAACAGACACAGAGAAGCAAAACTAACACCATTCTGGAACCAGCACCTGGATGACCGGTCAGGGGCTGAGCCGAACACGGAACGGCGACCAGAAGCAACGACCAGGAACCAGGATGCCCGGAGTTTCCAGAGAGGAGAGGGAGAAGCTAGGCAGCAAGGGAGCAGAGCCTTCAAAATTCTAAGTGCAAGTATGTCCAACCTAGACATTCGTAACCAAACTATCGATCAATCCCAGGCAGCCACTGGAGGAAATGTTCTATAAGATAAGCAGACAAGCAGGTGAACAGAGACTGGAAACCAGGCAGCGAGGTCCCCGTCTAACACGAGAGCTGGGGGCTCCTCCAAGACGCGCCATGCGCCAGGCCCGGGGCCGGGGTTGGGAACGAGGGGTCTGCAACCAGGGCCAGATGGGGCGCTGCCGGGAGAAGGGAAATGTGAATCGATAGATTACCTGATCATACCCGGAGGGTTTCTTTCTTTCTGGGATGAATTATTGATAAGGACATAGAAAACTAGGCAAACAAAAAAGACAGTCGTTAATTCCAAGAAAAAAAAACCCAGTTGTAAGACAAACGAGATGCAATCACCAACTACATGGCCTGGCTGAGAATGTCAGCGCATCACAGCATCAGCGCCGGACGCCGCCTTAACCAAAAATCTCGGGGACCGTGCCCGGGAGAGGAAGGTGGGGGCACGCACAGGCAAAGCAGAGCACCAAGTCCTCACTTCCCACAGAGGGAAGGGTGTCTGAAACCGAAAACTCAAGACGCAGCTGTATAAACTACTGTTTAATAACAGAGAGGAAATTACCAAAAGAAACAGGCAACAGAACTGAAAACAGTATTCTCTGCAGAGTTGAAATTGGGGTTGGGCAAAGAACTATTGTTTTGGCAACAATGTTAGTGGCTTTTAACTCATTTGAAAAATAATTAACTATTAAATTAAAAAGCAATCCCAAGAAAAAAGTGAATCGCAGATGTTAGCAAACATGTGTGTTTCCGAAGCACTAACGTACACGTCTGCCACTTCCTGCCTCCGGCGAGCAAAGGCCTCTCTGCGGGAACCCTCCCCTCGGACCAGGACCCCGCGCCGCGCCCCGTTCGTGGCCTGCACCCGCCGCCGCCGCCCCGGCACTCGCGCTCCCGTGGCTCCGCACTGTGGACCCGCGGCCTGCGAGACCAGGGAGGGGCGGGGACCGCCGTGGGGCTGGCTGCCCAGGCGGGGCCTCAGGAGCACCCTCGCTGGGAAGGGGCCCAGCACCTGTCAGGAAGAGCCTCCGGCACCGCGAGCGCCACGCCCGCCTGGCCAGGCCGCCTCCGGGCCTGACCTCCAGCCCTGGGGGCCTTCGGATGCCGGCGGCCCAACCCCCCGCCCTCCCGGTGCCCACAGCACCACTGCGGGCCCCTCACCCCGGCCTGTCCCGCAGCCAGGCCTGTCCCGCAGCCAAGACCGGCGAACTGTCTGCTGGCAGCGGGCTGAGCCACGCCTCCTGCTGAGGTGGAAGCCCCCAGCTGCGCCCTGCCTGGGGTCCCGCCCTGCCCCGGGGGCCGCGCCACTCACTCCCATCTCACCGCCACGGTCCCGTCACCCGGGGGGCCACGCGCCAGGGTTCCTGCGGACGCCTGCCACCGCGACAGCACCCAACCCGGGACAGGCCATGCTGCTTCCAATGTGCTCATGCTTACGACAAAGGTTCATTTATAAGTTGGGCAATTTCACAGATAGAGGTTCACTCTTCCCCTAGATCTGAGCAACCTCAACACGTGAGTGTTTCTTTGCTGAAGCTGAACTCTGTCGCCTTTCCTGCGAAGGAGGAGCTTGGGGGCTCCTCGGCAGCACCGCCCCACCGCGCGCACCCCTGG